TCGTATTTTCATTTCTAAGCAGCCTGTTTTTTAAATGTTTCTCGTTTTGTGTTACGTTTGGGTGTTTTTATTCAGTTTTATACTTTTTTTTGTAATTTGTTACTATAATTTTGTATTGCACCTAGGGTTTCCGTTTATAAATTGTCAGTGTTTTGAGTGTAATTTAATCAGGTTGCCCATTATGTCAGTGTTTTTCTGGAATTTGAGTGTTGTTACTTGAGTGTTGCCATTTATAAACTGTCAGTGTTTTGAGTGTGTTAATTTAATCAGGTTGTCTATTATTTCAGTGTGTTTTTCCGTATTTTGTGCTGTTCTTTGAGTATTTTCCTTTTGATTTAGTCTTGTGTTACTTGAGTGTTTCCATTCATAAATTGTCAGTGTTTTGAGTGTGTTAATTTAATCAGGTTGTCCATTATGTCAGTGTTTTTCTGCAATTTGTGTGTTGTTACTTGAGTGTTTCCATTTATAAAATGTCAGTGTTTTGACTGTGTTAATTTATTCATGTTGTCTATTATTTCAGTGTTTGTGTTTTCCATGTCAGTGTGTTTTTCTGTATTTTGTGTTGTTCTTTAAGTGTTTTTCCTTTTGATTTAGTCTTGTGTTACTTGAGTGTTTCCATTTATAAACTGTCAGTGTTTTGTGTTAATTTAATCAGGTTGTCTATTATTTCAGTGTTTGTGTATGCTATGTCAGTGTGTTTTTCTGTATTTTGTGTTGTTATTTGAGTGTTTTTAATTTAGTCTTGTGTTATTTGCGTGTTTCCATTTATAAATTGTCTTTGTTTTTTAGTGATTGTTGTTTAAATCGGGTTGTCTATTATTTGACAGTTCGAATGTTATGTCAGTGTCGGTTTTTGTTCAATTTTATGTGGTTATTTGAGCGTTTATCCCTTTAATTTAGTCTTGTGTTGTTTCAGTCATTGTCAGGGTTTGTTATTTTAATCGGGTTGTCTATTATTTCTGTGTTTGCGTATGACAGTGTCTGTTTTTCTGTAATTTTTTGTTGTTGTTTGAGTGTGTCAATGTTTGTTGACGTATTCTTATGTCTGTTATTTGAATCTTTGTTGGGTTTTTGAGTGTTTCTTTTCAAGAGCTTCTTTGTCGCGTCGTTTGTGTTTACCAAATGTTTGGTGTTGTGTTGTTTGAGTGCACTGAACTTGTGAGTGTTTCTTCGTCTGTCTGCATTTTTATGTCGTTATTTGGGCGATCGTTCGTAATCTCTGGGTGGGAAAATTAAAAGGGTCGGCGCGGATGGCGAAAAAGAGTTCAAATAGGGAAAGGAAAACCACTACAAATAAATATGAGCATGAATGTAAATTCCGATGTGTTAACCGATGTTGTATTGTGAAAGGAGAAGGGGAAGAATGGAAAAAGTGAAAAACCAGCGCGTTTCTTAACAAATGGACGTCACGTTGCGTAACAGATGTCCGATCATAGTATACTCGCGTATCGGGCCCGATTGAGAAACGTTTTCACGCCTTTCCAGCGACGGCTTGATTTTACGGCAGGCCGTAAAAGCCGTAAACGAATCGTAAGGGGTGCCGGCCGGTGCCACGCAAGGCCGGACCAGATGTCGGGCGGGTCCGCACAGTCTCGCTGTGTACTCCGACCACGAAGCGACCGGCAAACTCTTCCTGAAACGGTGATTTATCGGTGATACGGTCGTTTGTCTTTTTTTCCCTCTCTCACTCACTCTCTCAAGGAGAACCGTTCATGGGCACACGCACGCGAGTTTAAGCCATTATCCTCGCGAATTTCTAGGTTCTATTTTTCTAAATGGATATTTTCTTTTTTATTGGTCCACCACTGCCGATTATTCGTGTCACGTTGGCAGTTTTTCGAGTTGAGGAAGGATCACAGCTGCTATGTCACCAAGGACGTCCCTAACTATTTCATTTCCCTCAAGCCTAGGCCGCTCTCTACATAAAAATAATACGTTTTTGTATTGAAACATATGGTCTCTTGATTGGGGAAAAATTAACCAATATATGGATAATTAAGGTTTTGGGAGCTCTTGGAGTGCCCTGTCATCCTGATGGGAAACAAATTTGTGATGTGATTAAAGTGGGAAGGAAACTCGATAGGTGTACAGTTTCATTGGAATTGAAAGGATAGAGAGCTCCTGGAGCCTAATGTCATCCTGATTGGAAACACTTTTATGAAGTCATTAAAGTATACTACTCACCTATCTATTTTATTTCTCTGCCCTTTTGGCCAAGGCGACAAACAGGACCGCTATATAAAATAATAAATTTCAATAATCGTTATTTATTCATCTTGGGAGAGAAAAAGAAGTAAATCAAGTGACCTTTAAGTACAGTTTTATTATTCAAAATTTGTTATACAGACTCGTCCTTCCTTGTTTATCACATTTTGCCTGTTTTATTGAAATTCTTTCAAGACGCGGTTTTTCCATCGGTTAAATATTTAAATCTTTCTGTGGGAAGGGAATATAAAAGAATTAAAGAACAAAGGGAAAATTTCATTTCCATTTTTTTTTCTTTTCGATTTCCTCTTTACTCGGAATAATTCACGGTGTTTTTGGGTCAATTTTATTTGTTTTTTGCATATGCATTTTTGTCACTATTGTAACGTGGAATGAGGAAGGGACCTTTGTCCTGGAAATAATCTGTTCGTACAATTTTTTTATTTTTTTTGAATAAATGCATTCCATTTGTGTACAATTTGAATAATTGGCTCATTTTCATCGACAGAGGTTTGAAATAATTATAATTGTAGGTGTCTCCCACTCTCTAAAAAAACTTATTATTTCCAAGAAAAGCACTTGGTAACATGTTGGAATTTTCCTGAGTTATTTTACTGTTTTTCAACATTTTACCCCTTGCTCAAAAGGCACAAAAAATAATTCCCACGTTAATCATTTGTCTCGAGGGGGAAATACCAGGAAGGGGCCGATCCAGCCCGGAGGGCCAAAAATCCTCAAGGTCGCCATGGATTTTATTCCCCACCTAATTTCTAAATCGCAAATTCAATGTGAAAAGATCCGTCTCAAAAAATGGTTAAATTGATAATTTGTTCGACAATGATGACGACGCAAAATTGTTTTCCGTTCGTCTGCGATGTTTATATTTCAATGACGTCACTTACGCGCTTTTTAACAAGATTTCAAGGGTGTCAAAAAGTTCTCGCCCTAATATAACCTCATTAGGCTGTCATTCCATTTTGTGCATAAATGCATAGTATCAGAGTATCTTGGAACACCAGAAGCTCTCAAACTAACGAAACCTCCTGATATTTCAATTTTGTATTTCAATGAAGTCACATCATACATATCAGGATGGCATGTGACTCCATGAGCTCTCAAACTAACGAAAACTCTTGATATATTGGTCATTTTTCCATTTCAATGAAGTCACATGTGTGCTTACTATCAGGATGGCATGTGACTCCATGAGCTCTCAAACTAACGAAAACTTCTGATAAATGGTTATTTTTTCAATTTTGTATTTCAATGAAGTCACATGCGTGCTTAATATCAGGAGGGCATTGGAACGCAGGAGCTCCCAATTGAAAATGAAAATAAATAAGTGGATTCTCCTCAAAACCTTTTCATTAAGGGCAGTTTAATGCATTTTCGACGTTTTTTTTATTCTGCTCTCCTGATATATTTTCAAGTATCAAGAAAGAAAAAATATTTTTTTGACAAAATTGGCCCTGGAAGTTTTCAGTGGAGGTTTTTTTGCCCACTTCTTTACGATTGATTTATCCTAAGCTTAAGCCAAAAAATGTCGTTTGTATTTTAATCTATTTTTTCGTCTTGATTGTTATCTTGTTCGATGGGGAATTCGGACACAGGCAAAGGTCAAGAACGAGTTTTTTGTTCTCCACGGACGGCCTTACTTCCAACTTCCACTATACTGGAAATTAAAACAGTTTTGAGGGTCCGCAGATCATAGTAGACATTTTTTTTAATTCCACCCCATCGGAAATTAAAGTTTGCCTCGTTCGATTTATCGACCTACCCACCCTCTTCAGTACTTCGGAGAAGTGGGCGATCTATTTGATTAGCGCACGAATTCTTGGATCTGAGGGTTAAAAAAACCGTTTTGAACCCTTTCAATATTTTATGTATTCAATATTCGACCGGTTTATAAGGACGATATTAGGACTGTTGTACGTCAATGACGTCAACTTAATGACGTCACAGACGTTTGTGGTATCAGGATGACCTGCGTTTGTAGGAGCTTTCCAAAAAATCACTGATTCTGTACTTCAATGACGTCACATTCAGATTTTTATCAGGATGGCATATGAAGTCCGGGAATTACCGTTACCCCCCAGCCAAAAAAGAGATTAATTTTTCGTTTTGACCATCCATGACGTCACATCGCGTTTTCGAACGGGACTTCATAGGATCCCAAGAGCTCTCAAACCAGTGTAACCTAAAAAATGGCTAATTTTGTTGGCTTTGTAGGTTAATGACGTCACTTAATTGTTGTGGTATTAATATTATCTGAGATTGTAGGAGCTTCTGACAAAAAAATGCACACTGATTTCTGTATTTCAATAACGTCACATTCAGGTTTTTATCAGGATGGCATGAAGTCCGGAAACTACCGTTTCGAAAAATTACCCCCCCCCCCAAAAAAGATTAATTTTTCGTTTTTGACCATCCATGACGTCACATGTGCGTTGTCGAACAGGACTTCATGGGATCCCAAAAGCTCTCAAACCAGTGTAACCTAAAAATGGCTAATTTTGTTTAATTAAAAATTACCCTAATTATTATTTCATGAAGTATTAAATTTCGTTTTTGAACTTCAATGACGTCACATCATATGCGTTTTCGAACAGGATGGCATGAGACTTATATATTAATTTATTTAACATGCAAAAAAAAATTGCGGCGAGTGGGTCTTATCGGGTCCTCATGCTTTACTCGGTGTAAAAGCAAAATCAGTTAATATTTTGAACAAACAAGCCAAAAAGTGATTTTTTTTTCTTGTTAATTATTAAAGATGATATTCCATCAGTACTTACCTGTAATTGTAGTTTTGATAAGTGTGCAGGTGTTTGTTTGTCTTGGGCGGGGGGGGGGGTTGCTTTTATATATTTATTTGCTGGGCTTCTTAATTTTTTATCTTTTTGTTTTTTTGTTAACGACCTTGTTGGAAAAAATGCGGACACTATTTTAAAAATAAGGTCCCGACTAAAAATAACATGATCGCACACGACAGTCGGACGTCGATTCGAGCAGATAAGGGAAAACAAAATTGGAAATTATTTTAGATTGTAAAAACTTTTTTTTCTGTTATTCTTTTGGGACAAAAACCTCGGTCCGATATTTGGAGACGGTGGAGAGAAAAAAGGTCGTCGAATGCGGGCGGGGCGATGGACGTGTGTCCGGTCCGTGGTTCGCTTTGTCTCGCTGCGTCTCCGGGTCTTCGTCGTGTGCTCGGCCCTCGGGGTCTGAACCGTCGGTCGCACGGGGGGAGAAACAGAACGGGAAAAAAAACGAGGGGTCCGCTCGGTTATTTAACCTCAGCCCCAGGGAACCCGGATATCGATCTGTTTTGACGCGGGAGGTTCCGGGCCGGGGGCGTGTCACGCGTGTGGGATGGTGTAGAGCCGCCATTTTTCGAAATGTGACGACCGACGCGGAGGAATGAAAAACGGTGTGACGACCATGGATGTAAATTGTTTTCTTTAAAATTTCACCAAACTACAATTTTTCGTAACTTGTTTTATACTTTCAAGTCGTCTCAGAAGGTCTTAAGACACCAACTGATTATGTAACGACCATGGGTGTAAATTACTTATTTTAATAGCTCACCAAAGTACAATTTTTTTCTAAATTGTTTTATACTTTCATGCCGTCACAAAAGGTCTCATCACTTTTATGTGATGACCAGTCTCATAAAGTCCAGCTAAGAATTTTTTTTAATGGTAAATCACCACAGAAACTTCTTTCCTACGCAAAGGGGAAAAACAGTCGTGACGACCATGAATGTAAATTACTTTCTTTCAAGATTCACCAAAGTTGGAAATTTTTTCATGTTCAAGTCGTTATAGAGGCCTTATGTGACGACCAGGTATCATAAGAGGGCTTTTTTTTCAAAACTTGTTTTATAGCTTCAGGTCAGGTCGTCACTGAAGGATTTACGAAACAAACTAATTATGTGACGACCATGGATGTAAATTACATTCTTTAAAGATTTACCCAAGCAGAATTTTTTTGCCACACTTTTTACAATTTCAAGGACTTAAAACACCACATGAATGTAAATTACTTACTTTAAAAGTTCACCAAAGTACAATTTTTCTAACCTGTTTTATACATTCAAGTCGTCACAGAAGCCTTAAGACACCAACTAATTATGTGGTGACCATGGATGTAAATTACTTTAAAGTTCTCTAAAGTACAATTTTTTCTAACTCGTTTTATAAATCAAGTCGCCACAGGTCTTAAAACACCAACTGATTGTATGACGACCAGAGATTAATTCTATTGAAATTGACAGGTAGCGGTTATGTGAAGATCAGGAATCAGGAGAAACTTGTATGCCAATACTGCATGTACTGTGAAAAATATATGAAGTTTTTTATAGCAGGTCGTCATATTTGTGACGACCTTGGGTGTAATGTTTTCTCAAAGGTTACAAGCAGACAGATTTTTGTAAAAAAAATTGGAATTGTAGTCATCAAAGATAACATGCTGATTTTTGTCTATGCCAGGGCCAAATAAAAACAAAAAAAAACAATTGTGTGACGACGGGCGTTCAGGCAAATAGAACCCAGGATTTAAAATATTTTTACAATCCAACTGTATTTGTCTGGAAGGGTTGAGACATAAAAAGAAGACTATTTGTATGACGACAGGAGGTTTAAAAATGTTCCACTCGTCCATCTTGATAGATTTTTTTGTTTTGGACAATTTAAATTCGAATTGTAAGTTATAGATAGCAAGATAGCCTTGATTGACCGCAAGATATGTGGCGACGCAATCATGAAACAATGTTGTGACGACTACGGATGTAAATTAATTTTTTTTAAGGCCCACCCATGTGGAATTTTTTTACGTTTATATTAAAATTGCAAGTCACTACAGAAAACATTGGGAGCGGTTGTGTGACGACCATTCCTATCAGAACTTAATTGTGAGTCGACATCACGGTGACAAAAGCGTACATGTGACTAACAAGAATGAGGAATATCTATGGCCCAGGTTTATGTGCCAGGTCGTCTGATTAGGTATGATGGTGAATGACATGTGTGACGACTCAAGATGATTAATTTGATCGTTTTGTACCAATTAACCGTTAATTTATTCAAATCTCTAGGTTTGAAAGTCGTCAAATTAGGACAATTACGTTCGTCTTGTATTAGACGGTGTGACGACCGAGAATGAATATCAAGGTTAATTTCTTATGGGAAAGAAGTTTTTTATGTTATGGGTGGTCACATTGCACTGAACATCAAAATCTGACGATAAACGCATGAAGTTTCAGATAACTTGAATAAAAATTGTGTGATGACCCAGGACATAAAATATTACACGTCGTCACATTTACTGGACCAATTAGTGTTATAGGTCGTCACGTTGTACTGAGAAAAATCTGTAACGATAAATCCAAGGGTTCAGACAACAGAATAAAAAAAATTATGTGACAACCAAGGACGTAATCGAACTGTGCTAGTTTGTTTCAGGTCGTCACACATTGTCCTGAGTAGTTTTGCTGCAGAAAGTCACATCGTACTGAGGCGTTTGTTACAGATGTCACATTGTTCTGAGAAAAAACGGTATCGATAAATCCATAAAGGTTCATAAATTTCAATAAAAAAGTGTGACAGGATGTAACTGAACTGTACTAGTTTGTCACGGGTCGTCGCATTGCACTGAGCATCAAAATCTGTGACGATAAACACAGACAATTTGAAATAAAAATAGTGTGACGACCCAGAACGTGACGCAACTGTACTAGATGTTACAGATCGTCACATTGTACTGAACAGTTTTGTTACAGTCGTCACATTGTTCTGAAAAAACTAACGATAAAACCATAAAAATTCAGAAATTTCAATAAAAATGGTGTGATGACTGAACTGTACTAGTTTGTCACGGGTCGTCGAATTGTATGAGCATCAAAATCTGTGACGATAAATCTATAAGGGTTCAGAAATTTGATTTAAAAAATGGTGTGACGACCCAGAACGTGGCAACTTTACTGGTTTAAGCTACAGATCGTCATATTGTACTGAGGATCAAAATCTGTAACGATAAACCCATTAAGTATTTTTATCTGTGAATGTATTTATTTGTGCGACTGTCTTATCTAATCTTAACTGATTTATCTTATTATTACGCTAGATTATAGTTTGCATGGGTTTGGGATAGAAATGAACTTAGTTGTCGATAGCCCCGTCGGAGCCTAACCCGCTGGTAAGGAACCAACGATCCCCTGGGAATTTGGCTTAAGGGGGGATACTACCAGGACACAGAACGGGGTGGGTGAACTTCCAGATGTACAATTCCTAGGGTCGGCACATCGGGATGAATGTCCGATAAACCCATAAAGGTTGACAATTTGAATACGCTGGGACGACCCAGGATATAACTTACCACTAGTTTTTAATGATACAGGCCATCACATAGGTCCTAACGTGTTATAAACAATGATGAGAGTTATAAAACAGTCTTTAAAAGGTTCTGTAATGGAAAAAAATTACATTTTTTTCAGTTGCAAGCCGTCACGAAAATGGCATAATGACGAACAAAAATAAATATCAAGATTCATTTCAGTGAAGAAAAAAATGAATACAATGGCGTTACGACCTATGACAATTAAACAAGCTAATTTTATTGTTTCAGGTCACATTGAATAGAATAAAATAACAATGGTGTGACGACAGTATAGATAAACTAGCCTGTTAAAAGTTCCAGCAAATATACTTTTGACACGTTAGGGATATAAAGCTAATGTTTAATTACAGGTTGTCACAAACTACTGTTATAAACGAATTAAGGTTCCAAATTGAAGAAAAATTGGTGTGACGACTGGAGATAGCCTTGTAGGCTTACATTTTTTTTTTTTTTTTTAGCTTACCCGGTAGTCACAGAATGTCAAGAGGTTTTGCTGGTGGGATAACATGAATAGAGATGACAAGTTAATACAAATAGAGTTATTTTATTATTATATAATATTTACCAGGTCCTCACAGGGGGAAAAGTGCTTTGACGTCCAAGAATCAAGGTTAAGTTTAATTCTAAGATTGTTATATTTCAACAGCCACAAACGGTCTCTTTTTGAGGACATAGAAGGTCACCTTGGACTGAATATAGAATAAACATTGATGTGATAACCAGTGTAAACCGCTTTTTTAAAGGGATTTTTTTAGAAGACTTCCGAGTTGCTAGTCGTTAAAGGACAATGTAATTATGTGACGACCTTATTTGCAATATTTTTTTGTGAAAATCTTTGCCTTTCCTGGTCGAATGTGATGAATATAATGCAACAGTGCATATTTGGCCAGGTTGAAGAATGTAAACTGATAGTTTGAATTGTTTCAGGTAAGTTTGGGTAAAAGAATAATGGATTATGATCTTACAAGTCACATCATGTTACCTACTGGTTTTCTGTGACTACCTGTGATCTTAAAAAAAATCTAATGATACAAACCTCAAAATTGGAATATTATTTGGCGTCGTTACATAATTTTTAGTTAAGCTGAATCTTCAAGAAAAAGTCTTTATATGGTTGAAATATCAGTTTGACAATAGTTACTGGAAATTAATCAAACCTTGCTAGTACAAAAAAAAAACTTGCACACGCCGGCAAAAATTTGTTATCACTTTATGTGACTACGACCTAAAGCTATTTGTTAAGCTGAATCTTTAAGAAACAGACTAAAAAAATTGAATCTTCCTAAATCTTGCATGGTGAAATATTAAATTTACATAACATGGTCGTCAACTAGCTTCACAACTGACTTTACAACCCAACCATACTTCGTGGTGGACGACAAGCCGGGATTTACGACCAAAATATGGGATACGAGAGGGCAAAGAACTTACAATTTTTTTATATATACAAATAATAATAATTATTATTATAAACTTGTTTTAAATATTTGTTCACATAGAGACGAACTAATTCGCCGACATGGTGATGCTGTCAGAATGTTTGAACAATTACAGCAAAAATAAACACAAAGCTTTTAGCGTTTTCCTAATCCTACTGCTAAAACTACAATAAATATATACAGTATATATTAATAAATAAATATATTTTTGTTAAATAAATAAATAGCCGACAGTAGTGATACAGTCTGCGATGGTGAATCTTGTCACATGATTGGAAGGTTACGTTGTAATTTTTATTTTGGCATAAAAATGTATTTTTCATTAATTAAACCTGTGATTTAAGGTACGCGGAAAAAGAGTCGATGTGTGAAATTGAAACTGAAAACGATTCTGCTTCCCTCAATCCTCGTTTTTATGCTTTTAAATATATTATCAATTATTAATATTTATATATGATTAGTCGGACCCAATGGTGATGGAGAACGAGTAGTCCATCGCCATACATTTGAGTATGAGCGGTTCGTTTTTAATATAATGAAAAGAAATGTTTTGAGTTCAAAAACTTGCGTAGGGTTAGCTGTCGGTGAAGACCCCGGAACAGAAGCGAAGCCGAAGCATGTGATTAACACAGTCCACCCTTGAAAAGTCCCGATTCTGAACTCGATTCTATTAATCTAAAAAAACAGCAATATAAATAGACAATAAATTATACAAATGATGGTTTAAAAGTATGCAAACAAATGGGTGCATACGGTGTTATTAGAAAAGTCCGCCATTCCCCCGGCTCCTTTTACGAGGGCTCACCGGCTCGTCTGTTTTCTCTCGAGGACCTTTCATGTAATTTTATTACTATAGAATCAATAAAAAAAACATGATAAATTACAATAATAAAGTTTTTATGTTATAATTAAATAATGTGTGTGATACACCCAAATAGATAGTATCATAACCTTCTCATTAAATAACTACTGATGAAGATCAACCACTGCCTACTCTATATAATCACTGCCAACTATATAGTTACAAATATAAATTTTGAAAAAAAGTTTTAACAGGATAGAGATTAAGTTCTTTTTATATATGTAAATATAAAATTTTGGTAAAATGTACAGGCTTAATGTTTAAAAAAGAGATTATTTATTTCTCTGTATCGTAAGTTGTAAATTGATCGAAAGACTAGATTTTTTAAAGGAAAACGAGGGGGGAAACGTCTATGGAAAGTCGTCACTGTCATACGTTTGAAAGCTGTCTTCCGAGACCTTCTGATATCACACCAAGCGAGAGAAAAAAAAGTGCACGCTAGAAAACGCTCCCCCCACAAACTTTTTTTTCCAAATAGATAAAAATTAAAAATAATACTTTAAAAAAATCACTATTTTTAACAAGCTGAGACAATTGCCTCACCCGCTTGAAACGAAATCACAGAAAAACTATAAATAAATATTATATTATAAAAAAGCCCCCCCCCCCAGTATGCTGAACGCCGTCTGCAGGAGATCTTGATTTCCTTAGCGGTCTGCCCGTTGACTTATTGATACACTCATGAGATAATACTGCTCGATGTTTTTTTGTGCGTAAAAAACCTAAAAGAAAAAAAAATATTAAAAAATAGGCTAAAATATTTATTACATATATATAAAAGTGAATGTTTGTATGTGTGTTAATGATGAAAACGAAAACTGCTGGACCGATTTCAATGAAACTTTCACACTTTGTTCATATTAGTGCCTGAGCGGGTTTAGATAATATAAAATGAGCATTAGGATTTCAAAAAAAAAAGAGAGCTTTCAGGAATTTGTAGCGTCCATTTTCACATCTGTTTTCTCAGCTGTCCAGTCGGGCCTTCGGCTCCCAGGTTGATACACATCTTTTAACTTCCAATTTGAAGGCGCTAAAAGTCAACAGATGCAAAAACTATGCTAAAGCTCTACAATCGAATCACTGAATCTATTATAGTTGAAATACTACTATTGGTTTCGCTTATGTAAAGATAGGAAGACATAAACTTCACCCTTTACTATAGGGAGTAGTGGTGAAAATGAAATACCGGCATGTGCCCTGACCGACGACCTTTCCACTAAGCCAAACCATCAGATTTGAGAAAAGCGCTCAAAGTGAGCATTTATTTAGTGTGCAAAGATAAAGACTGCGAAAAATATTTTGTTATACAAGTATGTATACATGAACAATTATAAATGATGTAAAATTGGATTTATTAACATTCTAAATTTTATAAAATGCAATGTTGTAAAGTTCCGTAATTTTAATTCTTTCAATGTTAGATGATAGATCCTATTAATTATTATTTTTATCTAAGGTTTTTGACTGAGATGAAAAATTGGTGTCACGAGCGGGATTCGAACCCACGGCAGTTCAAATTTTCCCTCATTTTGCCATATTTTCATTAATTGGTGTCCAAGGGGATTGTAGTTACAATAGCTCAAGTGGTTAGAGCAGCAGCGTATTGAGCCAAAGATCTTGGGTTCGAATCCCGCTCGTGACACTAGCTTTTCATCTCAACCAAAAACCTTAGATAATAAGAATAATTAATACAGTCAATTATGACCACTAAGCAAATACGGATTAATTTAATAATTAAAAAGAAGTAATTACATCTCTAACAGCTCCCCATGGCTAATTCATAAGTCGTTGAGAATTGAATCCTGATAATACAGGACGTTAGTTATTAAGTATACGTCTCCGTTTTGTATTAGTTTATAATGATATATTAATATATTTCATTTAAATTCATACCTAATATATATATATAATGTATTTATTTATACGTATTAGTTGCTATCAGAAGAGGTTATTTTTTGAACATATTTAAGCTTAAATGTTTTATTCTGATAATTTCAATTCATTCTATAATAATTCAGTATTGATGGTAATCGTTAATAGTGTTGATCATTTTCTAAGACTACTGCAAAGCATTGGCGAAATGGGAAACGGTCATATTTACCAAGATGCGCTTGGCTCATACAAGGATGATGCATAGGCACCTCCTCTACCGGACTGGGGTGAGACAAAGACGCAATTTTTAATTGTTAAAAATGCGAAACTTTCAACATAAAAAATATGTACAAGCCAAGTTATAATACAACTGGGTTATATCTTTTTTTTTCTTTTTTTTTTTTTATGAAGGTATTTCAACTATGGGGGTATGAACCCCGCAAGGTGCCGGTGTTTTAGAAAACAAGCCATGAGCGCCGTGTCAACGCCTAAACCATTGTGGCTACCGACACCCACTTAGGGTAGGTTAAATTACATTTGGGGTGGAACTATTTAATAATACCTTTTTCCTATTATCTATAATGTATTTAATAAGATTGAGTCAGTGCACTAACCACTCGCGGTCCAGTTGAACACATTTTAAATGTATAATATGAAATAAAAATGAAATATAAAACTTATACCGGTTTGAGTTAGACGATCGGGTGTTTCTCGGGCAAGAGTGGCGCCCGGTCGTCCTTCGTCCGCAAAACCTCCTCCCTCGTCTCCTCAAGGCTGAGGCATGACCAGAGCCCGAGCAGCGTCAACAAAAGTAGAAGTGACCATACGAGGCAGTACGGCACGCCGCGCACCGTCCCGCCTCCGCAGAGTCCAGCTGCGCCCGCTTTCTCTGTTACGACAGGCATCGTTCTTAACCTTATCTCTGGTATGCGGAGCGTCTCAACCCTGGCAATCTGCGAACGTAGGCTCGGATCTGTGAGCACGTCGTCTGGCTCAGGAACATCGGCCTGGAGGATCTGCATTGAGTTGCCATCGATGAACCATGACCAAGAAAACGCCGCCACCGACGGCTTCTCCAAACAAAAAAAATAATAATAAATAAATAATTCACTTAATTATACTTTTTATCTAAGGTCTTGGTTTTGAGATGAAAAAGTCAGTGACATGAGCGTGATTCAAACCCACGACCTTCAGCTTTAGAATTCATGAAAGGTCAATGGTTAGAAAAGTGGTGTATTTACCCGAAGGTCGTAGGTTGGAAATCTCGCTCGTGACACTGTCTTTTTCATCTCAACCGAGACCTTAAATAATTAATATGGTCAATTATAAGTGTTTTAATAACATAAATTTCAATTTTGTACTGAAACAGAAAGTACCTGAGTATTAGACTCGCAGCCTGTCTTGCACCACATCACATCGAACCCATAGCCCCCGTATGACTCCTGGCACACTATAATTTAAAAAAAAAAAAATTATAACATACTATATAATTAAAAACAACGAATTATGTATTTATGTATGACTTTAACATACTGGCTTTACAAGCTTCGCCCCGGAATGGCCTTCCGTCCGCTTGGCCTTCGGCGATCTGCTCCGCTATCACATAAAAGCGACAACCTCTTGCGCAGCTCTCCCTTATTCCAAGCTTTCAATTTAAACAATTCGTTTTAAACTGATTATTATGAAACAAAGAGAAAATTATTTTAATGGGGTGGAAAAAAATTACCTTTTCCGAATGTACCGACAGCCTCCTGAGACACTCGGCGGTGCAAGTCTCGCCCGGATGGCCCAGGACGCCGAGGAAGAGGGCGAAGAAGAGGAGGACCGTTGCAGAATTCATCCCGGGCAGTAAAACGAAGAGGAAAACGATAAATAGCGTATTTTGCTTACTAGGAAAGCGTATGCGACTCTAGAGGGAAAGAAGGCTGCACTTTGCAGTCTGCAGTTCTCCACTCTGCAGTAGGAGAACGTCGCTAAGCCTCCAGTGTTGCCAACCTACAGCATAAATTTTCCCCTTTCAACTTTTCCCACCCTACAAGACTCTAATACAATTTTCAAAAAATTGCCAAATACCGAGGAAAATACATAGCACTACAAGAGGAGAGAGAAAAAAGGAGCCTCTATTCTGCTTTGAAGGATCAAAAATTTTATACACATGTGCATTATGACATAATACTTACAAAATTTTATTTTTAATTATTTACTTGTATATTATTTGGAAATGGATTTATATAGATTCAAAGCCGTGTTGAATCTGTTCACCTATCATAGTCCATCGGCAGACTCGATAATCACCCCGGTATAGACCTCAGTTGAATCCGTCTTACCGTCTAGCCAGGTTGGTCTCTTGGGGGAGAAGGATCAACAGCTAGGTCAATTCAGCACCAGGGTGGTTGAGTACTTGATATACCTCCATTGCCCTTTAACTACACAACTAGCCTAATTGAGGTTCGATGGAGTAGTCAAAATTCCACCGACGCTCATCACAAATTCAGTATCAACACAAACTAGGTTCATCTATAGTATCTACATACATGCAATAAAACAACTCTTTTCTTTCAAGAATCACACGGGACCTAAATACTCGCTGCTTGAGCATGTTTATAAAATTGGGTGGCATTCTTACAATGCTCTATAAGGAGCAAAGGAATTCTATTAGGTGGGACACATCGAGCGACCCTTCTCTGCAAGCTGGACATATGCAGGCTTTCGACCAAAATTGTTCATGTGTCAACCTTAATCAATTGAGGATATACCTTCTATTCTTCCTCCACCGAAGGACACCCATCGACAGTGCTCTTTATAAGCGAGAGCTTCTCTGTCAACTCGGCCCATTGACACTGCTACATTATTTTTATCGTGTTTTTTATTGCACTATTAGTGTCAGAGAGCCAGATCACAGTGTTTGTCTGCCTTTTCACTTTTCACCCAGTTCTAGGAAAACTTGTCACAAACAGCAGTAATCAAGCTGAGGGATTCGGTGTAGACTAGGTAGGCATAACACACCTTCATAAGTCTTAGACCCGTTGTAAACACTACAAAAACCAGTGTACCTAAATCTAAACTCCAAGAAGTTAGCTCAGTAAAGGTATGGCGAAGTAGACAACTTGGCTAACATCCGGGAGGACCCAGGGCGTAGTCAGCCGGTTGCCCAGCTCAATTACCTCTCCAAGTGTCCCCCTGCCATCCCTAAGGCTTTGAAGCGTATTCCTAGAGTAATATTAGATTAATATTTAAATTTCAATTATTCATTATTAATTACATATACTTTACTCTTATAGAATTTGTAAAAGCATATTTACCCATATAAATCAATAAATACATAAAACGAGCATCCTTATTTTCAACAAGTGTGCAATACCTAAATTATTCATAATTTTCCTCTCTATTACTTTTTTCTGCATTTTACATAGTTAAATTTCTCATTTTCACTTGATATTCTTTTTCGTTAAAAAGTTATGTACTGTGTCTGTGTATTTTCCTGCCCATTTAGGTACAGGTTTGTTTTACGTTTAATATCTCCATCATCATAATTTTTTTAAGCAATCATCTCACGATTCACATACAGCCATTTTCTCTGTAAAATATTTTCACAGAGGTAAAATATATTTATTATATAAAATATTTTGAGGTATAATATTTTTAAGAGACCTTGCGCACCTGGATGCATGAACTGCAAACTGCAAAAAATGAAAGAGAGGAGAGTGAAAGAGTGAGTTGGGTGGGTGATAGACAGACGGATAGTGAATGAGAGTGAGTGAATAATCAAGAGTGACTCGAGTAAAGAGAGTGAGAGCGTATAAATGCACGAATGAGTGAGCAAGCGAACAAGTCTGAGAAACAAAATAAAAAAGTGGGAGAGGAAACAGAGTGATTGGGGGTCAAGTAAACAGCGTGAGTGATAGGACGAGTGAGTGAACACAAGAATAAAGTTAGCAAGTGTGTGTGTGAAAGAGAGAGGGGGGAGTGAGTGTAGTGAGAGAGAGATTGAGTGAAGGTGAGAGTGAGATAAAGTGAGAGAGTGTGAAGAAAAGAAGATAGTGAGAGAAAAAGAGAGAGAAAGAGTGAAGGTGAGGGTGAGATAAAGTGAGTGAGTGAGTGAGTGAGTGAGTGAGAGAGNGAGTGTGAGAGAAAGTAAGTGAGTAAGAGAGTGTGTGAAAGAGAAAGGGAGAGAAAGTAAGAGAGGGAGTGAGTGAGAGGAGTGCATGCATAAATAGATTCATAAGTAATGAGAAAAAATATGGGAAATTTATAAAATGATGAATAAAATAGATAATAAAAAATAAAATAATAATAAACACAAGTGAATATAAATAAAGACAGTATAAATTAAAAAAATTAAAATCTTACATTATTGAATTTGAAAAAAAAATTAAAAACAAATTTTTTTCTTCTGTTTTTCTTCTTTCTATGATCACTAAAATGTCTTTTTATATTTATATATTTTAAATACGAGTTAAAATCAACATATCAACATATTAACATATCACAATGTGGTTTGTTTTCTCATCCCACGCTCACAGTAGGGTGGGTCGAGTTTAAACTTCAGTTTCAACTCTCGTCGGCCCATATTATGGTACGGTCGTTTGTACGTATCTGGAGTCGTTTGACGTGGAATAGGACACGCAGGCCGAGGCCGAGCTTGAACCCCATGCCTTTGAGGACGTCGTACCTTTTCATCAGCTTCAGTGCATACCCATCAATGTCCTTAAAAAAAAAAATTTTTTTAAATAAAAGATTTGAATATTTTTTTTGTAATAAGTATACTTGTTCGATGAAAGTTTTGGACACGTTGTCGTCAAAGTACGTTGCGAAGTAGTCTGCGACTTCCTCGGTTGTCCAGAGCGTTGGGTCCGGAACGTCGGGGTCAGGTACGGGACGTTCTTCTATTTGCATTCTCGCCTTCCTCTGGACTTCCATGCGCTTCGACTTGATGTCTTCGCTCGAACTGCTGCTCGCCTCGTCCGCCATGCCCATCAGCATCATTTTCTCCTTGCCTTCTTCTACAGAGGAAAGAAAAACAAAATGTAACAGCTGATATGTTCAGCTGATTATTTTTGCAAAAAAAAATTATACAAACCCGAATTTATTGAATTTGACTTGAGCTGAAAAGGCCGGAGGACTTTGACGTTCGACTGGAGGAGACGATTTATACCTAAGATCTTGTCGTTGTAGCTTGAGTCTTCAAGGACGACGAAGAACATGTTGAGCGGGGTCTTGAACCTGGATATGGCATTGACGCATTTTTTGACGTTATAACCTTTGCGTGTCAGTTCAGTTTTGATCGCCTCAGGCGACACCATGTGATGGAGGCCTTTTATCACAACTGTATTTGAGCTTACGACGCCCTTCGTAGCTATCGTTACCTCTTTCACAGCTTTAAAAAAAAAAAGTTAAACTTTGCACGACTATTTGGAGGGGGAGTTACCTTTTTTTTCGGCGCAGTTCTTGCACTGCCAGGATCCGATCATCATGTTGGTGATCCTGGGTGAGATGCAAGTCTTGTGATAGTGGTCGCCGCAGGAAAGGCATTTAACGAGAGAACCTAACCACTGTATTTAAAGAAGAAAAAATAAATAAATAAAAAATTAGATTTCAGGGATCTTAATATAGATTTTTTTAACCTTATTAGTTGGCATTACGCATGATACGCATGTTGCCTTGAAAGAGTTGGCCGGTTTGTCAGCCCGGCAGTGCGAGCAGTACCAGGCTGTCCGGTCGTACGGCTCGCTCATGAATAACAGCTGTTCCTGTTCGACACACGATGAGTGGGCGAACGATTTGCACAGCCTGCACCTCACAGGCGATTCGGAGAGTCGGCATGGCTCGCGGCATATCGAACACTTCTGAAGACCACACCTCCTCTTTGGGAACTCTGAGTAGATCGTCTTGCCTTCGGCGTTCTCAGATTTCATACACCTCCTCCTGTTAGATTTTTTCTTCAAGGACGGGAACACATACTCGTTTGAATCATACCGTTTGCTCTAGAAAAATTAAAAATAAATAATTAAATTTAAAAAACGGCAGTCCCAGCGTTCCCAATAATTGGCTATGTTGTAAAAACCAGGAAATTAGACTAAACCACGAAACGCCCAAACAACGTCCTGGTGCATTAATGGGGAATTTTCTATCCGAAAACATGAATAGACGGGATTGAGTTCCTTAACATTCACATGGAGGCAACAGGTGCTCTTAAATTTGACACCTTACCCGTACAGACTGACCTTTGCATTCCTGTACACATGAGTACGCAGTCCCATTACCTAGATACTATTTATTAATCTAGCCTTACAGCAGAGGTCCCGACCATCAGAGAAAGAAGTAAACCATACTCAAACGAGTTGAGTACACTGAGGCCAAGGTCTGCGATTTGTGCAAAAACGAGCCACAATATTGCCCGTATGGGGGAAAAAGTGGAAACCAGCCGTACTCCTGAGGGAGGAAAAGTCTTAAAGTTTTGGGATTTGATTTAAAAAAAAAATCTTAAGCTTAACGAAAAGCTCTAGATATAAAGATTGCACAAAAGACCAATATTGGTCAAGTGTTGTAAGGTTGTAAAAGGGCCAACTTCTTTCTAAACCTTAAACAATATAATTTAATCTTACCCTTACGCGTCCGCTTTTTTTCAGAGGCTGGTTCGGGACCTTTTTGATGCGTATCGACGGTTTGTAGAGTCCGTCGACGTTCTGTCTCGTTTCATCATCACCGTCGCCTTCCGAGTCAAGGTCTTCTTCGTTAAGCTCCTCCTCGCTTTCAGCCTTCTCTTTCGTCTTCTCCTTCGCCTCCTGACAGCTCGAGTCGTCACCGCTCAACGAAACAGGTTTGGACGATTGTTTAAGCTTGCGCCTCTTGCGTGTCGGGCCGATGGTGCTGCTGTCCGAACTCACATCTATTACCTCCTCCTGAAAAGACAAATCCTGAAGTTTAGAGTTAAACGCCTGAACATAGAATTTAATAATTACTTTTCTCTTTTGCGACTCCGGGATCTCTTCAAGGATTTCTTTAAAGATGCATGTTCCTTCAGTTCCTTCATTATCAATCTGAAATGAAGAGATTTTTTTTTTTGTAATAATGTACCTAGCTCTGGGATTTTATTACATAATAACATATTAAATGTATAGTCTTTTTTTTTTTTTTTCAAATAACTAAATAATTTTTAGAAATGATGACGGTGGGGTGAGTGTGTAGATTCACTTTTTGTAAATAATTTCTTTCCGGGAATAGCCCAGGTGTCCAGGACTTTCGCCCATCCATCAGATCAGACATATGTACCTTTCCTAGCCATAAATCTTATGGCCCAATTCCTGTCCCGATTCGGGGGTGATTTAATTAGGTATCGGAATGATGTAGGCATATACTCATACCAGCATAGCTACCAGGCTTTCCCCTTCTGCCGAATGTTAAGGCTTAAAAAGTCTAGTTTTGTACAGTCTTTAGGAAGATTTCACTACAATAGGTACTGTTTGTTTCCTATCCTGATTTTCCTGGGGTTTAAGAACAAAACATAAAATTTGGAATTTTTATAGATTAGTAAAAGAATCAAGTCATACCCTAACCAAGTTATACACTAAGTCCTCTGAGACATTTTCACTTATGTCAACTTTCATCTCAAAGCCTTAAAAATGGTTAAAAAGAATTAAGTTGTAAAAAAGTCCCCAGGAAGGTTTCATTATGATAGGTTTGCCATTCTGGTTTTGCTGTACAAAAGTACAAAACATAAAAATTTTAAATTTTATAGATTGACAATAGAGTCAAGATTAATCTTAATCCGGGTTGTAAATTTGTTATGTTTTTCTCAAAGTTTGAAGTTTAAATACCTCGAAATTGGTAAAAAGGAGTTAAGTTGTAAAAAAAAGTCCTTAGAAAGGTTACATTATGACAGGTTTACCATCCTGATTTTGCTGGAAGTTTAGAACAAAACAAAATTTGTATAAACTGACAATAAGGTCAAGTTAAACAAAGTCATCCGGGAAGTAAGTTTGTCAAGTTTTTTTTTCTTTTTAAGTCTAGTTTAAACTAGAAATGGGTAAAATGGTTAAGATATATAAAAAGCCCTTTGGAAGGTTTTATTATGACAAGTTTGCCATCTTGGTTTTGCTGTGGTTGTTTACAAAACATCAAATTTTGTAGATTGACAATTAGTACAAGTTAAACAAAGTTTTCCGAGATGAAAGTTTTCAATTTTTTTTTCCAAAGCTTGTTAAACACTTAGAAATTGGCAAAAGGAGTTAAGTTGTAAAAAAGTCCTTAGGAAGGTTCCATTATAACAGGTTCTGCTTGTTTACCACACTGTTTTTTTCCAAAGAGACTATTTACTACAACCGGAAAACTAAAGTTTTTTCGAAATACTTTATGGGGGGAGGGGGTAAAGTTATAGTCTTTTTTATAGATTAGTAAAATGTTTGTCAGTCCTTAGGGAGATTTCACTGTGCCAGGTTCTACTTGTTTACCATCCTGGTTTTCCTATGACTTTTTTAAACCCGTTTAAGCTTAAAGCTTTGAAAATTTTACAAATGGGTAAAAAATTTAATTTTTTTACATCTAATATAAAGAAAATTGTGGATGAAAGTCTGCAGTACCTTTTCTTTTTTGACGAGGTCTATATCGGGGACGTCTTGTTCCTGACAGTCTTCCTCAGAAGATTCCTCTCCCGTTACATCACCCAGGTCGATGAGGGTGAGTTTATCATCCATCGCCTCCTCCCTTATAACGTCGAGGATCTCATCTCTGTCTTTGCAGACGTCGTTTTCGACCAAGAAAGCGCCCAATTCTTCGAGTGTGGCGTCTTCTTTCTGCATAGAGTCCCAGGCGGCGGCGATTTTCCCCTCGGACGCCCTGACGCCGCAGGACGCGATCGAATCCCATGAGACCTTCCTGTAGACCGGCTTTCCGGCCCTTTCCGCCTTGACGACCTTGCCTTCGGCGAGGAGGGCGTCCAGGACGGACTCGCACGTCTGCAGGCTGAAGCCGTACAGTTTGACGAGCGGCCGAGAGACGCGGGCGGCGTCAGCACAACGTCCGGAGGCGGAGATCTGTTCTACGGCAGCCAACGCGACGTCCTGGACGGTCGAGTCGGGCTTTCGCCGGATTTCCGAGAGTCTTTTGAGCATCCCGAACTGAACCGGAGGCCAGAAGGTTCGACACTGGCTGGTGGCTGAAGACGCTGTCTACGGGCCGACCCGCATGTGCACCACCCTATACTCTACACAATTTCTAACCTCCCGTACAAAAACAAGCAAAAAACAAACAATTTAAGCGTTCACCCTTACCATTTTGAACAACAAAAACAACAATACATAAAAAAACACGCTAAATTAAATAACAACTCAACTACCGGACCGATCAAACCAAGCCTGCAAGACGACCTCGACACACGCACAAAATACACCCGTGATAAATTGCAAAAAAAAAAAATAAACAATAAAAAATAAATACCAGGACCAATTAAAAGACAGTAATTAAACGAGAAAACAATATTTGATTAAGGAGAAAATCGATAGGAAAAGCGAAACGTGAGCCCGAGGTGCCCCTTCCGAAATTCTCCACTTTCCCACCGTACCCTACAAACCAAAAAACACAGTTAAAAAAATTAATACAATTAATATCTATCTATAAACTATAAATGAATTAAATTAGTAAAAAGGAAGGAAAGGAATGACAAAACTTCTGGCTGTAATTAAAACGAACGGTTCAAATTTAAAGATGGCGACGGTCACGGCCCAAGTACACCACCTTTTGTTTAATTTAAACTATTATACAATAATTACTACCAGAATACATAATTTATAATAATTTATGGATTTTTTGTTAATTGTGACTTAAATAGAGAGCTCTGTAAAGATAAAATTGGTTTACAATATAGACGATAATTTAGATTTGCACAAGGTAGCCATGGCAACTGGAGGAAACAGGACTGTTTCCTTTCTATTTTTCAATTTCAATTATTAACGATATAATTATTAACTATTTATTATTTTTATGCTAATTTTAGTATAAAAAATGTATATCGATAAAATTTGCTGGACAAAAGTGAACAGTTTATATTCACACATGGTGTCTGGAGGAAATTGTCTAATCCCTCCTATTAGTTCAATTTCAATTATTATCTGCATAATAACTGTTTATGATTTTTATGTTAATTATGGCATAAAAAAATCGATAAAAGTGGCTGGAATAGGATAGAGCTATTTAAATCACCTGGAAGCCATGGCAAGAAGAGCAAACTGTCAATTATGTCCTATTCATTCAATTTCCATTATTCATATAATTTTATAACTGTTTATTAATTTCTCATCAAATGTGTCAAACAGAGACCGGATTTTTATGCAGTTAAACGCCTATTAATATAATATAAAGTTGTTAAAATATGTAATGATATGCAGTAAACCAGTTTTTTTGCTATCATAGTAACTTTAACTCCCCCTAGAGTTTATTTACATTTAACAAAAATATTTTTACACTTACATAATTAAATTATATATTTTATACTAATTGAGTATTATTAATGGTAAGTTTGGTTGGTAACTTAATTTAGTAAGTAACTAAAGTACTTATCTAAATTGTTTTCTGTGAAATTGTGCCTACAGTCACTCAAAGTTTGTGATTATATTGAATATTGAAATAAATCCTAAGCAAGGGTTTTATATTCTTTTGTCGGTATTGCTGGCATCTTCTCTTCCCGTCGTTGCGGCCTGTTTCAATTTTATTCAAATTAAACCAACTTTTCGTCAACTTGTTGCACATTTATTTAGAAATCGTGAGATGCGGTCTGCTGTGATGTAGGTTTCAGAAAAACATTTTCTTTATCGTGCCAACATTTCGATCTTTATTGAGATCATCTTCAGGGCCTGGGATTTACAAATTGTTGTAAAAATGTTGCACATTTTTTTATGCTTCCCCTGAAAACCAACATTTTAATCATTTTGCGCGATTAATGTCATTTTACGTAAAAATCCTTCAAGTATGGGTATTGTTAAAATATGCAATATTCATCAAATAAGGAAAAATATGCTCTATAAAATTTAACTTGTGGCTTCTATACATGATTCAGATAGATAATTGATAGTTATTCAGATATCGTGAGATGCGGTATCGGTAGATATCTGAATAACTATCCATTAATGGTCACTAATCTCTACACATAGATAATTGATTTCCTCAGACACATGTGATGGCAAACAAATTATGCAACTGCATAAAAATCCAGTCTCTAATCATAAATAATCATTTTATATCAATAAAATTTATTTATAAAGATCATACTTGCAAAGGTAACGATGGCACTGGAAGGAACTGTCAATTCTTCTATTTTAATTATTAGCGAGTTAATTTATAACTGTTATGGTTTTTATGTTAACTGTGGCATAAATTCATGTTTTCATAGATAAAATTTGTTCAAAATTAGAGGAAAAAAAAATTTACACCTGAGGCCATGGTGACTGATGTAAACTGTATAATAATTCCTATTTGTTCAATTTCATTTATTACCTACATAACTATATATGAGTTTTTTTGTTAATTGTGGTCTAAATTACCATTTTATTTCAATAAAACTTTATTTTTGTACTGGTAGCTATCGCAACTGGAAGGAGCTTACAAATTTCCTTTATTTTCGTTTCAATTTGTAATTTTTTCTGGCAAAATGAGAAATCCGTTCAAATTTGCACAAAGCAGCCATGGCAACAAAAGAAAACTGTATTACCTCCTGCTTGTTTGATTTTAATTATTATGTATATAATTTATAACTGTTTATTATTTCCATGTCAATTTTGGTACATAGCAAGAAATTTAGCCCATGATAAAGAAGTTAAAGATTACTGGTTTTTAATTTTTAAATTTGTAATTTGTGAATTGTAGCATAAATGAACAGTTTTTAAAAATCAACGTTGCATTGGTCCATTATTTTATTCCGAGCTCTTCTATAAGCCCTCTTCCTTTACCAACAATCTATGCAGGCTCCTTCTAATTATAAATAAAATCACATTACCTTGCTATAAAGTCCTGTTATTTTATTACAAACTACGAACTCAATTTTGCGGACTGCTTACTATAAACCACTAACTTGTAACGTCTCATCTCAACAGAAAAACATCTGCCATTTTAATATGAACTCCACTCGAAGATCTCATCCCTGTGGAAAGGATCCTGTTACTTTGCCGACAAACTCACTTTATTTCACAGCACGATTATTTAGTTACATTGCTAAGTGTTTTATTATGAGTATTATTTGGCTATAATATAATTCCTGCTTAATATTTGTTGAAATCTCTTATTATGGAAATATAAGCTCCTTTCTGGTGGAATATCCTGTTATTTTATTATGAGGTCCCGTTATATTGCCATAAGCTCATATTATTTTGGCTGTTTTTCTATAAACTGTTGCTTTACAATGACATTGATGTTTTAAGTCTGAAACGCAAATAACATTTATAAAGTTTAAATAAAAATTTTATTATTTACATATGTAATATAAAATATATATTGGTAAGCGGTTTAAAACCATGTGCGATCAGACATTTTCATCGTGTCGTTTTGAAAAGTCAGCTTATGTAATCCCTGTCACCGACGAACTCTTTGATCTGCTTCAGAAAAATCGAGCTCACCTTGTCACAGTTGGACTTTGTGCTCTGTTTCAAGTAAGCCTCCATAGGTAAAAGGAGGTGCTGGTACGGGTCACTGCCTAACTGAAACTGCAATACCAGGGGGGTTAAACTCGGAATGTAATGTTTTTTGTTTTTTTTATTACCTCTTGGAACGCACGGAAGACGGCCTGAAATGCCGGCTGTTTGCTCGAGTGGAATGTACCGCGGGATCCATGGAGTACACGGACGCCTTCCCTCTCTGCTGACTTGCACACGCTCATATACATGCAGTGGTCCGACCTGTAGTTGTACGTGCAATCGTATATGTACAACCTTTCTGTTGAAAGAAAATAATAAATTAGTAAAACGCACGTTTTTTTTGTGCGTGAATTTTACCTGGGTGAAAATGGAAGATAATGTTGATGATGTCTTGGTCTCCCCATGTGATCATATATTTGTATTGTTTCAGTATTGGCAATAAATACTGGTTCCAGTTGAAAGCACGCATCCTTGTAAGATTCATCAGCATCACACCCGAATTTACACCTGCATTAACATATAAATAAATAATTAATAAAATAAATAAATGATAGTTTTGAGAAAAAGTGTTCGTGTTCTTTCTCTTGACTTGAGAGGGTTATCAATTAAAATACTACTCTTTTGCCATTGACAGATACAAACACCTTTATGGGAAAAGGTGAGGACTGAATACAAAGAGATCCCTATTGCTATACATAGTCGTATAGGATAGGGATGTAAAGAGACCGGCTCTTATATAATCTAATCTATATACATAACTGGAAGAACAGAAAGCTCAAAGGATTTAACTATTCAATTCAAAAATGGCAAAAAAAAAGTTGACATTTAATACTTCCAAGACTAAAAGTTAAATAAATAAATTTCCCTCACCGAGTTTTCCGTAGAAAGGATGTTTCGCGAACCTATTGTACCATCCGGTATGCGGGTCTTCATGCTCAGGTGCCAAGGCTGAGAACTGGGTGGAGTTCATCGATTGGAAATGCGCCCATACGTTTTCAAGAGGGCTCAGGAAAAGGACATCAGTGTCGACGTACAGGATTGAATCTGTGTCGGTAAGGAGGTTCTGAAAATGTAAGATGGTCATTATATATTACGCAGGGCGGGCGACCAGGACCCGAGGGGTTAAAAGCCTGGGTAGGCCCGTACCCCATAAGACGGTGATTAGAACAAAACTGACTGTCCGACACCATTCAAACATACCGGAAGGAAAAGCCTCTGGGCGGCACAAGGCTTGAATAACGTTCGCCACTTCTCGCTCTCGTTTTTTGGAAACGATATCACTCTCGTTTCAAATGTAAACGACGCGTTGGCAATCTCCTTCCACTCTGACAACTGAAGAATGTAAAAGTACAAAACTATCATCATCTAAATCAAATCAAAGAACAATTGAGAAATTACCTTTTCGTGAAATCTTGAGAACAGACCAGTCTCTGTGATAACGATGATCTTCTTTAGAGAGTCCTGTGAGAATATGATGGCCGATTTGAGCATGACGAGAGTCTCCTGGACCCTGTCACCGCAGACAACGACTGTCAGAACGACGGATCTGTTTCAAAATAATACATTATGAACAATAATTATAGAATATTTCTGACATACTTCTCATGCTTGCTGGACGGGGTGAGCCGGTCTGTCATCTGCTCGAGTCGAATCTCTCTGTAGACACCAGTCGACACAAGATCGTTAAGTCCGCCCGTCATCATCAGCGTGTAGCAGACGACGAGGGCGAAGGCGAACAAAGCGACCCTATACACAAGCTTCATACCGTCAGTTGACATGACAAGGTTTTTAACCCGCCGACCGCTTCCCGACGGGACGCATGTCTTTCAGTCGGGTCCGAAGATCGGGGTCCCATCAGGGTCCTTACTGTCTCGCTTTTTATATCGAAAAAATATATTTAAAAAACAAAAATCATGTCTAAAAAGGAAAAAACATAACTCACTTGGAGCCTTTCACTTTGTACACACAACCTTGACTGAGGGAAGCCTGTTTGCACCTTCCCTTTGATAACATCACAAGTTTACAATCATAATATATATTTCTTAAATTAACACGTTCAATATAAAAACAAAATTTTTAAGATCAGTGACTTGTTAATCTAATCAGCATTGATGCTTTCTTCTTAAGAAAAATATTTACTTTTCATTAAGTAAATAATTATTTTGATATGTAGATTTACATTTAAATTATTTAACAATGATAAAAGCTTCTAAATGTAAATCGCTACGTATTTGCATTAGCATTTCAAAACTAGGGTTTTTGTAGTATGTACTAGACTACTAGTTATTACTTGGAAAACCTGTTTGCAACCTCCACCTTAACTATTTAAACGTCTGTCACCGATGTTTGCCATAAAAAATAAATTCAATTTTTTTTTAATCTTAACAAAAAATTGTACATAATCAACAGATTATTCGGTCAGCAACTGTTTCAAACAGTGTTTTCTGTTGTTCTGAATCCTCAAATAGTTTGAAAAACCTGCCTGCAACCTCCGCCCATTTGAAATCTTATTTTTATTACAAATTTACATTATTCTTAAATTATTTACCTATTATAAAAGAAATAGTTAACTAAAATTTTTTATAATTATAATTATTTCCAGGCTTGAATATGTCAACCAGCAACATGTATTTTCTGGGCTACAGTAGGACAGCTTTCTTTGACAAGTCTTATAACCTAATTGCAACCTCCTCGTTGATAACTGTAAGTTAACGATAAACAATATGGTTAATTGTTTAACTTATTTAATAAATAATAAAAATATGAGCATTGTTCAAAGCACAAACAAATTTAAAAAATGAAATAATGTTTTTGTTATTACTATTGACTGGTTTCTGTATTCTAGCGAGCAACTGCAAAACAACTGGACAGTTGACAGTTTCTGATAGTATGTCAGATCAGTCTGTCCTGCAGGTAATTTTTATTTTGTAGATTTGTATTATTTTATATTTACCTGGTTGGATGTTTTCGTTGTAGGTGTGATATGATGCATTGAGATGGACGAGACATCGTGTTCTTTGGACGGCGCTGCAGAAACAAGCGAAACATCATGTAGCCGTTGCGGTCCTGTATGCACATGTCAGTCTGGTGATAAGCCTGAGACGAAACCAAAACCGTTTTCCTGCAGTTTTTGCGATTACAGATGTTCGCATTCGTACCTGTTGAAGAGGCATGTCCACCTGCACGTAGGTGACAAACCATTTTCCTGCGAATTGTGCGGTTATAAATGCCTGCTGCCGTACCAGCTTAAAAGGCACATGCAAATTCATGATGGCACGAGGCCGTTTTCGTGCAGTGAGTGCGATTACAGCTGTTCATACAAAAATGAAATCAAGAGGCATGTATTGACTCACACGGGGGAGAAGCCGTTTTCTTGCAGTTTCTGCGATTTCAGCTGTACGCGCAAGTTCCACCTCAAAGAGCACGAGCGAATGCACACGGGGGAGAAGCCGTATGCATGCAGGCTCTGTGATTATGCCTGTGCTAGGCGTTCGCATCTGAAACAACACGAGCGTACACACACGGGCGAGAAGCCGTTCTCTTGCAACTTGTGCGACTTCGCCGGCACACAGCTCACAAGCTTGAAACAACACATGCGCACACACACAGGAGAGAGGCCGTTTGTCTGTCCTGTCTGCGATCGAAGGTGTGGCTCCAAGGGCGACCTGAAACGCCACTCGCTCACTCATACAGGGGAGAAGCCGTTCTGCTGCGTTCTATGCGACTACACGTGTGCCCGTCAGTGCCACCTGAAGCAACACATGCTCACACACGCACAACGTAAGCCTTTTACATGTGGTCAGTGCGATTACAAATGCCTCACACAAAAGTATATGAAAAAGCACCTTCTGGAAGGGTGTAAAAAAGAAAATCTTACTCAAAAATAACACCTATCCTATTGTTAAACAAGACAAAAAATTGTATATGTTAAAACTTAATAAAAAATATTTTTCTTATGCCTATACAATTTTTTTATCGGATAACATTGGACAAATTTGGATACTCTTACTTATAATAAAGTACATATTCAGGATGCGTACTGACAGGGAAGAGAACACCTGTTAGAAAAACAAACAAAATCAGCCTCATGAAATAATAACAATAAAAAGTTATAAACTTACTCAGTCTTGAAATTTGTTGCAAAGACAATTCGTCGACCTGAAAAAGGATAAAAATCCCATCTGTGATGTAATAATCATCACGATGCTGATAGGGAGTTTTCTAGGTAAAAATCACAAACAGTAAGCTGATTTTTATTTTTTTCAAACGAAACGAAACTATATGAACAAAAACTATCAATTATATTAATTAATTATATATGCAACTATATATACATAAAAATTGAAAATAAGTAATCATTTCTTGCTGTCCTCGTAGATAAAATCTATAAGCGACTTGACCCTCTCGGCCTGGTTCCGTTTTGTAAATCTAACCTGGATTGGAAAGGATTTAATTTTTTAAATAAATTAATCAGACAAACCATTTCTGCCATTAGAGTGTTGCAGTCCTGCTCACCCTTTTTGCCTTCGGTTTCGACGGCTGGTTCTGCGTCGCCTGGCTTGACCTGGGTTTCCGTCGCGTTTCAGTTACCTGATTATGTAAAAAAAATAATAATTTATCAATTATATAATCTACCCCCTTCGTAATACTTTGTCGGGTGTGAAACTTAACGAACTGTCGGCTTCAGATTGCAGAAAGGAAAACGGGCTCGTCTATAATTTAAATACAAAAATAAGTCGGATATAAAATAATTCGGAATAAAAAAATGACATTTATTCTCATTCACTACCTACAACATCTTTACCACATCGTTTTCACTTAAACATTCACAATTTACTCCTATCATTCATATTCGGTCAGGCTGACAATTGCCACTCTTCCACAATCTCACAACCATTGTCACTTTGACATTCACGACTTCTCCTCTCAGTTACATTCAGTTGCACTGACATTCACTACTTCTATCTCACTTTCAGTCTCTCACAATCATTGCTACTCGGTCATTCACAATTTACTCATTTCGTTCACATTCGAACCCACTGTCATTGTGTCACCATTGCCTCTTTCTTACTTTCACACAGTCTCTCAGAATCATTGTCACTTCAACATTCCTAATTTATTCCTCTCATTCACATTCGGTCGCACTAACATTCACTGCTCTATCTCACTTGCAGTCTCTCACAATCATTGTTACTCGGGCATTCACTATTTACTACTTTCATTCGCATTCAGTCAGGCTGACATAACTGTCACGCTTCCACAATCTCACAACCGTTGTCACTTTGACATTCACGATTTCTTCTCAGTTACATTCAGTCGCACTGACATTCACTACTTCTATCTCACTTTCAGTTTCTCACAATCATTGTTACTCGGTCATTCACAATTTACTCATTTCGTTCACATTCGAACCCACTGTCATTGTGTCACCATTGCCTCTTTCTTACTTTCACACAGTCTCTCAGAATCATTGTCACTTCAACATTCCTAATTTATTCCTCTCATTCACATTCGGTCGCACTACCATTCACTGCTCTATCTCACTTGCAGTCTCTCACAATCATTCTTACTCGGTTATTGAAAATTTACGCCTCTCATTCACATTTGGTCGCATTGTCATTTTCTCACCATTGCTTCTTTTTTACTTTCTCTCACAATCATTGTCACTTCAACATTCCTAATTTATTCCTCTCATTCACATTCGGACACACTGGCATTCACTGCCTCTACCTCACTTTCAGTTTTTCACAATCATTGTTACTTGGTTATTCAAAATTTACTACTTTCATTCACATTCAAACCCACTGTCATTGTGTCACCATGCCCCCTCTTAATTACAAGCAGTCCCTCACAATCACTGTATCTACCTCACTTTCAGTCTCTAACAATCATCGTTACTTTGATATTCACATGTACGCTTTCTGTATTTTTCTTGACACTTAACACGCAATCTTTTACGAAAATGAAAGCCCTCCCGACCTAACATTCACATTCATTCTGTCACATATTCACTCACAAAAACTAATAAGGTCAATTTAAAACATTTTCACAATTTCCACAATCTTTCACTTTCTCATTCATCCTTTTCCTATCGTTCTCTTTAACATGCATTATGTACACAATCAGACTTAATATATAAAAAAATATATAGAAATAAATTACTCAACTGTTTTAAGTGCTGATTTTAATGCTAGGCTTTCTGTAAATTTGTCCTGAAGGAAAAAATTATACATATTTATTAATTTATAAATATTATTTTTAAATTGATTTATTTAAAATACTTTTGTCTGCTGGCTGCTGTCCAGCTCCATATCTTCTTCTTTATAGTTTGACCCAAGTTCGCCTCGGTTGTTCGACCGACTTGTGAAAAACTTGTATGTCTTTATTTCCGACTTGTGCGTAATGGGCGAGTTGCTCATGCAGCTCGACACGGGCTGTTGCGAGGCGAACTTCTTCACCACAGGCTGCTGTTTGTCGCAACAGCAATCGTTATGTCCAAAAAATTAAATGGTATCGATCTACTTACCGGACTAGGAAGGAGGATGCTGGGGTCCTCATCATCGTCAAGCTCCATGTCGAGCACCTCATCGACAGTGCTCACTTGCTCAACATATTTTGAAGGCAACGATGTCTGAAAATTAATTTTAAGCTGATTACAAACAATTTACAATCATTCGGGAACTAGAGAATTTACAAAAATATACTGAATTTAACTGAAAAAATCACTGATTTACCTGTGATTTCGTCGTCGACTGTGACGAGCTGGGTTTGGTTTGTTTCACGATTCCTGCTGTTGTTTGTGCCCAGTAAAGGAATGACTTGAAAAGGCTCTTTAAAAAGAATAAGTATAATTTTTTAATCATTTTTTAAATTTTTTTAAAAAATAAATGTTACTACATTTTCACATGAAGCAAGGTCTGTGATTGCGTTCACAATGGACAAGTCCTGCTTGATGTCTTTGAGCTCAGACCTCACCGAAAAGAACTCATACTGAGAAACGCTTATGTTCTCCTTCTGGCGTTCGATTTTGACCGTCAGCTCATCTTTCAGGTTGTGCAGTCTCGTTATTTCCTCCTGCATCAGATTTGAATAATGGTTTCAATTGTATTTTTAAAACACAAATAGGAAAAATTATCTAACTTGTAGAAGGTCATTGTTGAGCTGTACGATCTTCTGCTTCTCCTCGCTGATGCATTCAATGAGTTTCCTTTTCCTTTCAATTTCATTTTTCAGTCCCTTGACGGCAACAATTTCCTTTTCGAGTTCGACTTTTTCATCCATTTTCTTATTGTAAATTTCATAGTACATATCGATTTCGATTTGAACACACTTTTGCTTTTCTGCTTGAATTTCAATCTTACGAAGCTGACAAAAGGAAAACAAAAATAAATTCAAAATTTAAAAAAAGTTGCAAAGTGTTTTGATGTAATGAAGTACCTCTTCTGATGATCTATTAACACTCTTTTCTTTCTTTACAAAATCAATTTTCAACAATTTTAACTCTTTTATTAATTCTTTAATCAATTTTTCCTTAGAGGTAGTTGTATTGTTATTATTATATATTAATAACTGTTGCTCAGCGATCTTTTTCTTTAAACTAGCTTGATTTTGTGAAATTAAATTTCTAAATTTTATTGATTGAAACACAGAAAATAAATATTAGGGAAAAAGGAACATATTGTTATAATTATTATTATTATTGGTACCTTCTTTCATTTGTGCGTCTTTTCAAATCTTCAACCCCTTCTGCCTTCTTGGATATTAATCCTTCAAGGTCTCCCATTTCGAGTTGGAGTCGTTCCAAGTCTGTTTTCTTCATGGAAATTGCAGCCCTGCATTTTGAGAGTCTTGCCGACAATCTCGACTCTTCTTCACAGAGGGAATTGAAGTTGTCGACAGTGGCGGCTCGTTCTGTCTTGAGCTCATCGATGAGCGTCTTTTTCTCATCCAAGAATACGCTCGTCTCGGCCAGGTCGCTCTTGACCCTGGCTATCTTCCCAAACTCCTCTTTCAGCCTGGTCTCCTCCGATTTCAAATAGTTCAATTCCTTCAAAATAACAACATCCAAAAGATTTTTTATATATTTTTAACTGAAATACGAGACGGGAAATTTTCCGGTCAAGGACTCAAGGACAAGTTTTGTTTTGTCTGTGAATAGTTTTCCTTGAAAGTATTTCATTTAAAAATCATTGTTCATACATGACACAGTGAAAATTTACATAAAGAGTTTAAAATCTAAAAGACAAACTTAATAAAAGGCATAAGAAACCTTCAGGAATAAAAAATAGAATTTTATTAATAATCTCCCGAATGTGCTCGAGAAAGAATTTTGTTAGTTAAACCTGCTGAAGCGATGAGAAAAGCCTCCTCTCGGTGGCAAGACGGTTCGTGATGTTATTCCTCGTCGATTTGAGCTGGTCGATTGACGTGAGCTTCTCCTCCAGTTCACGGTTAATCTCCTTGAGCTTCTCGTCTTCCTTTTTCCACCTAAAATAAGCATACCATTAAACGACGATGTATTGAATTTTTTGAACATGATCTTACGTGATGTTCCACTCTTCGAGGTTGAGGGCGAACCTGGCGTTCTCCTCATCCATCGCCGATTTTATGCTCTCGCTTTTCATTTTCGTAGTTTCCCATTGTTTCTTCATCTATAATTTATAAGTCTATTATATAACGTATGTTTTAAAAGTAGAACCCGAAAAAGGAAATAGTATAAGGCCTGCGAATTTGGTCAAAATTTTAAATAATTTTTTTCTGTCTACATGTGCTGGTTTTTGATGTTACTACACAACCCAGGGAGTATAGTCAGATCAGCGAGTATCAAATTACAGGTTCATCATCCTACATGCCGTAGGAAGTATTTATGCTTTAGTGAAATAATTTACCTACAGAAAGAAAAATTACCTCGGAAAGTGTCCTTTCAAGGTTTTCTAGCTTGCAGGAGGACTTTCCAATCTGCATGTCGAACATTTTAATCTCCTCACATAGTGATTCATCATCACTACTGTCAGCATCCTTAAGCCCGGCAAGAAGTGTTTTCTTTTCGGAGAAGTTCTGTTTCAGCATAGCATTCGTAGCGCAACATACTGCCTCCATGTCCTCAACGTCTTTGTTAAAAGCGATCCTGCACTTCTGGTTGTATTCAGCTCGCTCTTCGAACCCTCCTTTGACATTTTCGACCAACATGTAGTTGGAGTCGTATGCATGCATAGATCGGTCAAGGACATCATTTATTTCAATCTGTTTCGCCTGAAGGTTCGAAAGCTGTTCGCAACCCTCATTATACCTCTCCATGGCGGCTTGCTTCGCCTTCGGCAGGTTCTCGAGGGCGTGCAGTTCCGCTTCGCACTTTCCCTGAAGGTCTCGCATGTTGTCAAGCTGTTTCGCCGTCACCTGTGCGAGCGATCTTGCCTCGCCCATCTTCGCCTTTATCCTCTGCTCTATACTCTCAAGTGAAGATTGCAGCGTCGAAAGAGTATCCGACATACTGCTGTTTATATGGTCCTCTTCTTCATACATAATCTTACTTCTAATTAAAAAAACAAAAATATGTATAAAAAATTAAATCTCTCGACATCAAAAAGAGGGTTTTCTTGTTAGCAAACTTAGTTCTCTTACTCTTATAATTTTCCCTCGAATGTAACAAATTATATTCCTGTTTCTTGGAGAGTTTGACTTTTATATTTATACTTTTTTCTAGTTTTACTAAAGCCGGTTGAAATTTTGACTGGCGGTTTGCTGAAAAATTGCGCAAAAGATGAATATGCGAACGCGGGAAATGGAGTTTTTTCTCGAATGGGGAGGGGGTAAAAATAAATTGTAAAACATATGGCCATTTTTAATCACCTGTTCTGGAGGGAAAGGGCGGGAATTTTTTTTTTTTTGCTTTTTTCCTTTTCTTTCAACTTAAAAAAATCATAAAATATTTATATTACATCAATTTGATATACATTAAAAATGATTAAAAATATTAATATAAATATAAAACTATAACTCTTTCTTGTTTGTTATTTGTTGTTTTCAATAACTTATTAATGAAAGGCTAATTTTTATAGCCATTTACCTCTTTTTTTATTATTACACTCAAGAATCTTCAATAAAACCACCGTACAAATTTATAATCTATAATAATTATAAATAATAACAGAAAAAATGGTATTAAAGAGAAACTGAAAAGAGCTTGTGTTCTTTCCGGTGTGTGGTTTTATCTTACCTGTTACAACTGGCCGCAAATAAACAATTTCCAAGTCTTTATAATCAGTCTATACTATAAAATTTAATCTAAACTATACAAATAACAGAAAAAATGTTTATTTTCAATTAAGTTAAAGAAAAAACAATAGAAAAAGTCGCAACGAATCTTGTGATTTGTACCACCGAAAACGTGGAAGACTGGCCACCGCCAACATGAATATACAAGTCTGTTTAATTTTATTATTTATTTTAATCAATATAATTATTTAAATTATGATAAATGTAGTGAACATTTTATTTTCTTAACAAAATACAATAAAACAAAAATATATTTTAATCAAAATTGTTTCTTGGCCAGAACAAATAGAAAACTTATTAAAGAACAAGACAACAGTGGCAGCCATCGTAAATGAAGGTGAGTCAAAATCAATTTATGAATTAAATGGGCATAGATATGTCTTTTTATGTTCCTAGAGAATAATAGATGAATTATAAAAATAAAATCATAGTTTGGTTAAAATGTAAAGAGGGATGTTTTTGGTAGTTCATTTCTTCTTGATTGGTGTGAAAAGTTTATTTTTAATCATTCTACACATTATAATTAATACAAAAATTTAATTATTGTATTAACTATATTTTTTAAATTTTATTAGTACAAAATGTGATTTGACAATGGTTAGTTAGTACATAATGCAAAAGCATTTTTCGGTGTGACATTAGGTTAAAAAATTGAAATAGGACGTCCATCTTTGACTAAATCATTCTAATATTTGTTTATTTATTTATTATTATCTACCAAAAGTAAATTTATCAAACGTTTTAAAGTTAAAGAAAATAAATAAAAAATGTAGACAAAGTGGTTTGTTTTAATATGTTGGAAGTTAGATGATACTTAGGCAGCTGTTCCAGGTGAGTCAAATGAGTTTTATTTATTTTTAATTTGTACTTTAGTATATTAGTTTGCTTGTTGATCTATTTTTAGAATAGGCAGACCAAGATGGTCGCATCCTCTCCCTAGGCCACAAGAGGAAATCTGGCAGTATAGTTTTAATGTTTAATAAATAAATTAAGGAACTGAAACAAAGAAAAAAAAATTTTAGCCAAGGGTCCTCTTGAATTTTAACTTTCAATGTCAAATGGTTTATATGACATAATTTAGATTAACAATATGACATTTTTTTAAATATAAAAGTATATTTAGAAAAGAAAACAAAATATTACATTTTTTTTACAAAATAATACTTGTAATGGCATGATCTAGTCGTCCGCCAGTTGACCCTTACATATTTCCATTCAAATAAAACTTAAATTAACTTACAAATTATAAACTTAACATAAAATTATCTCTGCAATTCAGCGTATCTACAATATATCTATACAAACTAAACCAATATTTCCCATTTAACAGTTCTATATACTCACGGAATGTCAAACGACATCTGTGGAACCAAATTAACCTAACATTCTCCAAAGTTGGACAAACTGCCAAAAAATGAAACAAATCTTCCGTCATTTTTAGTTTACATATATAGCATGCTTGGTCTCTTTCCTCCAGCCAAGGCTTAAAATTTAAATATAATAATTGACCTCTCGCGCGAAAAACAACCTTGATCAAATTCCAGTTGTATTCCTTATACAAGTAATTGTTGTCCCCAAGATCGAAGTTCAATTTCTTGTATATTAAATGGTATGTAGAACATAGCACTTTTCTTAAACATTCTCCTTTATGAGTTTCTACTGCCTGCAATAATTGTACTGCCCAAATTTTGAAATCTTTCGCATCTGTAAAATTTATACAAGAACTACAGTTCAGTCCGGAAGACAACACTTCCAATTCTTTAAACCAAAAAAAATTTTTTTTATTATCTCCTGAGCAAGGAGGTAGGGCAAACGATCTTGTTTCAGACCCAAAACCCTCTGTATATAATTTAAATGACTCTTCTACGTATGCACAAACAAACGTCTTTAGCCTAATTCCAAATAAAGAAAATAACTTAGTGTATAATAGGGAGCGCCAAACAACTTCTTAATAAAAAAACAAAGAAGTTTTTCTACCACTTCATACTGATGGTAGCCCCATACTTGTGACGCATAACACATCACAGCCCTAGAAACGGAATTAAAAACTTTAAATTTACTTTTTAGAGGAATATCTCCACTAAGAAGACCGTTCCACGTTATATTCAATCCTTGTTTAGCAACCCTAAGTTTTATTGGCCAAATGCATATTGAAGGAAAGTAGAGGAGTCAACGTTACACCTAAATATTTGTACTCTTTTACTACCTCTATTCTTTCATTTTTAAAAACCATCGTTCATTCTTTGATGGTCTACCGCCATTTCTAAACACCATAATCTTAGTTTTATTCAAATTTACTGACAAATTACACATTCGGCAGTATTCTCCCAACCTGTTTAACATCTTTTGAAGTTGAATCGGTTCAGTACTCATCAAAACCACATCATCACCCAAAAACTCGGGTAAATCGTTAATAAACAGCAAGAACAGAAGAGGGGAAAGCAGACAGCCTTGCCTTACACCTACTCTAGTTTCAAAGGTACTTGTGACCTCTCCCCTACACCTCACAGCACTCTCTGTCCCGCCTTCCAATGACTTTAATACCTCACAGTATGACATTTATGTGTTTATATTATATATAATATAATCTTATAGTTACAAAAAATCAGAAGTCCAACCTTTATTTTTAATTCGTTTATCATAAGTACATTACCAACAAAGCATGGTCAAAATACATCCTGGTTAATAAAAGAGAATGTTTATTAATATTTATGAGCGTTATGTTCAATTTATTTACAAAGCTCTGACTAATTTTAAGCCTTCCTATTAGCTCGTAAGCACCCCTCTTGTCCCGAAAGGATTGGCAAGCCAGGTCTTTTTTGTAAGTGATTCGTGTTTCGCCTGGTTCAACTTGATGCTCTCGGCGATCTCATGCGCATTCCTGTTTTGCCCATAGTAGTCGACAAACTCACCATCAGGATTGACGAGGTAGATTATTATTGTATGATCGACCTAAAAGAAAAAAATTCGGTGTTTGATTTTTTTGTGAGCAAACTCTCTCAGTTGCGGCTTACGATGTAGTCGTTGTCTACATCCTTGGGCCCGGCGCTAAAGTACACACGATATGCCTTGCATACAGCGTTGACCTGCTCTTTCGTCCCAGTGAGGCCGATGAAACGAGGGGAGAACTCTGTGATGTACTTGCTGATTAAGGGTGGTGTGTCGCGATCTGGATCTACTGATATGAAAAGTGGCTGGATCGGAACTTTATAGCTGCTATTATCTTTTAATAAATAAATAAAAAATATTAATATATATTTTTTCAATTTAATTCACTCTAAGGTCGTATTACCAAGTTTATCAATTACTTCGGCGAGCTTTTCCATCTCCTCAGGGCACACGTCGGGACAGTGGGTAAAGCCAAAGTATATCAGCAGCCATTTGCCGAGGAAGTCTTCATTCGTCACCATCTTGCCGGTGTGGTCGACGAGCTGGAACGACCCACCGATGGCCGCTTTGCCAATTTGCCGCTTCCTCTCCAACTCCATAGCTCTTTCCTTTTGGCCCTTGAGGTAGAGCATGTAGAAAAACAACCCGCCTCCTATGGCACTGGTGATCCCCAGGGATTTCCATGTGACAGGCCCCATGCCAACTGGAGCCTTTGCATCTTGCATGCTCATTCGCCTCACCGGTCTCAATTCACGACTTACCATCCTCTGAATCAATAAACGAATAGATAATTACACAAATAATTGTTATAAACCAGATAAGCTCATAAAATATAATGATATCTAGTACAATTCTAATAAGCAAAAATAGTTTGAGAGCGGTTTAGTAGAAAGGTTTAATCACACAAATTAATGACAAATAGAATATTTTAATAATAAATAATAAACTCACAACAAATCCCGTCCTGGATAAAATTCTGGAAAAGGCCGAAGACATTTCCAAATTTAAATATTAATAAGATTGTAAGAAGAATCAAATAAGACAAAAGTCGCAAGGGTTGTAAGATAACCTCTGCAAGGTTATAAAAAACAGTGGGAGGTTTCAATTGCTGTTATTATATTAACAATTCAATTTTACTTAAAAAATTTATTTTTTTAAATATTATTGTTTATGGTATAAGTTGGTTGATTTTTAGTCGGAATTCTTCCTTTTGGTACCTCGGCCATCTTCTGTTTCCTCCTCGTCGTCATTTTCATCCTCTTCCTCGTCCAGTGCTGAAATAAATCGTACTTATATAATTAAATTTTTTTTTCTAAGAGGTACGTACCGTCTTCACGGCCAATGAGTCCGGTCAGGACGGCGTTGAGCCTCTTCTTGACGTCGAGGATGGAACAGGCGAGGGCTGGGAATCCGACCTGGCAAGACGACTCCACCGTATCCAAAATCTCGCCATCCTTGGACACGACGGCACGTACAGACATTGTGCTTAAATAAACAACAAAAAAAGGACAAAAACTTGTTTCTCTTTAAAACTGTTGTTAACAATTAAAATTAGAAAATTAAACGGACAGCCTGGATTGGAAACAGAGCTAAGGTTATCAGTTATCGATCAGTGTATCGATTTTTATACAGCTCGATACAAGAAATGTGGAAAAAGTGCTCTTTCCAAGTTAATGTACTTACTACTTATGGTTATAATTTTTTTAGGTTCTAGTCGTTCCACAACAGATCTGTTTATGTAGAGCGGATGAAAGGATTTTTACAATTCTTAATCAACTTTCGTTCTAAATTTATCGAGTCAACATAAAAATAAACTGCCCAAAAATGAATATAGATATTTTTGTAATTTATACTTATTCTATTAACTATAATAAATTAACCGATATTTTCTTGTTAGTTGGATTAAAAAAAAAAAAAAAGGCTAAAATACAAAAGCCAAAAACAAACAAATGTTTATCCTCATTTTTAACAACGCATTTACTTAAGGAGGGTAACAATTAAGATCTCATTTTGTAAGAAACATCTTTTCTCGTCTTTTATCCATTGCAATCCTCTTGTATTCTCTTTAACCATGTAAAAGCACTATATTGAACCAGAAGTTTGCAATATTTTTATGAGAGTCATCAAGGTCACCGGCAATTGGATATCGCAGAGGCGATCGGCGTGAACAAGCTTTAGCTCAATTCCAAGAGACTCGAAGTACCAATAGGAGGCCTGGTAGTGGATATCAGAGCATTACTGTCATTGCTGCAAGACCGAACCCTTTCTTTAGTTCCCGCCAGGTCCTAAACGAAATACAAGATGTTTTGGCAAGGGCTTTATTCATAATCATTTGTGGGAGTTAGCTTCACATCGAATGCCACTTTGACGCAACCAGCAGGAACTGCTTGCCACCAGCAACAAGAGTATAAGGTGCATTAGGCGCCTTTAAGACAACACCAATTGGAATGATGTTTACTGATGTGCAATCTACTGAGAACGGGAGATGTGTACAATGCCCCATTCCATGCTCCATGAGAAAATGAACTATTAAGTGATTAACAATGATAAACTCAGTAAAAAAAGGAACATTTAGATAAATTTTACAAACATGGAAATGACCGATACCATGCCTGGACTTGTGAAATACAACTTTGGTCAGTTTGTCCAAGAAAAAGCCTTAGAATTGCAAAACATTTACAGCAAACTGGTTTTAAAATAATCTAACTGCTCAAAAATGAAAGGAGATATAGCCATTTTTGTAGTATTTAACCTACATATTTATTTTATTTTTATTATAAATTGCATTAAGATTTATTGGAATTGTTTTTTACTGAAGGAAAATTTAATAATTTGAAAAATAAAATACAAGGTTTAATTCCATAATTTTGTTTATTGAACACATTTTTTAAATTAATACCATATATAATGTCCTTTGTTAGCTAAAACCGTGTATTTAAAGTGTAAATGGCCGTGACCCAGTAAGTTACCCTGTGCACGTTCAACACAAAAAAGCTATCCATATCCTTATTGGGAGTGACTGCCATATAGAAGATTTTAATGCTAAAAAATTTATGGGAATTAGAATTTTTCTTTTTAGAGGTGTGTTTAAGGGAAGTTTCACTGTAATCAGTAAGGCTAGATGGGAAAATCTTCGACAGTGTGAGGAATGAGATAAATAGGTCTTAATCACTTTTTTTTAAATGTAATGTTTTTATTTTGTATTTTTGTACAAAAGAACGTCCAAGGTATTTTTTGTTTCTCTTTTTTTTTTTCCTTCGAAATATTAACATTATATTAATTGAAAGAAGAAAAACTGTCTTGAAATGGCTCCAGGCGACTGAAGCATCGCGTTGACTCTCACACAATTATTTATTTACTTACACACTTGTTTGTTTTTCCTTTTATGATAAATTTTTATAAATTGGCACAAACAAATTTTAAAACGGCTAATAATTTGTATTTACAGAAAGTATAAAACAACTATAATTTAAAAAAAAGTTTAAATTTTTATTAAAATAATTGTGCTATATTTGTTCTGATGTTTTATATAAATATATAAATAATAACCATTTTACCACACAAAAATAAATTTTAAATAAAGAAAACAATACAATGACTAATACAACAATAAACACTAAGGTCTAAGGTCTTATCAAACAGACATACATAAAAATTATATATAATTTTTTTTTTTATCAATATACTTTGTGACAACAGTGAATGATAACAGTCACGTCTTAATTTAATTTTTTTGTCACTTTCCCGACTGACATGCGGACAGTCACGTTTAAACCAGAACTGGGGGGGAAAATTACCGAGAAAATCACAACGCTTAAATATTATTCAACAAAATAAATGGGTTCATATAATAATAGTAATAATAGGTGACTAATAATTATATAATAATAATATAAGGAACTAGTTCATAATTAAATAATTAATGGTTAACATTCCATTTTTTTTATATATATATTAAACTTAAAAGAAAAGCTAGTCAATATTTTTTCATTTTTTTGTTAAGGGAATACATCCGAATCACTAATTATCACAAAAATCCTTAACGATCACACATTCCCCCTGTTTGTTCAGGACGGATTTTCAAATTAAAATGTATTGTGAAAAAAAATCCGTGTACAAAGTGATGACTTTATGCGTAGAGCGTGAGCAATTATTTAAAAGACAATAACAAATTAAAGCAAAAAGAAAAAATAACCTACATTGTTATTATCACAACATTGCATGGGTGAAAATTAAAATTAAAATTGGGGGAAAAAACACGAGCAGACTGTCATTTTCCTTCGCCAATTGACGCGTGATGTCGTGCGATAAATTACTTAAAATTAAAAAACAAATCAAAAAAGGTAAAAATTATTAAATCAAGGACTAGCAGGTTTCCTCTTGTCGCGGGTGTGGTGAGCCTCATCGGTAGTAGCCGGGTCCGCGGTTGAAATCTGTCTGACCATCCGGGAGCATCGTGAGATGCGTGGCGTCTGACTCTAGTGTTGACGTCTCTCCCGGTGCGATCACTTTGTTCTGAATCGCCTGGACGTAATTCTTCACAAGGAAAAACAGAAAAATAAAAGGTTTGATAAAAATGTAATTTTCAAAAAGGCACACCTGGGAAATGACGTCGCCGTGAGCAGTCCTCACTTGGTAAAGGTAGCGATATTTGTTCTGTCTCAGTTCAGCCCTCTGTTCTCTCGTCCTCGGTCTCGTGGGATGCTTTCCTGTACAGGGTGAACGAAATAATTCAGTGTACTCAGTTAATGGTGAAAGTGTAAATGTCATACCGGAGTTGTGCGTCGAAGGGGCGGTGATACCGCATTGTATGACAAGGCCGAAGAGGAGCAGGACAGGCCATATCACGATGACAGGGTAGCATGGCATCATGCCGGCACGTTGCCAGAGCCACTTGACTGATTGGAAGCTCTCAATAAGGTAGTCAACGGAGCTGCTCACCAGTGCGCCACCATACACGCATGTCCCAAGAATTGTCAGACCTAGATAATTAAAACACATATTAACAATTAACAAAATTTTTTTTTAAATGTATTTACCCCGTTGCCATTGTAGATTGATTATGGCGAAGAATAACCCCAGGCCCAAAAGCGAAGCAATAGCGGTAAAAAGGCCGACCTGCTCTTCGAACAGGTCAAGTACGCCCAAAGTCGCCAGGGCGAGGAGGAGCCCCGTGTGGAAACCGGTCATGAAAAGACCGACATACTGTATGAGCATGGTGATGAGACCAAACATGAGCCCGGCACAGACCGCGATCCCCGCATTGGCATAAGATGGCAGTATGCGGTCCTGGATGCAGATCAAATAGACAAGGACAGATGCAAATATGAAGCCTGTCAAGAACATGACTGCCTTAAAACACCGGTAACCTGTTCAAAAAGGGAAAATATATATGTTAATTATTAAGATGTTGAACAATGATAAAATAAAAAAAATTGTGATGGCATCAAACTACTAGGTCATTACAAAAGTCTTTGTGCATTAATTAATTGATGATATTAAAGTGTGTAGTGTTTAGTGACCATTAATTAACTATTATTTGGAGATCATGAGATGCGGTCTGGTGTGGTGATATTAAAGTTTCCATTTTTTTAATCCTTATTCGATTCTGATATAATGATGCATATGTCATTGTTTACTTTGACGAATCCTTTATTTAATTATGTATACCAAATAGCTTTGCCTTTCATTCCTTTGTATAAATCTCACTAAAAATGTCAGAAGAAAAAATTGTCATTTGTGGTCTACTGATTGTACTGACAGGCAGTAATGGAAAAAAGGACTAAGTGTAAAGGCAGGAGCTGAGGAAATTTGTGCAGTGAAGGTGAAAATCTCCAAGCATCTTAACACCAGCATTTTGGTTCAGGCAGTTCGATTCTGGGAACAACAGCCTTCAAAACGAGCCTAGATCTGGTCACCCTTCAGAGGTGGATGATGTTGAAGTACTACAGTCAGTCAATAAGAACCCGTATGTGACCACTCGAGGATTATTGTCCGAAGTGAGGGTTTCAAATGTGTTAGCTGCCATTTTAAAACAGATTAATGTTCGAAATATACGACCTAGATCAGTTCCATGACTTGTCAGCTGAATGAGCACAACAGTCTGTAAAAGTTTGTGATGATAGATTTTAGAAGAGAATTGTAACGAACTATGAACAATGGATATTTTTAAAAAATTCTAACCACCGAAAACAGTGGATATTGCAAGGCCAAGAGGTTCAAGCAGAGGTTCACTGAGATCCATTTAGAAAAAATATTATGCTTTATGTTTGGTGGAATTATGAGGGCGTTTTTCACTTTACGCTGGTTACAGATGGCAGGGCTATTGACGCAGAGTTTCACTATGAACAACTCGAAAGCGTATACAGGGTTTTAAAAGAGAAGTTCCCTACTTTGCTCAATCGGGATAAAGCAATATTTCAGAAGACAACGCTTCTACCAAAGAAAAATTTTCAGAAATGAAGGGTGTGTATTTGTGTCATCTTGCCCAAACCATCTTTACACCCCTAATATCACACCGTCTGATTTTGATCTTTTCCAGTCAATGGCACATTTTTTGAAAAGCCAGAACTTCAAAAACTTACAAGGACGTTAAATTAGAATGTGAAAAGTACTATACCTCGAAAGCCAAGGACTGGCAGAAAGATGGATTAAAGTAGTTGATAATAATGGCGTATATTTTGAGGAATAATTTTCATGTTTACAATTTATACTGAAATTTAAAAATAAAATTTAATTTATGCACAAAGATTTTTGCAATGACCTAGTATAATGAGAATAAGGCAAATAAACCTGAGTAATATCAGTAACGAAGACAACTAAGATTAATCATAGTTATTCGGAGATTGTGAGATGCAGTCTGGTGCGACGTAGGTTTTAGAAAAACATTTTCATTATCATGCCAATGTTTTGATCTTTATTGAGATCATCTTCAGGGCCTGGGATTTATAAACATTGTTATTGTATAACATATACAAATACATACAATACAAGTTATACAATGCTAGAAAATTTTAGATAAAAAAAATAATTTATACAATGCTAGAAAATTTTTGATAAAAAAATGAATTTATACAATGCTAGAAATTCTAAATTAAAAAAATTATACAATGCAAGAAAATTGTAGATTAAAAAAAATGAATTTATACAATGCTAGAAAATTTTTTCCGCTGGCATGATAAAGAAAATGTTTTTCTAAAACCTACGTCACACCAAACCACATCTCATGATCTCCGAAAAATCATTGACTAACAGTTACTAACACCACGCATTAATCATAGTACAAAGACAAAGTATACCGGGTGATTATTTATAAACTACCCCCTATTATTTGTTTGGAAATAATTTAAAAAATAGGACTGATCTTAACATAATTTTTTTATGTAAAATCTTATTCTGAAGTCAATTTTTTTTCGATGTACGTTTCCCAGAGTTAAGCAACTTTTTTTTCAAATGGGAAGGTATCATTTTTATATATATATATTTTTACTGTAAATCACCAGCCCATCACTGTTCATACCTCCGTCAAAAACTTTGGTATTATCCTCAGCCAAAATCTTTCCTGGCAGCTTCACATTTCCTAAATTTCCCGCAGCTGAAAAGCCTAACTTAACCTATTCCATCGGCCCTGGCTTCTCATCCCTTCTCCACCTGTAAACCCCTAGCATGTTCTCTTATCTTTCCCTTCTTCAATTACATACGAGAGGGGGTGTTCTCAGACGGGCAGAGCAGGTGCCTGAAGCGCACCATGAACTGCTGTGTCAGATTTGTGTTCGGCACTCCTGGGTTCTCATCTGTATTCGGATCATGTCATCCTCAAACATCATCCAATCCCTCTGATTCAAATCCTCTCACCACACCTACAACACCCGATCCCCTCCCCACAGAGACCTTATTCTCCCCCCAACACAAAATCCCTCCTTTGAAAGATCCTTCCTGATCTGAGACCTCAAACTCTTGAACTCCCTCCTTCTATTCATCAAGCCATCTCTCTTAATTCTTTCAAATCCCTCCTATATAATCACCTCCTCTTCTTTCAAACAGTAATTTTCTTAAAACTTTTATAAAAACTGTAATATTTTAATTTTAAAAAAATCTATTTGTGAGTTTATTTGATTTGTTTGCATTTATTTTCATTTAATTTTTCCTATTTTGCACTTTATAATTAGTGGAACTTCCCTCCTGTTAAACCACTGTATTATTCTAAGGGGACACTGTCCCAGAATAAAGATGTATTTCTTCTTCTTCTTCTACATTTTCAATATAGAATTAAATGCTACGACTTTGTTTAAAGAAGATTTTACTTTGTGCACTTTTCTTGTAGAGCTTATAGTTTAAGAGTTATTAACGTTTGAAAAAATAAAATTAAAAAAAGTTCAAATTTTATTTATCTCAATCATCACTCATTCCACCTCCTACTTACTTTAGAGATGAGAGATCATTAGAAGAGAAATTTGAACTTTTTATTTTTTCAAGCCTTAATAACTCTTAAACGACAAACTCTACAAGAAAAGTGCCCAAAGTAAAATCTTCTTTAAAAAAGTCATAGAATTTAATTCCGTAGTCAAAATTATACCTTCCCATTTAAATAATAATAATGATGTTTTCTTATATTTTGACCTCAACAGTTAATCTTATGATTCTTCCTTCTTGAAGGTGGGATAATAGGTCATCTCAATTTGAGATGACCTCTTATCCCACCTTCAAGAAGGAAGAATCATAATAATAATAATAATAATAAATAGTTGCTAAGTACTTTAAAAAAAATTTACTACAGATTCAGATTCTACGTAAAAAAATATGTACGTCCTAGTTTTTTTTAAAATTATTTCCAAACCAAAGAAATAAAATAAAAGGGTATACCAGGTTTATAAATAATCACCTGGTACTGTATTACTTAAGTATAGTTAGCTGGACCCAAGTGATATAAGTACCAATGATACTGTAATATCAAAGTACCCGAGTATTGACAGTAGTAATCACAAATGGCGAATAACTGTAATGACAGGAATCTAAGTACAATCAGTATAACAATGAGGAAATTATTCCTCCACGCGTCCTCATTTGCCAGTTCATTGATAATAAAGACAACCGACAACAGTAATGGTGTTATACAACTAGGACATCAACAAAAGCCTTCACAATTTGATCGGTAATGATATTTTGTGAAGGGTAGAAGAGAAATAGTATTTTGTATTGGACAGTGAGATGCCAATGATGAGGCCTAAGTACTTGCCCAATAAGGCAATACTGTCATCATGACAATATTGTAGACCGTTTTAAGAGATCTTTGTTCAGAGTTAATTTCCGTTATCTGACATTATCAATGAGACAAAATTGTTGTTTGGGGATGGTGAGTCAGTGGAGTGTCAATATGACGTGTCGGATTTTTTTCGATTTTTTTTTTACTGACCAAAAAGTGTGTAGACGATGCCGAAGAGGATGTACATGGTGGCGATGCAGATGGAAAGGGGGTCCGTCGGTTGGTTCTCGAAGGCGCAGTGGCCCAGGTAGGTGGAATTGGCCATTTCCCTCGTCAGTACGGACGTTTCACATGGCAAGGTGACGCACGCCTCCGTCGACACCGTCTGTCATTTTTCTTCTTGTTTTTTATTTTTTTTCTTTTAATTTTCTTCCTATTTTTTTTCTCCTGTCTGTCGTCTCAGTCCTAACCTGCCCGTTACAGTCTGAGGACTGGCGAAATCAATAATCAAAATTGAGTCGAACGGGAGGACGTGATTCGATTGCTGCGGATCCTTCGATTCATCGAGACACGAAACAGGGAAAAATACCGGGATTTTCCGGTAAGTTTATAAAAATTATCTTCTCAATAGAAAAATATTAATAAAAAATAAAACATTCAAATATTAATATTAAACATTATGTCGGCCCTTTTTCTGGATTGGATCGGATAAAAACCGTAAAGACTTTTTCGTTTTAACACACTCTCTTTATTTCCAGTACATTGTCACTTATTATAACCTCTGTAAAAGTGATCAACGGTTTTAAGAACGTCACAGTCACCTTCGCGCAACATTCAAATTTATTCTCCTACAATTATTATTATATTAAAAAATAATAACAAAAATATTTAAGATTTTTGTTAAAAGTACCATAATAAGGCTTTATAACCTGTCTTCTTTTCTTCAAGGTCTTCCTCCATTTCGTCCATCCCGCCCAGGTAATCAGCATTATTTATTAGAAAAAATAAACGAATGCATTTAATTTATAATATTTTGAATTATAATTATGTATTTTACAAGTTTAGAGGAATATATCTTACATTTCTAACCTCGAAATTTCAACCTTCCATCTTAAAATTTTTCCAAATTTTATATAAATTAAACTATTTTTCTTTCTTAGCATTATTTATCGCGTTTAATTAAACCATTCCGATCATTTAGTTATCCAAATTGATTGAATTAAATCGAATAATTTAATCCATTTACTGTAAGCGAATTTTCTAACCTAACCTTTCTAATCTCTTACCAGGTAGATTTTCCAAATTGACACAAATGAATCTAATTTTGACAATTACACTTATTTATCAGAGTATCTACCCTTTTTACCTTAATACAGCAAATAGATACAATAAAATTCAATAATTTAAGATATTAATACTTGCATGAACTTTATAATCTTCTAGCCTTTGTAATCCTCCACCGCCCAACTTTTACAAATTGCTGGAAATTTATCTAATTTTGACAATTACACTTATTTATGAATTTATCTACCCTTTTTACCCTTAGTACAGTAAATAGATACAATAAAATTTAATACATTTATACTTGTATGAACTTTATAATTTAACTTTTCTAATCCTCCACTGTACTACTACCAAGTTGCTTGAAATGTATCTAGTTTTACCAATTGTACTTATTTATCATCTTATTCAGTCTTCTTACCTTATTTTTTTCTACCTTCTTACATTTATTCAATAAATGGTTGAATTATTAAATTCAATAAATTTATCTTTCAATTATCTTGTTAATTGAACCTTTTAAACCTCCAACTGCCCAACTTGCCAAAGATCTATTTAAATTTGCTAACCTAAACTCAATTTAATTCATTAATACTTGTATGAACTTTATAACCTAACCTTTGTGCTATTTAAAAGGTATCTAAACTAAGTTTGGCGGGTCTGAAGATTTCTCGATATACTGCCGAGGCCCCACCCCTATACCTTTGCTAAAATTATGTACATACCCCTAAATGTACGGTTGGAAACCCGGCAAGGTGATTTTCACCTTGACAACCTTCCTTCACTCAAACACAGTAAATTGGTGGCTGCAACAGTTTAGGCATTTACACAGAGTTCTTCGCTTCATGGTAAAGATCCTGGGTTTGAATCCAGCTGCCCTGCGTTTGAACCTGATATACTTGCACCTTTTTTTTTTTTTTTTGCAAAAATGGTAGTTGATATGACCTCTGTTATTGCAAAGCCCTGTTTAAAAAATAAATAAATAAGGACAGATACTTGTGCACCGCCTTATAGTTATTTATCAATATATTTATCCTTTCATCTTATTGGATTCATGGGACAAATTAATGTTTAATATTATGTTTAATTTTAACTACTTATATTTCTATGATCGGTGTAACAACTTTTCCAATCATCGAATTTCCATTACGAATAATTTACAATAAACCATTCTGACATTTCCTCTAAGACTTACTTTTCCTTTTATTTTTTTCCTACAAGAGTATTTCAACTGCGAGGTTTTATGAACCCTTAGGGATGGTTCCCTAATCCACACTTCTAGGGATGCCGGTGTTTTGGAATAAAAGTACCATTTGTATGTTGGGTTTGAGTGCAGAGCTGCTGGATTCAAACCTGGGACCTTTATCCCAGTGAAGAGTGCCGCGTCAACACCTAAACCGTTGCGGCCACCGACGCCCCTTTATCATCTGCCATCGCATTCCTGGATCCGATTAGATCAAATAAATTAATGCGTTGTCCATAAATAGTCTTTCTAACACATGATTAAAAGGAGCTTAAAGTTTCATTCACCCGGTCCCTTTTGTCAGAGGCGCAGGTGCACTATTGATAGGCGGCCCTCAGTGTCTTTATCAAAGAAGAGCGCTCATCCTCACCCGATTAAGGATTGGCCAAGCGATGTAGACATAGACACTTACTTTTAGGCCAACACCTGCGCAACCTGATATAAGAATTGTACTTGAGCACTGCAGCGAGTATACGAGTCTCCTGTTCTGATTCTTGTAGGAAACAAGATTGTGTTATTGTATACAATAGTAATAGTTTTGCGTCCATAGTATGTGTTAAGAATGAATTTATTACCATGAATGTTTTATGTGAGAGGGTATATGGTGGAATTACTCAGCAGAGTACTACACTATTTTTATTTAGTGATTGTATGTAAATAGGAGAGAATGTATTTAAGAATGATTGAGCGTGTGAATGGGTTTGGAGCTACCGAGTGCATGCGTTTGGTGTTGAAATGGCACAGCTGTCGACCTCGATGGCCGGAAGGATGTCTGTTCTTGGATAATATATCGCATTTTTGTAATTATTAATCATTCTAATTGTTTCTTCAATGTGATACAGTACAGTTTCATAATTTAAAATTTTGTCCATGATCTTCCTGACAATTTTAATTCTGTTGTAAATCATCTGTCATCACTTAAACTTATTTATCCATCTATCTATCTATCGAATGATACAATGGTTTAATGCTTGCATACTTTGGTAAGCAGGTCAAATAAATAAATTACTATATACTGGACTTATTTTTTTTTTCTTTTTCAAACTTCTAAAACATACATTGGAAGATAATAATATTTACACAAATCATAAAATGATACAGGAAATTTTTTAACCCGGTAACTTTTTAAAACAAAAGTATTATGAAATAACACCCCCAAAAATGTATATATATTAAAAAAAAAGTATGTTAAATTTACTTGGCACAATTTTCATTTGAGCACACTAAAATCAAAATTCTGTGCGCCTTTTGAAAAAAAAAAAAAAAGTTTGGGCATTAATTAAATAATGTATATACAGGCTAAGTTTTTAAACTTTTATACAATGACTGCCCTTTGAGGGCGAAGGTTTGAATATGACGTAAGTGTAAAGCAGGCTGCCGATAATCGACAGGTTGATGCCAACAAAGTTGGTCACCGAGAAGATGTAGTCGCCGCCAATGAACATCCCGAGGTACGTGACGAGGATGTTCTTGAGGCAGCCCATTATCGTCGTTGTAAGCGCCGAATTATGATGGGTGCAGAAGACGATCGAGTAGTTGAGCACGAAGCCCATGCAGCACGAACCGAGGAACTGTAGGATGAAAATGGGGTCGTGCCATCCGGGAAATGAGACCACTGGAGCAACCTCGCCTAGCACCAAAATAGTGAAGAAGGCGAACGGCGCCATGAAAAGGGCGCAATAGTACATAAGACCGTACTTGCCCATTTCCTTGTTTGAGCTGAGAATTTTTTTTGTGTAGACTCCACTGCTGGCCGTAAGAACATCAGACAAGAGGACGAATACATAGCCCTCAAAGACAAAGCCGAGGTCACCGCTCGCAGCAATCACAGCTCCTAAGATCATAAAACCGATGGATATCTTGACGGAGAGTTTAGGAACGACATCCAAGATCCAGTATTCAGCGATCATCGTCATCAATATGGAAAAGCGCCTGAGCATTGTGAACATCGGCAGGCTCAGCTCTTTTGTCCCTCCGAGTCCGAATATCATGTTAGCGACGTAGATAAAAGGTAGAGGTGAAAGCTGGGAAAATGTCTTTCTGTGCAGGTCCGGGAATGTGAGTATTCGCATCTTCTTGGCGCATTGGAGGACGACGATGGTTGTTACCATCTGCCCGAGTGCTACAGCCTGGAATGAAGGGAATGCATAGCTCGTCAATACCTGCTTGTTGACAACAGTGATCATGAAAGATGTAAACGCATAAAATAGGGCAGAGCTGAACTTCTGCAACAGCGTTGAGCCCTGCTCTTCTTGTTCGAGGAGCGGCTCTTTCTGCTCGACCTGCACCGACAAGGACATCCCGACGTTCTTCCTCTTGCTACTTCCTCTTCAGGTACGCTCTCCATCCCTTTAAAATAATTAATCAATTAATATTATTGTAAACAAAACTTCTTTATAATGAATGAATGAAACCAGTCAGGAATCTACCTTTTTTTAATACAATACAGTTTTATTTAACTTTTCTTACAAATACTGACTTTTTAAAATTTTTTTTGATTAAAGTTTTTTCATTTTATTTGTCTTCCCACTCAAGACAAATTTCATGTCATCTTTACTTCAAAGATGTCTAAATAAAAACCATATAATAAATATAAATGATGTTATCTGATGGGTTTTCAGCTATGAATTTTTCAAATTATTGTTTCTGTTTCTAAATAGGAAGTTATGATATAATTACATTTATATGATCATTATTCCAAACAGAATGGTGAACCTGTTGGCAGAAGTGTACAAAAGATCTCTGAAAGATTTTTATGTTCCTTGCAGGACAGACAGGCCTTCCTGGATAGAAACACAGCTTACAGCAGGTAATTTATGATTTATTTTTCAAAATTGGTGTAGTGTTGAATCAGTTTTATCAAGAATGAAACAAACGCGATTTTTAACAAGTCATGTCTATTAGAATTTTTAGGAAATTATGAGAAATCAGCCTTGACCGATGATATCACCTTAAGGACGTGTCAAGAGATCTTAAACACGGCTGGCCGCTGATAAATCACTCACCTCAGACATTTTCCCACCAGGCAGGGTTTATAGTTTAAATTAATTTTAATTACAGATTATTGTTTCCCTCTCGTTTATCGGAAAAAATCGCCGGTCTTGTATGTAATATCGGCGTACTTACAGGGCTGACAACAACAAACCTGCTATCGTCGTTATCATCAATGACACCTCGTTGTGGCGTTGCCAACCGTATCGTACGTACGGAAATAATTTCCCTTTCTTAATATTCAATATAGCACTGCACAAGAATATAAACATAATAATTATTATTAGTTATTTCAATTAATTATTATTTTTATCTAAGGTCTTGGTTGAGATGAAAAAGTTAGTGTCACGAGCGGGACACTAAGTTTTTCATCTTCACCAAGACGTTAGATACAATGAATAATTAATATGGTCAATTATGACCACTCAACATATATGGATTGTTAGTTATTTTAACCATTATATTTAATTTTTATGCAAAGAAAGTTAAGATGAAAAAATAGTTTCACGAGCGGGACCCGAACCCAGGACCTCCGATTTTTTTTCCAAGGGTCATTTTCGCCCCGAACTTCCAATCCGGCCGGGCCGTCGCACAAGTTATTTTATTTACTTTTTATTTATTTAATTCTTGTTCTTGTTATCAGTTAGATCATATTTCATTTATTTGATTTGCTGCTTTCAAAAGTTGAATAATTTGGCAATATTTTCTTGGTTGTCTCCTAATATTTCATACAGCGTATTCGGTAGAGAATAAAATTTTCTTAAGTCATGATATATGCGACGTGATAATAAAATATGTTTTGTTGTTATTATTTCCTTGCATGCCTCGCATACAGGCGGAGGACACGGGCCATTAAGTGACTCTTATTGCGTGAAAATGCGACTATTGTACAGCATAAAATCCTTCATTAATGAAGAAAAAACGGACATAAATCGAATGTACCACCTGATAAATACTCAGACCGATGCTTTAAACTAAGATATGCCACTTTTCATGAATGGTGACAAAGTACGTTCCCGCCAATTCAAAAGTGATACTTAGTGCTGTGTAGCAGCTGGCAGTTTTCCTGTAGCATGAAATAGTCGAATACTTAAAAAAACTAAAAAATCCGGTTTTTATCATTTTTCGACTTTCACTTTACTTGTAGGTGTGCGATATTTTCACAAATAAAAGACACGATATGGACGAAACTGAAATGCTATCATGCACAAGCTACCAAAAAATCTAAAAAAACGCTTTTAAAATAATTTCAAACTATTAAATTTTAAATATTTTAAAATTTAACCTTTTTATTTAAATTGTTTTTAATAATATTTTTTTTGAAGCGGCGCCCCTCCAGGGTTTCACCGTGAGCCGTTACGCGGGCGGGCGGGCGGGCGGGGGCGGCAACGACGGACGAGGCGCTCCCCGTGGTGAACTTTGACCCCCCTCCGGGGGCAGGATCGTTAGGTTTCCGACCAGCCGACAGGACCCCCGCATCCACGGAGAGTTTTTTTTATTTATTTATTTTTCCGAACCCCCGGCCGCCTCCGCCGCCACCTCCGCCTCAGAGAAAAAGGACCAGGTGAACAAATCGGGCCAGACCCGGCCCCCGGGCGAGATTTTGCATGTCGGGCCGAGAAATCGCCACCTCCTCCTCACGACCACGGGGGCAAGGATGGGACCGCTGGCCTACTTCGCCACTTATCGACTAGGATTACTCCAAGGAGCCAATGTGAGTGATTTAATCTTGCTTTGCTTTAAACATTAGAAAAAATTACAAATTACAAATTACAAAAAAAAAATTGTGATTATAAAAACAAAATTGTCTTCCATCCACCATTCTTCCCTTTCTGGGACACAGGACCTTTCCACCAGTGCGCCGCCCCCCACCTACAATCACGGCGAATTTCAATTTTACCGTCTTTTTTTAAATATTATTTTGCCCTGAATGCGCCGCCTCCCCCCGTCCCCCACCACTTCTGAGCCCCGGGGGCAGACACGTGATACTATACAAGTCTTTAAATTAAGTCCGTGGGGGCCGTAGTAGGAGGGTGTGAGCGTGCGCCGGGCGGGGGGCGGCTATCGATCGGGGAGTAGTGACCTCCTCGCTCGTCGTTCCTCGTGAGCGGGGGGCGGCGCGGGCGGTCGGCTGGCGCGGTCATTCACGGCCGCCATTCAAACGGGACGACACGCGAAACACGCAAACTGGAACAAATTGGTGCGAGACAAAAAAAATCGTCCTATATTTTAGTCATTAAAAACAAATTACCATCCATAAGTATAACTAACAATATTTTCAAAGTTTGAATAGAATCGGTAGGTAAGTAAGACGTTTTAATTATTGGGAAAAAGAAAACACCTCGTATCGATAGTATACGTCCCCAACCATCCAGTTTAATAATTGACAATATATATCGAAAACGTCAACAACATCGATACGGATTTTAAACCTTTAGCTGATCAATATAAACATGTCAAGTATCGATATGATTCGACTAACATGATTCGCGAACTGTATAGATTCTCGGCCTAATCGATTATCACATAAATTCTCTTTCTGGGTCGATTATCACATTGATCGCTGTCTTTGTCGATTCTCGTCTGAATAAATCACAAACTGTACCGATTATCCACAAAATATATTCTTGGCTGGTTCGATTATCATATAGATTTTGAACCGTATCGGTAACTACATCGGTTCTTGACCGCATAGATTGACAATTGTGTCGATTATCGACGATATCGATTCCTGACTGGATCGATTGTCACATATATTTTGAACTGTGTCGATAGCTACATCAATTCTTGACAGAATAGATTCACAATTGTGTCGATTATTCTTGGCTGGATTGATTATCACACAGGTTCTCAGTCTAATCGATTATTACAGATTCTCGGATTAATCTATTGTCACGTCGATTCTCGGCTGTACCGATTCTCGCATTCATTCTTGACTGAATTGATTCACAATTGTGTCGATTATCGACGAAATCGATTCCTGGCTGAATCCATTATCATAGATTTTGAACCGTATCGATACATCGGTTCTTGGCTGAAAAAATTCAAGACAGGGTCGATTATCGATAAAATCGATTCCTCTCTTTATCGATCAGATTCTCGTCCTAATCGATTACCATATATTCTCGCATTATCAATGGTTACATCGATTTTCTGCTGTATCGATCCTCGCATCGAATGCTGATTGAATTGATTCACAATTGTGTCGACTATCGTCGAGATCGATACGTCGATTATTTCATAGTTTTTGAACCATATCAATAGCTGCATCGATTCTTGTCTGAATAGATCAAAATGGTGTGGATTATCACATATATTCTCGGTCTAATCGATTATCACACATTCTCGGATTTATCAATTGTCACATCGATTCTCGGCTGTATCCTCGTATCGGTTCTTGACCGAACAGTTTCCCTATGTCTATCGATTATCTACGAAATCGATTCTTGGCTGAATCGACTAATTACTACAAACCTTCTCGACCGTATCAATGATATCGTTTATGGACTTGATCTATTCAAGGAATGTATCGATAAACACCTTTATTCTTGAACTATATATAATCGATATAGTTCAAGAACACTTTGATTTTTGGCATTATCGATCGTTCCATTGATGCTTGACTGCATAGATTATCCAACTGTATCGATTAACGTCGAAAACTCTTATTTGCTGATCGATTATCACATAAATTCTCAGCTGTATCGATCTTCATATCGATTCACAACCAAATATATTCTTGGCTGTATCGATAATCACAGATTCTCGGATTTATCAATTTTCGCATCGATTCTCGGCTATATTGATCGTCACATTCATTCTTGATTGAATTGATTCTCAAACTGTATTGATTATCGACGAAATAGATTCTTAGCTGGATCGATAATTTCAGTTTCGACCTATCATGACACATCGATTCTCGATTGAATCGATTCATACACTGTAGCAATTACCACATTACTTCTCGATCAGAGATATCGAATCTTTCACATCGATAAATCGATTCAAAGTTGATTTTTTTATGCGGAAAATATCGTTATGTGCACTATCGATTCTCCACCAGTCAGTTTTACTATTGTCTACGACGATCTTGTATCGAAACAACATCGATAGTTTACAGATATGTCTATCATCAATAGTTATGAAGCTGGTTTACAAACTTGTGAGCGCGCTCATTATCCTTTACTTTTTCACCTTATTGTATTATTATCATTATTATTATTGACGTATTTGATTTTTACTATCTTAATTCCTTTTGTTTTCCAGCCCGTCTTGCCGTGGGATTGAGGAGAAACACAGATGGTTACGACAAAAGTGGGCCAGACTACTCGGATTCAGGGGAGAATGTTGTGCTGTGGGCGGAAAAAGGTGAGCAGCACGAATTTTCTTGACGGTAGATGTAATGTGTAATAGCGGGGACGGACGGATCACAGTAGACTTAGCTGGTATACACGTTCGAGGCATACTAGTATAGGTGAAGATAGGACTCGTACATTATGAGGATCAACATATAATCCCACCATATTTCATAATGACGTTGTAGTTACTCCAAAACTATGACATAATGACCTAGATGTGTGTAAGAAAAGCATAATTACCATCTTATGGCTCAACTACTGTATGTAGAATGGATCCATAATGAACAATTTATGCTTAATGGCCTGCTTATAAAATAACTATGCAGCATGATTAAAAACAATTTTCAATTGTATGAAACTACTAGGCAACACAATCACTGATTTGTGTCCCCACAGCACGGCACAATGGCCTACCTAAGCCTCCACGAGACGGAATAATGACCGTCTTATGACTTCACAGGACAGCATAATGGCAGACTTATGACTCGATTAGATGCATAACGGCGTACTTATGACATGATTATGCTTCACAATGGCCGATTTATGCCTCCACGAGACGGAATAATGACCGTCTTATTACTCGATTATACTGCATAATGACCAACTTATGTCTACCCAGCACAGCATAATGGCAGACTTATTACTCGATTATACTGCACAGTGACCGACTCATGATTCCCCAGGAAAGCAGACTGGTCAACTTATGACTCCACCAGACAAAATAATGACTGACTCATGACATGATTGTGCTTCATAATTGCCGATTTATGCCTCCACGAGACGGTATAATGACCGTTTTATTACTCGATTATACTGCATAATGATCAACTTATGTCTACCCAGGAAAGCATAGTGGTCAATTGTCAGTCATAACTCCACCAGACGAAATAATGACTGACTTATGATTCCACCAGACGGCCATTATGTTGTCCTGACTAGGAATTGCCCACGCAACATACTGACCTACGTACGAACCGTACCTAAATAAATACCTACCGTACCTAATACCTACGTACCGAAAGGCCAATGGGATTGAACGATTTACATTGTAAGACGGCATAACGGCCGACTTGTTGGACCTCGACCCACCCCATATTTGTAAAATACTCGGAATTTATCAGTAAAATATACAATGGAAATAAATCGAGTAGTGGCCCATCGAACAGCCTGTTGAGCTTCATTTCCAGGTCATTTATATACGAGTGAGACTACAATGACCTGGGAGTCGTAAAACAACGAAGCGTTATTCCTTCTATATTTTATGTTTCTTTTTTAGGGTTTTTATATTTTTAATGGGAAAATCGATAATCTTTAAAACGATTGATCTGATTTTTTCGTCGCCCCCCCTCCGGAAAGATTGGAATCGATCTCAGGAAAAGCTTGAACTTTTGATCGATTCGGAGTAACGAGTTTACATAATCCGCCTCGACGTGGGGGGCGGTCTCTCGCGTCGCGGGGTGGGGGCGGCTCCTCGCCCCCTTTTCATCGATTCATACCGCCGCCTCCACCCCCGGCCACTGAGGTTGGCAGCCCTGGCCGGTTCGCAGCCGCCGACTCCGCCGCGCGCGCGGGCAGTCCGTGCCGAGACGACAAGTGGCGAACAATGGCGGCCAGCCGGGTGGCCCCTTTCGACCGACCCCAAATCGCGGATTTCAACCCTTCGTCAACGCCGGATGGAGAGACGTTCCTGCCCATATAACGCTTAAAAAACCCAACCCACACCAAAAATAAAAAAAACCCAACAAAAGTTATAAAAAATAAAATAAAATAAATCCTCCAACCTCGTATAAATATGTGCGACAAGGATAGCGCCTCAGGATGTTTCTTCAGTCGAAAAGTGAGTCAAATCACTTAAATAAAAGTTAATGGAAAAATCAACAAAGGTTAAAAAACCTGTAAAAACAATACAACAATACAACAAAAACAAAAACAATACATCAACCACCCCCGACGGTACAGGTTCAATTTGACTTTGCTTACAAATCGCGCATGTCTCGCGTACATTTTTTATACTTCGGCGGACTTCGCTACCCAAGCCTGTGAGATTTTTTTAAAAAACCAATTGGACAGAAATTGGTAAATAAACGTCAAAAATGTGGATCTGACAAAAAAGAAAAAAATCAGACTAGGTGAAAACCCATAACGCTCCCACCCCTATCGACGATTGCGTAAGTGTGACGGCACTGTTGCAGTTTAACACTACGTCCTGGCTTTTCTTTAAATACACAAAAAAAATTAAAGTAACTAATAATTTAAAATAAATAAATAAACCTTTTAAGGGAGAGAAGGAAAAACCCTCACCCCGTCGGGGTTTTCTTATCCAGTCATGGAAAAAACCACCCTCATAAGACATTAAAAGCAAAAACAACACATTTTCTCATCGAGTGACAATAACAATAAGAAATTTAACAATTTTGCCGGATTTTTATTGGATTGGCGTTTCGGCCCTTGGGGTGGGGTATTCTAAGGGTGAAATTTTTTTTTTTACTGTTTTTATATTAGTAAATTTTTTTTTCCAAAAAGACCGGTCGTGAGAACACTCCTGATTTGGCGACTAGCCCTAGGAGGCAGCCCAACCAGAAACAACCGCCTCCGATGGTCATCCAGCCGGATTTCAGAAAGGTAAGAAGCCAGATTTTCTCAACCGACCCCCATGTCAAATGTTTCAACGTTTCCCCGGCCCCGCCCTCGTTTCAGGTGAGCGGCATATCGTCGGAGATATTCAGACAGATCGAGTCGATAGAGAACGAATGCGAGCCGATACAGGACGGCAGAGGCGAGATGGTCGTCAGGCTCCTGGACACGAAGAACCTAGGACAGGCGGCACTGCAGGCAGCACGACCTTGGCTCGCGATGCAGGTAAACACAATACAACAATAATTTCAATTTATTCGCACACTATTCCAACGTGAAAACCTGGTGTAACCTACCTTTCGACAATGAAAACCCGATGTAATTTATTTCCACAAAGCAAACGTCAATTCACAATTTGAAATTTTTGAAAATTAACAATGAAAATCCAAGTGTAGCTTACTTTTTTTTAAACGAAACTCCTAGGATAACCTAATTTTTAACAATAAAAACCCATGTGTTACCTACCACCCCACTTAACCCTTATTATAACATACATTTTAACAATGCAAACCCGATGTAACCTCTTTCCACAAAGCAAACGTCAATTCACAATTTGAAATTTTTGTGCAAAAACGTCTTGTAGAGCTTGTAAAGGTAAGAAGTCTAGGATAGCATACATTTTAGTTAGAAAACCCAAGTGTATCTTATCATTTTTGAACAAAAACCACAGAGTAACTTTTTTTTTAACATACAATTTTTTGTATAAAGTTAGTTTGGAACAGTGTAACAACTTTTCAACAACGGAGATCCAATGGTTAAAAATACTTTTTACATAGCCCTCATTGTAACCTAATTTTTTAACAATGAAAACCCAAGTGTAACCTCCCCCGAAACCTATGTTATAATCTACTTTTTAACAATGAATACCCAAGTGTAACTTTTATATTCCGACGAAATTTCTACTATAACCTATATTTTTAGAACGAAAACCACAGAATAACCTTCCTTTTTTTTAAATACACAACGTTTAAATTGTGTATTTAAAAAGTATAATCGAGACCGTTTCGAACAGTGCAACCAACTTTTCAAAATCGTATAGTTCAAAAACACTTTTTCACAATGAAACCTCGAGTGTAACCTCCCCAAAGCCTGTGTTATAACTTGCTTTTTTTAAATGAAAACCCAAGTGTAACCTTCTTTTTTAACGACACTCCAAGTATAACATAATTTTTAAATTAAAACCCATGCTTGACCTACCTCCCAACGTAGCCCTTATAATCTAATGTTTTAACAATGAAAACTTGAAGGTAACCTCCTCGAAATCTATGTTATAAACTACTTCTTAACTATGAATACTCAATCCAAGTGTACCTTACCTTTTTTTTAACGAAACTCCTAGGATAATATTTTTAGAACGAAAACCACAGAGTAACCTTCTTTTTTTCTTAACTTACAATTTCTTGTATAAAGATAGTTTGGAACAGTGTAACCAAGTTTTCAACAACGTTAGTTACACTGTTACCCTAGTTTAAAAATACTTTTTTAACTATGAAAATTCAAATATAACCTACTTTCTTTTTTCACATTATTCTTAGTACAACTTACTTTTTTAACAATTAAAACCCAAGTGTAATCTCCTACCTCCCCCTCCTACAAAAAAACCAACTGTAACCTTATTTACCCATATTTAACAAAACTTTTAGTTAACTATAACTACTTTTTTACTATGAATGTGCAAGTGTACCCTACCATTCCCCCACCCACGAAACCTTTAGTATAACCCGCTTTTGAACAATGAAAACCCTAGTGTACACTATCGCTCTCCAAAAAAGACCTAAAAAACAACTGTAACCTTATTTCCCCCCTTTTTTTTAAACAATACTCTTAGTAAAAACTACTTTTTTTACTATTAAAATGCAAATGTACCCTACCATACCTGTCCCACCACCCGCGAAGCCTTTAGTATAACCCGCTTTTTAATAATGAAAACCTGTGTATAACCTACCTTTTTCCCAAATGAAACTCGTAATACAACCAAATTTTTAACAAAGAAAACTCAAGTTTAACCTCCTATCTCTCAATCCTAACAAAAGAAAAAAAATGAAAACGGTATAATCTACTTTTCGACCATGAAAACACTAGTATAACCTACTATTTAATTAAAATTTAATTTAAAAAATTAAAACCCAAATGTAACATATCTTTTTTTACGTCTCAACTCCTAGTACGACCTACTTTTTTGACGATGAAAACCCAACTGTAATCTACCTCTCGTTTAAACGAACTTCTAGTTCAACGCATTGTTTAACATTGATAGCCCCAGTGTAACTTACCCCTGTCCTCCCGAAACCTACGATAATCCCCAATGTAACGAACATTCCCTCAACGCTAACTTGTTCAGTACATCCTACATTTCGATCACAACCGGGGCTCATATGATATATTACATTTACACAACACAAAACCCAGTTTAACCAAAGTCACCCTCTTTCCCTCTCTTGCTTGTTGTTGTTTTCATTGCATATTTAATTGACTCTCTCTCCCACTTCTGTCTGTCCGTCCTTTCATCCTCTTTATCAACTTTCACTTCATCTGTTTGTTTTTTGCCCAGGTCGGAAAAAACCCAGTGAAGCTCACAAACCTGTTTAGTACATCTTACATTTCGACCCCAACCCCAAGCTTATATGATATGTTACATTTACACAACAAAAAACCCAGTATTACTGACCACCCGCTTTCGCTCTCTTGCTTGTTGCTGTTTTCGTTGAATATTTAATTGACTCTCTCTCCCACTTCTATCTGTCAATTCTTCCATCCTCTTTATCAACTTTCACTTTGTCATCTGTCTTTTTCTTTTTTTTTTGCTCAGGACGGAAAAAACCAAGTGAAGCTCGTCGAGATCGTGAAACGTCCCGGTCAGACGCTGGGCCTGTACATCCGGGAGGGTAACGGCGTCGACAGGACAGACGGCGTTTTCATATCCCGTATCGCCCTCGAGTCGTCCGTCTACAACAGCGGCTGCCTCAAAGTCGGCGATGAGATACTCGCCGTCAACATGGTCGACGTGACGCGAATGTCTCTGGACGACGTCGTCATCATCATGTCGATACCAAGACGGCTCATCCTCGTGACAAGGGAAGGCGCGCCGTGCCCGGCCGGGATACAGACCCAACCTCACCACAAACCGCTACCGGTAGTCGTCATCAAACAGGGACAGCTGCAGAACCGATACGACAAGTGAGTCCATCCATTATCCACTCTTCCGATAATATTTTGCCCCGTTTTTTTCTTGACTTTCCAGCGACGCCTCACCTTCTCCTTGCAAGCTAATGGACGAGGACCGGCCTCCGTCAAGGTTACACGCGTCGAGGTCGCACCTGGCCCTCGGCCTCTCCGGGGGCGCTTCACAGCACGATCTATCGTCCATGCAGTCGAAGAGGGTTGCCAACGGTTCCGCCGACCACTATTACAGGCACAACATACCCCATTCGCAGACCGTAAGTCCATCCACAGGAGACCTGCACCAAATGCACTGCACGTGGAATCTCGTCAATATTCCATCTATAGCCGGTTGACATAGTGCTTATTAGGTGCTCAAAAGCGTCTATATTATATCAGGAGCTCCTACAAACCGGCAATTTGAGCAAAAGCTCCAATTTCCATTACGTTCTTTTTTTACATTTACAGCTCCGAACCCATGTCCATCGTCGGCACAACCACACACACACAACCCCCACCACAAAAAAAAAAAAAAAAAAAAAAAAAAAAAATTAAAAAAAAAAAAAAAAAAAAAAAAAAATCGCACAGTGTACTTTTATTTATTTCCCGCGCCCCCATTAATTACAGACGGCTAAAATGTTGTTTTTAGATGGAAAGAGGAAGTTGGTTGTATCAACCTCCGCCTCCGCCGGTCGTCACAGAACAGCCCAAGTCGCACCACTATCAGTCCTACGACAAGGCCTACCCAAAGACGCTGGAGTCTCTCGCTGAGAAGGTATCCAATAGTGTTAGTATTAGACAAAAGACATCTTTCTTAAAAAAAAGCGCTTCGGCTTCCTTGCCTCCTTCGCCAACTCATTTATTTTATTTATTATTTAATTATTTAAAACAGGGATTAAAAATGTATGAGAGAGAAGACGTTACACTATCGACTTGAACTATTTTTCAAAACTAATAACCAAATCGTAACCTACTTTTGAAGGCTTATACGTATTGTTAAATTCACGGCAGAACTTTAGTATAACTTACTCATGACACCCCTTGATATATATACACCATAATAAGTCATATTTCAATTTAGTATTTTCGGAAAGAAATAGTGTTCTCGTTAATTTAGAGAGACTTTCCGGGCACTTCCTTGCACAAAGTAGTACATACTATCATTCTGGTGTGGCCACTTGTAATCTACTACCAAGTAACCAGGCGACTCACTTTGATTGGGATAGGGGATAAGAGAGGCGGCTACAAGGCCTACTGCACCTCAACCTGAATAGATCTATTGTGCTCCACGGTTATTTATAACTCACTGGACAGCTTCAGATTATTAATCAGCCTCCATAACTGTGCCAGCGGCTCCTTAGTGTAGGATCTTGCTTGCGGTTATTCCTGTCCTAGTTGCAAAAACCTGCAGCTACATAGACCTTTACAGAAACATAAAATATGTACTGCAGTCTCCTTCTCTTCCTGGCAGTATCTGCACAGTGTTTCTTCTGTCTGTATTCCTATCCGTTGCATGTGCTTTTTTAAGTGCCAGTGCCCTATCAGGAGTCCAACCAGAATCCTAGTTTGGTTGCCTGGCTGCCTTCCAGTAGTTCTTTCGTAAGTTTTGCGGATGGTCCTTCTATGAATCTCTTCGTATGTCTCATACCTGTGGTATTGTTCCACCAGGTGTTGGACTCATGAAGGATCCATTTTAAACTCACTTTGTTACCATGCACCTAGCTTGTCACCTCCGGTGTGGCCTTAGCCGGATTGTAGAGCTGTAGGTATTTTTCAATTGCGAGAGCGTGTAGTGTGAAGTTACTAGATTGTTCTGTCAAACTGAATTTGTGTTCACTATATTTGCTTGAAACGGCGACCCAAATTCCTTCTTTGTGTTTTTCCTCCGTCAATGTATATAAACCGGGCGTTTGGAAAGTCATATTGGGATTTTAGGAATTCTTTGTGATATATTATGGGGGGAGTATTCCCTTTTTTGAAATTTTGATAACGACAGGGACGTTTTTGGGAATGACCTACTTTTAAAACATAACCTACATATCCATAACCTACTTTTAAAGCACGTGGTTTTGGTATAACCTTCTTTTCATGGGAAACTTTTTTCCCTAAAATGTAAACTCTGTTGTAACTCGTTCATGAAAAACCTTGCTATAATTTATTCCCAAGGTGTTTCTAATGTTCTATCCCCCAGCTTTCCTGTTTATGCAAATTACCTAATAAAAAAGGGTAGGGATTGGAGGCAAACGAAAGCAACAGGAGGTGTTTTGTTGTCGTGCCTCTTTTATTTTGTTTTCTCTCCTGCAGTTCGCATGAATGCAGTTTTTTTTCGACATGCGGTCTGATTATTTTATTATTATTATTTTTTTTTTTGGTTTTTCTATTTTGTTTAATATATAGGTGCACTCGTTCTATCCGGGTGGGAGCTCGACGACACCGAGGCGTATGTCGGCCACGACTTCTTCCAGCCTCCTTTCCTACTACGGCGGCGGTTCCAGGTCGAAGATGATGCCAAGGTCCGGTTCGGATCAGCATCTTCCTCGGGTCGAGTACATGGATTTCAGTGAGTTAAATTTTTTTTTTTTTTTTTTTTTTTTGAGGGAAAAAACATGGGCTTTTTTCTTCGTTGAAGATACGTCGAACATGGGCCCGCCGTCTTACAGGAGCAGCTATCGCGTACCGGCGTCTTCATCTACGTACAGCACGCTGACGCGCAGGCAGCGTTCTGTCGATTACAGCTCGGACACAGAGACATCCCGCCCTTCTTACTACTACTACAGGCAGCATAGCGGGGGCGGCGGCGCTTCGGCCCTCGGAGGCCTCTCGTCGACCATCGACGCCTCCCACGGCCGGATCTCCTCGCTCAGGTCAAATTCGCTCCCGAGGGACAACAGGCAGCCGAGGGCCCACGTGCCCACCCTTCCGACGCACCGGGGGTCGAGCCTCCGCCTGGAGAGGGACTCGTCGCATTCTATCCTGCCCGGGGTCTCGTCACTCGTCGACCAGGACGACGACGGTGCACTCTCAGCTCCAGAAATGTCCATTTCCAGAAAGCACAGAAGTAAGTATATTTAAAAAAAACAATACTATACAATAATAATTCTAATAATAAATAATTTAAAAAGAAAGGACAAATTCCCCTTGCACTAACCTATAATTCATGCCATAAACATCTGCTATTTCTAACATTCACCAATATAAATATGAAGGTTGCATGCAGTTTATATTGACAAACATGGTTGGGTGGATGCACGCAGGTTAGGTATCTTTATATTGAAGGTTACAAGCAGGTTCTCTTAAGAAAACAATGTTCATGGTAGTTATCTTTATAATTGGAGGTTACAAGCAGGCTATCTTAAGAAAATAATGTTCATCGTAGTAATCTTTATAAAGGAAGGTTGCATGCAGGTTATCTTGACAAACATGGTTGGGTGGATGCACGCAGATTAGGTATCTTTATAATTGAAGGTACAAGCGGGATGTCCTATCAAACGTACGGTTCACGTCTTCACGTGAGGTCGTCTTAATAAACGGGCTTATGAGTGTTATATGTAAGGAGGTTATCTTTATAAACGAAGGTTGCATGCAGATTGTCTTAAGAAAAGAATGTTCATGGTGGTTATCCTTATAAAATAAGGTTGCATGAAGGTTATCTTAACAAACATGCTTCGGTGGATGCACGCAGGTTAGGCATCTTTATATTGAAGGTTGCGAGCAGGTTGTCCTATCAAACGTAGATACACGTCTTTACATGAGGTCGACCTAATAAACGGGCTTATGAGTGTTACATGTAAGGAGGTTATCATTATAAATGAAGGTTGCATGAAAGTTATCTTGACAAACATGGGTGGATAGACGCAGATTAGGTATCTTTATAGATGAAGGTTGCAAGCAGGTTGTCCTATCGAACGGATGATACACGTCTTCAAGTGAGCTTACGAACACGCAGGTTGTGACCCACATTTTAGGGAAGTTCTCCTTACCAAAGTTCACGTTGATTTCACGCGGTTTATCTGCATAAACGGAGGTTGCATTCAGGTTATCCTTATTATAAAGTAAGTTACATGCGTGTTATCTTTCTCCAAAAACTGAGGTTCATCTTACGTTATTCTTCGTTTAACCCTTCATGAAACACTGCCAATGGAGTCATAAGCCATCATCTGCTGTTTTACCTTTAGCCAACCAGCTTTGAATCTTCATAGAACTTCCTACCTCTAGCATGCCATCTCATTTTCTGTTATTTTTTGTTTGTTTTTTGTTTCTTTGAACCATTTCTAAAAGCACAGTTCAGATCCTAGCGCACACTCACTCCCATGCTGTCGTCTTGTCATCGTGTTCTAGGTCGACTCGTTTCATCCCCGTCTGTTTTCACAGCCGACGAATACAGAGCCTGGCTATCGAGGGCGCCCTCCTCCAGCGCTATTTACCAGTCGGTGTCCAGGGGGCAGTCGCTCCTCGCAAGCCAGAAGGCGAGCCAGCGTTTCGCTTTCTCCTCTGAAAACCTCCCACAGCGCACACGACAGGTATCTATATGGATTTTTAAGGTTTCGTAGCTTTAAGATGTCATTTAATGGAAGGTATAGACTGTGAAACTAAAGCATCGATTATATCGTATATATCGAACGAAAAAGAATCAATATTCTTATATGTATCGCACATGAAAGTCTTAGATGGAAATAGAAAATATCGATTTTTGCTACATATCGAAATAGAAAGTATCGATATAGTGACAAAGAAATATCGAATTGAAAATTCCAGTATATGTATCGATATTTCATAAATATAGGAAATAAAAGTATCGATTATATATATATATATATATATATATATATCGATATTTCGTGTATCGCGAAAGTTTAAGTTTAGATATTTGATCTATAGATAGTTTATATATCATCGTAAAGAGGGTATCGATATTGTATATATATATATATAGAAAGTTTAATTATCGATATTTGAACTATAGGTAGTTTATATATCACCGTCAAGTGGTATAGCATACATAGAAATTGAAAGTATTGATATTTTATCTACCAAAAGTAAAAGTATTGATATTAAATGTAAAAGTATTGGTATTTTGTATATATGTATCGAAGTGGGACAGTATTTCTTCGAAATAAGAATATAGGTATATTAAGATAATAAGATGTTAGGTTTATATCGAATGAAAAAATCGATGTTTGATACATATCGAATGTAGAAGTATCGATTTTGGGAATATAACGAAATATATTGAAATAGGATGTATCTATTTTCCGTATATATTAAATAGGAAGTATCGATATTTGGTATATACCGAATGGAAAAGTATCTAAGTTTGATTATATACCATAATAGGAAGTATCGATATTTAGTAAATATTGAATGAAAAACTATCGATGTACGATATATATTGATATTTGAATTAAGATATATAGATTTTTGTTAAATATCTAAATAGGAAGTATCGATTTAGTAAATATCGAATGTAAAAGTATCGATTTTTGGTATATATCGAAATTTATTAAAATATGATGTATCGATTTTTGGTAAATATAGAAGGTAAAACATCAATTTTTATATATCGAAATGAAATATATCTCGACATATTATAATGGCGGTCATGTTCTAACAATTTGATGTACGTTATGTTATAAAACTAAGGTTATAGTTTGGTCATACGCCTTTTTATTGTGGTTATAGTACAGTAACTTTTTTTCTTTTCCAGTCGGAGCTTTTATATTCGACGTACCGGCCCGGCCAGCTTGCCGCGATGGGCCCCCTCGTGTCTTCCTCTAGCAGCACGATACCCCTCAAGTCGTCCACCCTCGACCGTCATTCCATCCTCGACAGGCACACGGCCACCCTCGAGAGACACTTGTCAAATCTGGACCGGCACGCGTCCCTCGATCGTCACGCCCAGTCGGCCATCGAGAGGCACACGTCGAACCTGGAGAGGCATGCTTCCAACCTGGAAAGGCTCTCGTCGACCCTGGACAGGCACTCGGCACTCGACCGGCACTCGTCCTCGCTCACATCGCGTTCCGCGTCACTGAGGCGTATGCACAACCTACTCGAACTCGAGGCTAAGTCGATGGGAAAAGGGTCAACTCCGCCTGTCGAGAACAAACAGCCAAGACATTCACCTTCTCTACTGCATATCAACCCTGCCGGTAATATACACAATATTTTTCTCTCTTTGTGTTCGTTAATGTTTTTTATTTTTATTTTGCGGGAAGAATTTTTGAAGTATAAACAGTCGGTGGTGAGGACAGGACAGTCTGAAGTTAGTGGTCTCCTCTGGCTCCACCTCCTGAGCGGAAGGGGTCTTCGTGCTTCGTCGAACCCTTCGGGCAGCACGTCGAACCTCGCCGCTGGAGGAAACAGCGTCGTGAGGGACCTTTACTGTGTTCTCGAGTGCGACGGTGTCCACAAGGCGAGGACCGTCGTGAAGACGGCCGACTTGGTCTTCGACTGGGACGAGACTTTTGAGCTGGACCTCGTCCACAACCGTGAGCTCGACCTTCTCATCTACTCCTGGGACCCACAGTACAGGCACAAGCTCTGCTACAAAGGGTCCGTCCAGCTCGCCGCTCTCCTCCAGGAGTCACCGGTCCACCAGCTGGCGGTCAAGATCGAGCCCCGCGGTACCCTGTACATGCGCCTCCACCACACGACCCCACAGCAGACGTTCATGAGGAAGCCGAAGCAGCCCGTCATACCGAGGGGGAAGGTACAGGGGATTTTCGGCACGGACTTGGAGGCGGTCGTCAACAGGGAGAGCATCGCGTCGGAAATACTCAAAGGGGACGCCCTCAACATACCCACCATCGTGAGGCGTTGCGTCGAAGAGGTCGAAAGACGAGGCCTAGACATTATAGGTAAACAAGCGAGACCGGACGGACCCAGTGTAGATTATAACCACTTATCTCTTTTTCCCCTCCATCCAGGACTGTATCGGCTTTGCGGTTCCGCAACGAAAAAACGGATACTGAGAGAGGCTTTCGAAAGAAGTGCGAGGACTGTCGACCTATCGTCGGACAACGTTCCAGACATAAACGTGATTACCGGTGAGTACAACTTTTATCCCTACACAAAATTTGCCTATTTGCATTTTCTGACTTTTGTAAAGTAGGTTATTCGCCTTGTGACGGTGATAACTTCACTCAAAAGTAGGTTATAAAAGGGTTTTGAATTTGAATAGCAGTAAAAAGAGGCAGACACCTGGGTCATTTAAAACTCGTATATTGCGTACTTTTAATTTGTAACCTTCCAATAGCCAATTTTGCGGGCATGAAACCGTCGTATATCTTACTATTTGATTATAATTACGCTTATTATGGACATGGAACCCATGTATAACCTAACGTAAGACAGGACCAATGAATAACCTTCTGGATAACCATAGTGTAACCTCATACTCTTAGCAAACTAACGTATTTTGATACATGAAACCCTTATATAATCTTATGCACAAAAATGCATAGCCTACTTGATGACAAAAAACTGTAAATAACCATAGTATAGCTTACGTATTTTTTTTAAATCTAACTTCATTAGATACTGGATGATTTAAGTAAATTAAAAAAGCTTTTACCTAAACCACAATCCTTGATGAGGCTCCATCACAAAAAAGTACATACCTTAAAAGATATATTTACTTAGATACATGAAACTCTTTTATAACCTATTATATAACCTTCTTGATAACAGCAGTATAACCTCATTTTCGTAGAAAACCAACTAATTTAGAGACATTAATTGTTGTATAACCTTGCGTATGGTATAAAACCCATGTATAACTTACTGTATAACAAAAACATATCACCTTTCCGGATAACCTTGTATAACCTTATTTCCTTAGAAAATCTAGACACGAAACCCTTCTATAACCTCCGGAATAAAATCCATGCATCATCTACTGTATCCCATAAATAATATATAACCATGGTATAACCTCATATCCTCAGGAAACCAATTTACTTAGATACATGAAACCCAAGTATAACCTTCTTTATAATAGAAACATATTATATAACCTTTCCTGATAACCATAGTATAACTTTAACCATTGTATAACGTTATTTAGATACGTGCAACCCTTGTTTTACCTACTTTACGGACATGAAACCCTTTATAACCGTATGAGTAACCATCGTTTAACCTTAATTAAGGGCATAGAGCCGTTGTATAATCTGCCTCAGGTTCATGGAACCTTAATATAACTTTAATAGTGTTGGAATAAAACCTACTGAACTAAAAAAAAAATATTACATATAATAGAAACTTATTTAGCGACATATAAGACCCTTGTACAACCTGTACTTTTGTGGCAGAAAACGTTGTATCAACCCGTGTATAACAACGTTAATCTGATTCACATCGAAAACCTTGTCAAACTTACTTTTCAGGTTGGAAAAACCCTTGTATATCCACCGTTTAACCCCCAATTGTTAGAAACCTCTGTACAACCTCTCCTTTAGGATAATACGTCGTAATTCAGTTTTGACCGTTGTACAGGCGTACTCAAAGACTACCTGCGAGAGCTTCCCGAACCTCTGGTCACGAAATGCCTCTACCAGATGCTCGCCGACGCGGTCTCCGTCTGCCTGCCCGAAGACCCCCAGGGCAACGCCAGCCTGATATTCTCCATCCTCGACTGTCTACCTCATGTGAACAGGGTTGGTTTTTGACCCTTTGGCAAGTTGTTCTCTTTAATCTCTATGTTTTTTCTCTTTCTTTCCAGTGCACTTTTATATATTTGATGAACCACCTGGCCCTGGTGGCGTCTCAGAACGAAAGGAACAAGATGTCCACCCAGTCGCTGGCTACCTGCTTCGCCCCGGTCCTCGTCCTCCACTCGGACTCGGAGGTGAAACCTTTGGACTTCCACGGGCCGATATCCGTCATCAAGTACCTCCTGGACATCTGGCCTTCGTCCATGGGTAATGGCTAAGTTCATAAAGACACCCCCTTCCACCAAAAATCATGACCTCCCGACATCATCAGCCTTCTTCAAAACTCGATTCGACTCAACCTTTCAAATCCCACCCCTTCCACACTTTTTTTCCACTCTCTGTAATTGTCTCTATATTTCAGTTGACGGGTACGGCGGTTACGAACAACGGCTGGTAAGTCTCATGGGTGAATTCTGATAATTTGAGTTTTTTTTTTTTTTGTTAAACATAATTTAGACCCTCCCACCCCTGAAAAAAGAAATATATAATAAAAACATCAGGGAGATTTGTTTGAAAAAAAAGAACGAAAAAATATGCACTAGAAGTCACCTTGTTTGGACAAGATATATTTTTTTTAAATTGCATTTAATTTTTTTCATTAATTAAATAAAATATGTTAAATTAATGAATGCAAAAAAAAATTTTTTGTATATATTTGCATAACCGGAAGTAGAAGCATCACCCCTCTCCACCAATTTTTTTTCGATTCACAAACGCTTTTTTATTATTCTCCAGCGTTTTAGGCTCTCTCCTAGGAATTAGACTCGCACATATAAACCGCACTATAGTTGGCATGACGACCAAAAAAAGGATCGTTTGTTAGAATTTAGAAGGACATGTTTTATATCGATAGAATCGCTTTTTTTTAATCTAACGTAGTTTACTGTGTTGTAAACCTGCCCGGTGTAACCTACCACGTTTAACACGTTTATAACCTTCCACTGAATCACCTACAACACATAACCTTCCTAACCCTACCAATATAACCCTACCATTATAACAGTTTTGACTAAAACACAAGCTTGTGTGTTCAGTCTCAATTGATTTGTATAACCACTGTGAAACTTTTCAGAAAAACTGTAATATGAGTGGTGTGTAACCTACCAATTACAACCTACCTTCTATGTAGACTTTTTTATGTGGCAAAACCGGCACGATTGTTATGACATTATTGTACGGCATGCGATTTTAATAATTTGTAACCTACTCTTTCACACCTGAAATTTCATCTTGTACAGCTGGGAAACAATCTTTGCGATATTTTCTCTACTACTTTATCCGTGTGGATTTTTATGAGACAATTTTATTTTTATAATTATGAATTTGGTATAAGTATTTGGTATCAATTTGGCATGCATGTATGGTATAACCTCTTATAAACTATTCTTTGACGACTACGTTATAACCTACCATTCATGACGCCTCTTTTATAACCTATCTTTTATGAAGTCCTCATTATTACATACTCTTTTGATAATGTACCTTTCTTGTAGTATCCATCATAACCTACCCTTGCTGACATCGATGTTATAACCTACCCTTCATGACGTCATCGTTGTTGCCTACTCTTGATTACGTCACCGTTATATCCTACCATTTACATCGACGTTACAACCTACATTTTATTACGTGCTCATCATTACCTACCATTCATGAAATCGCCATTATAACCTAACCATCACGATATCGCCATTAAATCCTTCAATTGATGACATTCTTATTGTAACCTATTCTTTTAATAAGTTTTCTTTACAGCCTACTCTTTTTTATTACTCACCTTTTATAACGTCTCTATCTTATCCTATTATTCACGACGTCACCATTATAACCTACTTTTCCTGATGTTTTCATTTTAAACTAACCTTCATGATGTCGCCATTGTAACCTACCACTGATTACGTAACAATTACAACCTTTAACGACGTCTTCATTATAACCAAATTTTTATAACGAACATAGCCTAACCATTACGACATCGTTATTACAACCTTCAATTGATGACATCATTATTATAACATACTATTTTAATAACCTCCCTTTATGGCGTTTCTACCATAAGCTATCATTGTTGACGTATTCTTTATAGCGTATTCTTTTTTATTGCACACCATTTACGACGTGTCTATCTTACCCTACGTTTCACGACGTCTGATTATAACCTAAACCATGGTGGCGTGATCATAACCTACTCTTTTGATAACCGACCTTTTATAGCGTTTCTATCATAATTTACTTTTCATGGCGTCTTCATTATTAACTACCCTTCATGATGTCGCCATTGTAACCTACCATTGATTCCGATTTACAACCTTTAACGACGTCTTAATTATAACCTGCCGTTTATTGCTCCCTTCGTGACGTGTCCATTATAACCTACCCTCAGGCCGTTTCCATACTTACCTGCCTTTTATAATTTACCCATTATAAGCTATATTTACAGATATTTTTCACGTTTGATTAGAGACGTTTTTATGATCTTTCGTAACTTGCCTTTTTCTTATTCCACTGAATCGCGTTACTCACTACGCTTTCCTCTCTTTCTAAGATTCAATCAAAGCTGTGCGTATTTTCTGACAGTAATTCGTACTTATAATATGAGCATGAAAAAAGTAAAATTGTTGATCTATGATTTCGAAACGTTCATAAGATCTGTCCATTGTCTCCCCATTCCTGTTTTATTTATATGTATATGTTTGTTTTTTTAAATAACTTATCTGTGGACACCTTTAACGTACAATGTATTCGGCCGTTTTTTTCTTGTATTTATGAAGTAAAGCAGGTTTTTTATTTATTTTATGTCAGAGGTGCCTTCTAGTCATTTTTTTGTTTTTGTTTGTTTAATTTTTTTCTTGTTGTAAAAATATCCAAATTATTACCACCTGCTTGAACCGCCTTTGAAAGCCGTTGGACAGTTGAAAAAATGCCGCAAGTTGACTCTCGCAAGAAATACCAGTAGTTCCCTCCCTTTATGGAAAAAATTTCTTTTTTTTAAGTTGTAAGATCTAAAGTGAATAACATTAGGGATTGTATGCAACAAAAAGGCCTTTATAACCTTGAATTTATAACATTTTGAAACCTACGTTGTATAAACTTTTATATAACATAACCTTTACAACCTTTGTAACCTGTTGAACAGCCGAGACACTCGGACGAAATCCTATTCACTTAGTCGATGTATACGTACCCCTATTTGCCCGAGTTGCATATAAAAATTGACAATAGGGTTATGTATATGATTTAGACAAGTCACCGTTGCACCTGTAGTGGTCGGTGGGGAGAGAATAGGGGACGAGATAGAAAAAAATTAGGATACGATGCTGAATTTTTGTTCAAGGTAGAGAGGGCCCCCTGCCTCCCACCGAGGCCGGGATCCTCAGCAGCCCCAGCGCCTCCGCCGCTCCCAGCGAAGCCCAAGCCGCAGATAGTCACATCGCCTGTGACACCCCCGTCCTCGTCGGACGACGAGTACGCCAAGTCCGCCTTCGACTCCAAGGCCAACTTTGACTCGAAGAAGTCGATATTCGAACGGGCGGCCGCGGCGGAAGAGGCGGCAGCGGCAGCGGCGGCAGTCGTCCACCCGGGCGTCGCCGTGTCGTCCGCATCCCCGCTGCCGCAAAACAACACCGCTAAATACACTCTAAAGGTATACCTTGTTAATTATCATTTGTAACCTTTCATAACCTATCACCACCCTATTTTAACATGACCTACACAAATCTATTTCAATATAACCTGTACGAATCCTATTATAACATAACTTTCTTTAACATAATCTGTACGACCGTATTATAACGTAATCTTCATATAACATAACCTGTACGACCCTATTATAACATATCCTTCAAGTTAAAATAACCTGTCTGGCCCTATTATGCATAACCTGTACGGCTCTATTATAGCATAACCTGTACGGCCCTATTATAACATAACCTCCATTTATCATAATCTTCCGGTCCTATTATAACATAATCTGTACGACCCCATTATAACATATCTTTCAAGTTAAAATAATCTGCACATCCCTATTGTAGCATAACCTATCCGGCCCTGATATGACATACCCTGTACGGCCCTATTATAACATAACCTGTACGGCCCTATTATGGCATAACCTGCACGGCCCTGTATGGTAACCTGAACAATATAAATTATAATTTATCTTTTATCGTTTTTCTTCTTTTTATTTGAAGGTAAACAGGAACAACCCATTCGCCGAGGACATGGAAGCCGTGACGCCGACTTCCACCTCGACGACGGACCGAGGCGAGCTTGACGCTGACGAAGAGAACTCGGACGACTCGAACCAGATCAATTTGAAATAAATCAGAACGGGAGAGAATTTTTTTTCTTTTTATTTACAAAAAAATCGGGAAAAGTAAGAGCACAACGTAAAAATTGGTTGAAACGGAAAAAAACCCTGTAGTCTTCGTGAAAAAACGAACTTTTTTTTAATGATAAGTAAAAAATAAATAAAATATATATATTAAAAAATTGTAATGAGCAAAACAAAAATGCTTTCGGTGTGTCTATCCACTCTAGGAAGGAGAAAAAATCTTTCAGTAGAAAATTTTCGTTTTTTTTAAAAGAGAATTTAGGGAATGTATTTTTCTAAAAATTAATTAATTTAAAAAACCGATAATAATTAATAATAACGTTCTCCCTGGCGAGCCCGAAGGACAAAAAAAAAAGTAAAATCGCAATAATAAATCCCCACCCTTAAAAAAACTAAAAACCCAACCCCTTTTGGTAGGTAGAGCTTTTCCTCGCTTTTTTGGGAACAAACTCGGTAAACTGCAGGTCTTCTTTGATCATTTGATCGATAAAAAAATAATACAAATCTATTCTTATCTCGTGAACATTTATGTTTCTATCCGCAAAAGCGAGACGGTTCGTAATAGTTACTTAATTTTTGTTGTGTGTGTAAATAATTTATTTTTAATTAAAACTCACTGCCACTGTTTTTTGTAAAAAAAAAAAAAAGAATAATAATTGAAAAAATAATTGTAAAAAAAATATTTACAGGTTAAACAAAAATTATTACTATAAATAATAAATTGTACTAACACGTAGGATTTTTCGCTTTTTACAGTTTATTTTATTTTGTTAAAAAAAAATTTTAAAAAATTCTATCCGCCTGTAAAAAAATTGGCCGGTCGAATGAAGGAGAAGAAAAAAAGTTTAATGATAATTTAATATTTAAAAAAATTGCACAATAGTTGTATATTGTTTTTTATATATAAAAAATAATAATAATAAAAAAAGTGGATCAGTATTAAATAAAAATTGTATTCAATTATATTTACAAAAAGGAGGAAAAAGTGGAAGGATATTAAAAAAATACAATAAAATAATTAATTAATTACGATTAATGAGTAAATTTTAAGGAGGATTATAATATCAATAAGTTCCTAACAGGAATGAAAGGGGTAGTGAAAAAAATAATCCATCGTTTGTAAATTTTTTCTATTAAAAAAAGGCACTAATCATTTTGATGAATGATGTCTCATCATGGAAAAAACCGGTTTTGTAATCATTTTTATTTTGTTTAATTTTAAAAATAATTAATTAATTAGGAAAAGCTGCACTAGGTGATTATAATTGGTCTTTTTTCTGAGATATTTTATGTTTGGGATTTGGCGATTCTCTTTCGGAACGAGTAATCCGGCTGTAACACGTGTATAACCTATCCCGTGCCAACATAACCTGACACCCGCCTTGTGGTGGAACAAAAACCTTATTACAATGGTAAAAAAAATCTGTACGCATGTATAAACTGATGGGAAAACAATTAATAACCTGCCCCTGTGAAGCGAAAAACATATCAGTCTACCATATCGCGACATGTTTAGTACCTTTTAATAACCTCCCCTGAGTAAATGCACATAGGTTATGTACGTACCTAACCTTATATAATATAACCTGCAATGCACACCGCAACCATTCAATAACCTCCCTGAGAAAAACGAAGCGTATAAACAAGCTGACTGAAAAGATCGTAGGTCAAATGGCGCATGGTTAAAACCTTTTATAATCTCCACGCACTAAATTAAACTCGCATATAACCTGATTAATTTATATGCACACGTTCAGCTGAAGAAAACCTGTTAGTAACCTCCACGGATAGAATGAAACTTGCGCGTACCTGACATGTGCACACCGCCATCCATTTAAAATAATAATTTAATCATCCTTTTAATAACCTTCCTTCTTCCTCAATAAATTTTCGTAACCTGACTGAAAACCATATAGTTTCAACACCACATGATTCATTTTAATAACCTCCCTGTAGTAATGAAAAATTGCACATAACCTGATTATTTTCTGTGCACACTTCCAGTTGAAGATAACCTGTTAGAAACCTCCTTCGATGAGTGAAACTTGCACGTAACCTGACCTTCGCACACCGCCATCGGTTTGAAACTTTTAATAACCTCCTTTCCCCTTCAATGGAATTTGTACATGACCTGACTGAAAACCATGTAGTCTCAAAACCGCACGATTGTAACCTTTTAATAACCTCCCTCTTCTGATGGAAATGTCCACATAACCTGATTAATTTCTGTGCACACTTTCAGTTGAAGAAAACCTGTTAGTAACCTCCACTGACAGTATGGGACTTGCACGTAACCAGACCTATGCACGCTGCCATCTTTTAATAGCCTTGCGCGACGCGAAGCGTACAGATAACCCGATTAAAAACCACGTAGGTTCAATGCCACACGTTGGAACCTTTTAATAACCTCCCCTTTAATATAAACGTACACATAACCTGATTGAAACCCGTGCATAACCTACACCTTCCCCCCACCTTGGGAGAGTAGAAGCATTCGCCAAATAGGCCAAACGGCTGTTTGTTTGTTTTTTCATTAAATTAATTGTTGAATACAAAAATTGATAATATATAAGTTTGATTATTGTTTTATTCTTAAGAAAAATGTTGTAAATTGAAAAAAGAACGAAAACAATATATATTAATTATTATAAATATATATATAAAATAAATTATATATAAAAGAAATGTTGCACAAAGAAAACAAAATATCATAATGTAAGTTTGTAGGGTCAAACTCAGTTTCATGCCACAGCTGCCGGAATCGTGTGTAAGTAAGAAACGAAGAAATCACAAAAAGTAAGAGTTAATGTTTTATTAATTAAAGATAACTAAAAGAAAAAGGGCAGAAATAATGTAGATATGTTGTTCCCCTCTCTGTACATAAATGTAAATCTGTGTACATTTTGTTGTGATTTAACTGACGACGGGTGTAAAATTGTACGCATTGATGATTGTCGATTTGTCTGTTTTTGGTTGTATTTTTTTATTTTATTTATTTTTTATTTATTTTTTTTTAAGTTTTGTTTTCACGTCACGTCATCATCAGGGGCTGTGGCCTGGATCCGTCTTGCGTTTAATCGGTTGTTTTTTTGTTCCTTTTGTTTAAAAAAAAAATCGTAGGCCTTTCTCTGTCCCCCCTCTATATTGATTTTTATTTATCGTTCATGCTGTCTGTTCGTACTTGTCAAAAGAAAAATTGTGTAAGAAGGAAGTCGAACATGCTGATGACAAACGGGGGGGAAAGAAATATCGAAAGGAAGAAAAACTCACAAAAAAATAGGTTTGATAAAAATAAAAGTATTATAACAAAAAAAAAGTTTTTTTGACTGTTGCCTCCCTATAACTCTTTCAGGCCGACTGAGTGAGTTGATTGATGAAGGACTCCACTGATGATACAATACAATTCGATGATGATTTATATTTTAAATGAAATGATAAAAAAAATCATCCACAAGGAGATGCCGACTTCATTTAAATAACCCCATCGCATTTAATGCACACCGCCGCAAGAAACCTTTTCATAACCTCCCTGCAATAAATGAAACCTACGCTTAACCTAACTGGATATTTACGGTGTGTAAGATGGAGGAGTATTTAGTGATATGTAATTCATGAACAAACTTGCTCATACAAACTATTTCCATAAAAGAACTATTTTAATGAACCACAGCTCTTAATGAACTCTTGTTCTTGGTGAACAATAATTCTTAGTGAATTATAGTCTTAGTGAACTAACGTTCTTAGTGAACAATTATTCTTAGTGAATTACAGTTCTCAGTGACCTAATGTTCTTAGTGAACGATAATTTTTAGTGAACTAATGTTGTTGGTGAACGATAATTCGTAATGAACTATTGTTCTTAGTGAACAATAATGCTTAGTGAACTGTAGTTCTCAGTGACCTAACGTTCTTAGCGAACGATCATTTTTAGTGAACTAATATTGTTAGTGAACGATAATTCGTAATGAACTATTGTAATTAGTGAACAATAATGCTTAGTGAACTAACGGTCTTAGTAAACAAACGATAATTCTTAGTGAGCTAACGTTCTTAGTTAACGATAATTATTAATGAACTATTGTTCTTAATAAACCATAGCTGGACCATAGTTCTTGGGCAATTCTTAGTGATACATAGGACTTGCTGAACTATTCTTCTTAGTAAACCATGGCTCTTGGTGAACTATAGTTCTCGGTGAGCTATAGTTCTTATGAACAACAATTCTTAGCTAACCATAGTTCTCGGTAAAATATTGTTCTCAGTGAATCTCAGCTCTTACGGAACCATAACTTATAGTGAACGATAGCTCATAGTGAAGCGTAGTTTTTATTAGTGTTTTTCTAGTATTTTCCTTTTTTATCGCGTGTTAAAAGTTTTCAGGAATTACCTGATGTGCAGCTCATGAACGAAGTACATAGCACAAATGAATTATTAAAGAAAAAGAACGGTCTTTCCTTTCAGTGTGCTACAGTTGTTTTTTTTAAGCCTGTGTTACCACGTTTAAAAATGTTTTCTCCTTTTAATCTGTTTTAAATTTTGGCGGTTTTCCCGGTGACACGTATTAGACAGTGTTGCCTCCCGCTCTCTTGCACTGGCTGAAGTCGGGGCACACCCGTGCGACCTTCCAGGATGGATTTCGGTTTTGAAATTTGTCCGTTTTTCTTTGTCAATTTGGTTTTTAATTTCACAAAACGTTACTTTTTGGTTTGAGTTGGTTTTCGCGGGCGAAACTTTGGAGAGGGGGCGGCTTTTTTCCCCTTCGGTGGCCCCGGTGCGGGGAACGTATAGCGACGCCATATTGGATTCGGACGTCCACACGGCAGGCCGGATCAGCGAGAAGTGAGAGAGGAAAGACAACCCGAAAAAAAAACCCTTAGAACGGAATTTGGTGAGATTTTTCTGTCACGTTGACCCCGTGTGCCGTTAAACCGTCAATAAAATCGGACTCGTTTTCAAAAGGATAAACGTGGACATTTGTTGACCCGGGGGAAAAATCGAGCGAGTAGACCCAGGGGAAAAGCCATTTCCCCCCGCCTGAGAACCCCTTGTGTTTTTTTCGAAGGGACACGACTACCGCCGACTCTCAGGTACATTTTTCCTTACGTAAATATCATCTTTTACCTAGTTATTTATTACCATAAAAAATCCGATTCTTTGTTTAAAAAGGTTTAAAGAAATACAAAAAAAAGGTTTTAAGACCAAAAAAAGACCCACAGTGCCAACCAACATTGACGGAAAACCGACTTAAAAAGAAACCAAACAAAACTTGTATTCTTCCCCCAAAAAAATCATCGATTTATATTTTAAAAAATCAACCACCCACGAAGAACCTAAAAAACAACCCCTTAAAACAAAAAATCTCAAATCAAATCTTTTTCTCAATTTTTTCTTTGTTTACAGATCGGCCAAGATGACGGAGTCGATGAAATTCGGACCTGAATGGTGAGTCGAGACGAGCGTTAAAAATTAACAAACATTTTTTATTTATTTATTTTATTTTTTCTTTGTTTCTCATCAATTTGTCTATTTATTTTGTTTTCCATTTTCAAAAATCATGTTCTTGCATGTCGTTTTCATGCTCCGGACTCGCGCGGAGCCCCACTGCCCTCCGGTCTAAACAGGATGACGTGAGTAGTATTTTTTTTACAACTTATCCTCCTTTTATTTTTATCTTGTTTTTTATATCAATTTTGAAGTTATTAATTCGATCGGTAATGGTTTTAAGCCATGGATAAAATTAGGGTTGATTCGACTTCATTTCGATTGCGACTGATGGTGGTCATGAATGGGGATCGTCAATTATGTCAAAAGCTACTGATACAAAGTGGTATGGCCTGATAAACGGTTATCCTACCATTTATTCAATTATAGTCATATATTATTATTTATTTAGGCGTACAACCTGCCAGTAATGAATTACATACGTTCGTTAAAAAAAATCATTAATGTCAATGATAACAATGTGGCGTTTGATCGTGAATCATGCTAAAACCTACCGATACAAAGTGGCTAAAGCCTAATAAACGGTTATCCTATCATTTATAATCACAGTTTATTATTTATTTTGGAGTACAACCTGCCGGTGATGAATTTCATCCGTTTATGTAAAAAAAAACATTAACGTCAATGATAATCCTGGTGTATGATCATGAATTGTGTCAAAACCTACTGATACAAAATGGCTAAAGGCCAATGCTAACAAACAGGGTGTTTGATTGTGAATCGTTTCAAAGCCTTCTGATCTGCAGTGTCTAAAGGCTTCAACATGGTTACTCTTTCTCTTGAAACGGTTATAATCAAAGATTAAGTTAAGTTGATAATCCCTTGTTATCCACAATCTAAAAGGAATCGTGGTGTTTGATCATAAATCATTCTATAAAAATTAAATTTAAAAAATCTGTCAAACCAGAATCGGCAAAAGTTTGTTTACGTTATTTCCTTCTAACCACCTTCTATCTGTCCACTCGTGATGATCAACCTCAAATATAGTTTCCTATGAAAGAAAAAAAAAACCTCAAAATCATTTCAGCACAATCATGATAAATGTCATTCTTTTAAATATAGTTAACTCAATAACGATTGTAATGTCTTTATCACGAATAACTATCTCTTTTGAAAACAATTAATTTTATGACAGTATTGCAATACTAAAGTACCTTTAATGTAACATGTTGTAAAGTAATGCAATTTAACTTAGTTTACTCTCTTCCTACTTTCTTGGTCATTATTTAGCTAAAACCAACAAATATAATACACACATACACACACTTGTATGCAGCTGATAAATATTCTCATTTATGACTTGATAACCAAGAAATAACCTGTATGTGTGCTGTACATAATTGGATTGTAACAGGCAAATAACCCTCTGTTGTCTTTGTCTGTTTACTCGCACTTGCACACTTTTGAAAAAGTTGTGCCTTTAGATCATCCTGTTGGGTAATAATTTCAAAAGGTTTTATTGTAGTAGGTTGTTTTATGGTTATAGCCATAACGTGTGCGTTTTGCGTTAAATACCCGGAGGGCAGTTTCTCCCACTCCTTGTTGCTACCGCATATATTTTATACCGTCTTTAATTAGGTTTTTCTCCTCCAGGCTAAGAAACCTTTCGGAGACACCTGTCCAGCCGCAGGTGCGATATCAACTGGCGGATTTCAGATACGGGAAGGAGGAGATGCTTGCCCTCTTCTCGCCGAACCTCCAGCCACCCGACTCTCTCAAGGTCCTTGTACCGAAGGGAGTTTATATCGAAAAAGCTCAACCGCCTCTTACGCTCACCACCATGACCGACGAGGAGACTGTAATATTTTTGTTTATTTATTTATATTTTTTTTTTTTATAGGTATTAATTTCTTGTTTTAACGCAGAGAATGTGGAATAGAGGTATAAATCCGGATATGCTGCCGAGGACGCCTGGTAAGGGGGAAGGACGAGGTGGCCTCAGGGGGGCCGGTGGTAGGGGTAGAGGAAGGGGTGGAAGCACATACTATAGTAGCGGCAGGGGAGGAGGAGGAGCCGGAGCCGGCGGTAACCCGGTCGGCGGCTACGGCGACGACATCGAACCTGTACCGGGCAATGTGGGCGCTGTACGTTACGGCGAGAGGCCAACCAGACCATTCGAACGATCACAAAGCGAGAGGGAGAGGGGGCGAGACAGCTGGTCGGACAGGAACGGCGGTGAGGGGCGAGGCGGCGGCGGGAACAGGAACAGCGACGGGAACTGGCGAAGGACCAGGGGTGGCGGCGGCGATGAGGAAGACTGGCGGCCACCCAAGTGGTCTGGAAGCGCAAATTCTTACGGTATGAAGGCCCTTTAAAAATAAAAATTCATGTATTACTAATTAATTGTTTTGAATCAGGAAGGAACACAAGTTGGCGCGAAGAAGATAATTGGGATATGGGTAATTCTCATGCAAAAGGGAACACCCATCTTCCTGAATGGTAATTAATTTGTTTTATATTAATTAATTTATAATTAATTTATTTTGGTAAACAGGGCGACGGAAAAGAACAGTGAAGGAGGTGGGACTTTTGACTCTTCTGGAGCGTTCAGATCGACAGAGATGCCATTAGAAGATGAGGACGACAGATTGAAAGAAGTACGACTATCTTTTTTTCCCCTCCCCCTCCTGTAAATTAATTTTTTTTCTCCTGATAGAGACACGTGTTTAAAAAGGCCGAGCCGATTCAGCCGAAACAGCCAGACAAGGAGGAGGCCGCGGCGGCGGAAGAAGAACCACCCGGGGATCAGCAGCCAGACGAGTCTAGCACCACGGACCCCGGTGGGTCGGCCATGCAGGCGCAACACCACCAGCCCCAGGCTCAGATGCTACCACAGCCGCCTCAGGTGCAGCACATGCCACCGATGCAGCAGCAGCCTCCTTCGCCCATCCACCAAGCGAAGCAAAATTCGCCATGCCAGAAGAAAGAAGCCCAGCCTGACTTACATCTTGGTAAACTTTCACTATTACCATCTTAATCGATTTATTTTAATTAATTATTTTTAAAAGACGATTCGATCGGTCATATCACCGACGATCTTGCGGCCGATTTGGCGAAGCTCATGGAAGACGAGGAGGACGAGAAGAAGGGGAAACAGTGGTTTTACAGGGACCCACAGGGTGAGATACAAGGCCCGTTCAGCTGCGCTGAGATGGCAGAGTGGTTCCAGACAGGCTACTTCTCGCTCAACCTGCTTGTACGTAGGGCGTGCGATACGCACTACGCCCCATTGGGTGACCTCATAGCCAACTGGGGTTACATACCATTCCTACCCGAGAACCACCCGCTCAACAAGGAGGGCCTGAACCAACCAAACCACCAGGCCAAGGAGCACTACCTGCTCAACCAGTACCAACAGCAGTACCGGTTGATGATGATGCGACAACAGGCGGCGAGGATGTCTACGAAACCACCGCATGAGTGGATTGAATCGCAGCAACACCAGGCAAGACTCCCTCCCCTCTAAACCCCTTTCAGTTGCCAGTATGGCTAATCATTTGTCTCTAAAATATAGATGATGGACCAGGTCATTCATCCACCTTTCCAGCAGCAAATGACACCACACCACGTTAACAACAACAATCTTCGAGCACTACTTGCCCAAATGCAGCAGCAGCAAGTGAGTGAAATTTGCAAGGTCACAATCAGGTTATGCTAGCATCAGAGTAGGTTAATATTGGTTTCTAATTGGGTTGCCTTCGCCCAAGGTAATTTTTAATGAGGATACTTATTTAAAATGCTTTAGAGAAGGTTTTTACCCTGTTACCATTGCAACAAAGTAGTATACCATTTGTGAAGGTTATTTCTACGTTAGTGATAGGTTATATTACCCCCCCCTCGAAGGTTCGCAACCACAGAGGCCATATAAACCCTCAGGGTGCCGGTATTTTTGAAAAAAGCCCATTTGTAAGTATGTCGGAATAGTTCTTTTTATATATGTGTCTATCAGAAATGGTTTCTAAGATAATGCCTACCTTTTTTTTCTTTTTTTTTCTACAGGAATAAAAGTAGGTTACTCATCAATAGCACTTTTGAGTAGGCTATTCTTGGGCTTTGTACAACTAAATGGACTCCATTGTAATGTTTTTTGTAGGCTATTTTTGAGTTTGTGTCATTTATGTCTTCTCAGAAGGTTATATTTTTTGTTTCAGTCAGGTTATTTGGGAATCTAGGTAGGTTATACTCATATATTTTAGAACTATTTAATTATAATTTTACCTTGGTTATATTTTGAAGGAAAGGTTTTCATTATCAACAGCCAGTTTAACATAGTTATCAATGAACGTTATACTTGTGTTTTAGTCAGGTTATTTCTAAGTATGTTACAGTTTAAAGGCTATGGGTGTTTGTCAGTTACTCATCACTGGTTTCAATCTTTTTGAATGTGTGTCAATATAGGGATATACCTATGAAAGGAACTTCAAAAGGTTATATTTTGGGTGTCAGGTTATATTTATATAAAGAGGTTACTCATTGGTTTAAGTCAGTTTATCCACCATATTTGAGCATAGGTTACAATTAGGCTATGTTCATATTTACCAGGTTATACCATTGTTTCATTCTGGTAGTTTGAAACATTGACAAGCAAAAATTTGTAGACACTGAATGCTCAGCAACAGACACAGTCTTCCGGAGGGGGTGGTACTCAGCCATTCCAACAGCCTCACCAGCCACCGATGGGCAAACCGCCGCCGCCGCCTCGTACGACAGAGGAGATTTCAAGGACAGTGTGTGATTTCCTCCGTGGCCTACAGGCCAAGTCAGAACAGCAGCAGGCAGCTGCCGCAGCTGCACAGCAGGGTGCACCGATCGAGTCAATCCTCGGCGGCGCCAACTTCCACCAGCCCCCTCCTCCCCCTCCTCAGTCACTTCAGAACAACTCGACTGCTATACAGAATCTCTTGAGAAAGATGCAAGCGACACATCAGAACAAGATGCAAGTCAATTCAAATGTAAGGCAAACTCGATTTTGTTTATTTATTTTTAATTAATTTTTTTTTTCTTCATTCTAGTCTGAATCAATTTGGAATGGTATCAATTGGAACCAATGGAATCATCTAAATCCGAAAGGGATTAAAACAGAACAACAAGTCTTAGAGGAACAGTTAAGAGCAGAAGAAGAAAGAATGAGAGAGGAGCTCAGGTAAAGAAGTGTTTTGTAAAGAGAATTTTATGTTCTGATTCAGTGTGTTTATTGTGTGCATCAGATTATACATAGGGTATTAAGGTGCAGTCGTGTTTGTGTAAGGTTAAAAGTCAGTTTCAGAAAGGTTAAGTTACCTAACTTGAGTATACATCAGTATTAATAAGGTTGTATGATCTTAGTAAGTTATACCTTGGTTTGAGTCAGGTTACTTGAGCATCTAAATGGGCTTACTTTCCTGTATTTCAGTAGGATATTGTCAGATTTCATTATGCTGTATGTGTGTTGAAAGCGTTATGTGCCTAGCTCAGTAGGTTATATTTTGGTTTCATTCATGGTATGTTGCGTTGTCATACAGGTCACGTTATGTCATGTCATGTTTCAGTAGTATGTACTTGGTTTAAGGCATGTTATGTGCCTTCTCAGTAGGTTATATATGGGTTTCAGTCAGGTTATGTTACATATCAGTTAGGTATACATGTGTTTCTATCAGGTTATGTGTGCATCCAAATGGTTTTAAGTCAGGTAAGGGCGATGACACACGGAGCGGTTTTGACCGAAGCGTTTATCGCGAGAAAAATCGAGGCGGTGAGTCGTTCATTGTTGTTGCATTAACCTGACAGACGTAGCGGTCGTAACCGCCTGTCGGTTTTCAAACCGAGTCGGTCGGTGGCGGAGACGACCCAACGCGTCGGTTTTGAAAACGCCAGGCGGTGAGTGGTACCCAAGTATTGCATCAGCCCTGACACACGTGGCGTTTATTTGAGCTGTTTTTCTTGTTTGTTCCCCACTTTCTTGAGGGGTTGTTCGTTTGTCAGTCTTCTAATTTACTTTTATGATGCAAAAAATAGACGTGGAGAAAAAAATTTGTAATGCGGCATTTTATTTTACTATGTAACTCGTCAAAACTGCCCATTTACAACCTGGTAATGTTAAAACATTCTTCAGGGTGTTTCCTCATCTCTGAAAACAAATTCTTAAAATGCCCTCTTTCGCTTCGCTTCTCTTCTCGACAATTGGATGAACCCACATTCTCCTGTGTTTTTTCTCCATTCTCTTCTTCCAACGATAGTACAACAGACACCAGAAGTATCTCTTCATCCATGGGAACTCCATGGGGAATGGGCCAATGCCAGTTCAATAAGATTAATAAATAATAGAATTTTAGCTAATTCTCAACTTCCTGACGCCTAAGCTTTACATATTGATACTTAACCACTACTAAAAATGGGGGGGGGGAAATCTAAGTATTTACAGATTGTACGGTGCTGTACAGTAACACAACCGTTTTTAAAACGAACTCACCTTCCTCCAGGGCCTCTTTTAACTTTACAACTACTTGAAAGTACATCACCTTATAATTAAATGATTTCTACAGCTTTACGGGTACAAAGTATGCGTATGACTGTCGGTGATACATGGTAGTAACTAGTTTAATAAAGATTTTGTTTTGAATATTATCTGGAGGAGGAAGGGGACCTCGTTCAAATCCCAGCTCTGTGCCTTTTAAATTATAGTATGAAAAATGAAAAGTAGTTTAAACCTTGCTTGACTCTGAACAGGAATTACTTTACTTTTATTGATCAGAGAGGATTGATTTTTTTTTGTTGGGGGGAGTGAAACGGGAATCGAACCTACAACTGCAGGATCTAAGCCGAGAGTCTGACACGCCTACTCGGCTACCCGAGATCCCAGTTAAATATAAATCAACTTAAATATTTATTTTTAAAGACTATTTTTCAAAACTTCATAGAGAAAAGAAAACCGAACGAGACGTAGTGTGTAGATAACTGTGAGATTTCACTTTGTAGCCAGTTCCAAAAAAAAAGTACTACATGGGGGAATAGTCTGTAAGGCTGTAACTAATACACGAAGTTACATACAGTTACAGAACAATATATTTATTAAACAGGACTTATTAAACAAACTGCAAAACCTTGCGACGTTCAACGCTTATATGCACTGCAATAGGATACATTTAATAACTGAGAGAAAACAAAACCGCTCCGTGTGTCAGCGCCCTTATGCACTATATTTAAGCATTTATCACAGCATAGTACAGTTTTGATGTATATCAGTAAGTTAAACATCGGTTTCAGTCTTATTACGTTTTATTTCAGTAGGTTATACTTTGGTTTTCATTAGGTTGCTTCTTGTGAGAAAGTGTTTATCTCAAGTAGGTTTGGGTGATTTTATGTGTCTTATGTCAGGGTTATATGTGGCTTTTTTTAGTTGTGTTAATAGGTTATGTGGCCCAATTGGTTATCTTTTAACCCATTTTTTTTTTCCAGAAAACACGAAGAGGCGAAAAGGCAGCAGGAGGCAGCCGAAGAGGAGAAGAAACACATCAACACGCTTGCAATGAGAGAGGCAGAGGAGCTTTCGAGGAGGCAGCAACAGGAAGAGGAGGACATAAGAAGGAAGCAGGAAGCGTCGAGGCGCGCCGAAGTTGAAAGGCAGCGCAAAGGCGAGGAAAAGCGTAAAAAGGACGAGGAGAAGAGAAAACAGGAAGAGGAGAAAAAGGAGAGAGATAGACTGAGAGAGGAGGAGCGTAAAAAGTGTGTACAATCTTTGAATTTGATTTTTTTTTTTTTTTTAATATATATATAACATTTTTTATTTCAACAGGAAAGAAGCAGAAGAGGCGAAAAAGAAAGCTGCGGCTGATGTCATGGCAAAGGTTCAGAGGTCGCAGTGGTGTCCACCCGCAGCTTCAAACACCTCCCTTCTCGAGATACAAAGGAGCGAACGTGAACAACAGCAGATGCTGCGCGGCCTTCAGCAGCAACAACAACAACAGCAGCAGATGGAGTCGCAAAAGAACTCTTTCATGCATCTCAAATGGACTGAGGTGCAACGCCATCTCACTGTCGAGTCGCTCGCCGACATACAGGCCGAGCAGCTCGAACAGCTCATGAAGATTGAAAAGGAAAAACAGGAAAGGGAAAAGGAAAAGGCAAGCAGCGTCCCGCAGACATTGGGCAGCTGGTCACAGGGGCTAACATGGGGGTCGGGGCTCATGGCGCCCGGCTCGGTTTGGCAGAACACAGGCGGGGGCTCGTCCGCTGGCAACCTAGGTGGCAGCGGATTCTGGGAGCAGATTGGCAACCCGGCTAAGCTACCATCGCCTTCGATCGCTCCGCCGAGCCAGGCGCAGCGTAACGTCTCATCGCCTTCGCAGCCGATAGGCACCGTCCCTCAGGGCAAGGAGACGAAATCGAAGGCAAAACGTGAGGAAGTCGGTGTCCTCAAACTATTCAACAACTGCCATTACGACGAGTTTACGCAGTGGTGCACCTCCGCCCTCGCCAACATACAATCCACAGTTGACAGTAAGTCGATAGTTATAGTTATATGATCCAATTAATGCCTGTAAAGTATGTTGTATGAGAGTGGTTCATACAGTATCAGGTTATTTTATGGTTACAACCTGAAGGCTGTGGCTACCTCTGTGAAGGCTTCAGTTGCTGTTTGGAACAGTTGGAGTTTAAATATGCTTAAAATCATATGGATGCCTGGAAGGCTTCAGCAGTGTTATAATAGTAGTTTCTTTTGGTAGGTTATGTAATGGTTATGCTATGGGGGAATTGTATGAGAATATGTCAGTAGAGTGTGTAAATGAAGTGTGCTCATGGATGTGGACAGGTTGGTGGTTAACATCAGATGGACACCTGGGAGGCTTCAGCTGTGTTCTAATAGAATTTTATTTTTGGTAGGAAATTCCATGGTTATGTTATGAAGAAAAAATTGAACTTGGATACCAAAGTGTGTTATGAATGTTGCAAGATATTTGACGGTTACAAACTGATTTTATACCATAATGTCCTCAGTTGGGTTATGAGTGGTTTTTCTTTTTTTAGGTTATTTAATGGTTATGTTATGAAGAAAAAATTGAACTTGGATACCAAAGTGTGTTATGAATGTTGCAAGATATTTGACGGTTACAAACTGATTTTATACCATAATGTCCTCAGTTGGGTTATGAGTGGTTTTACTTTTTTTAGGTTATTTAATGGTTATATTGTTAGATCAGAAAAATCTGACCTTATTATTTTCTCTTGTGCCCCAGTACCGACGTTCGTGAGCTTCCTGCGCGACGTCGAATCTGCGTCCGAGGTCCAAGAGTACGTCCAGGAGTACCTTGATGATGAGAAGGAAGCGAAGGAGTTTGCGAGGCAGTTCGTCGAAAGGCGGAACCGGCTCGCTGGCGGACAGCAAACGGCCAAATCCAGCGTCCAGTCGTCCTCCTCGTCCAAAGAGGACTTCCAGCAGGTCAAGGTAAACCGATACAAGCTCTGGTGACACGAAAATAAATTTTTTAAAAATCTACATTAAGTCTAGTCAGTAATTTATTTATTTTTATTTTAATTCCTGTTCATAAAATTAATTAATTAATTAAAAGATCTCTCTTTTCCCTAGACGTGTTATTATTAATGTATTGTTGGACTCGAGACACCATTTTTTATTTGAAAATTGGCTCTTCATTCGATATTAATAATAATTAATTAATTAATTTTTTTGTCTGTTTTATAAATTATTATATTCTATCTATATAATGACTACGCTTTAAAACAATAATAAATTATATTGTCAATGTGATATCCGATGAATGGATGAGACTTTTTTTTAAACGAAATGTACGATTATTAGCTATAGTTATTATTATTACTTTTTTTAATAAAGCGTTAATTTTTTGGATAAAAAAGCGAGTTTTATCAGTCCTACACATCGTACTCCTCGTCCTTGTAAAAAAATATGTAAAAAGGAAACCTATCTATACGCTGAGAAAAGAGAGATGTTTCAAATAAATCAATTAAATCACCCCCTACCCCAGTAAGTTGTGTAACGCCGCTCGGTATACTATCGGCGCATGTTCTGTTCCAGAGCAAGAACAAAAAGGCGAAGAAAAACAAGATGCAGAAGGTCGACACCCGCATCCTCGGCTTCAGTACGACTTCGGCCCCGGACAGGATCAACGTCGGCGACAGGGAGTACCCAAACGATGTCTGAGCCGGCGGACCGCTACGTCGCTGTACATAAAAACCCTAATAATAATAATGAAAGTTTTTTTTTCTTTAAAACTTAAAAAAAAATATTTAAACAAAAAATTCTATATTCAAAATAAAAAAATAAATGAGAGAAATTTAAAAAAAAATATATATATAAAAAATATAACGAGAGATTTTATATGATATGCGTACGATGTGAATTGTACGTTTATGTGTGTTTGGTGCGTACGTATCAGATGTTTATGCAGGCCATTTTACCGCCTGCACGCGTGGTTGCCTCTCTAATGTTGAAAATAAAATAAGAAAAACATTTTGAGTCTGCTTTTTTTTCACAAGAAATATTGATTTTCTCTATATATTTGGTTTAGCTTCCCTTGTGTGCCAGACAGGCTTTTCCTTTACGTATCAATCGGTACCTGGCCAACTGTTGTTTTATAAGGTGTCATGCCAGCTTGCTTCCTGTCAAGGAGCACTCTGACCGAATGTAACAATTGGGACAACTCTTGGGTTTTGGCACAGAGGGTGTCCCTGTGTCAGACTTGGATGGCCGATCCTTTTCCCTTACTGTTTCAGACACTGAAAGGGTTCAGTTATGCTCTTGACCATCTGATGTTTAAAAGTTGTCATGCCTACTTGCACCTTGCAAGGACCCAAGACATGGCACTGACTGAATTAACTTTTTTTTAATATTTAAAGGGAAAATTGAAAGAGGTGATATAAGGTAAATGATGTTCCTCAGGGAGGTGAATCATTCCGATCTTTTTATGAGAATAAAAGGACATGCGAAGTTGGTACGCGTACAAGTTAAGTATTTATTTTTCTTTATTTATTATATATTATTTATTTCATGGGAATAAACGGATCAGTAATGTGAGCTGGTTCACTTAAATAATAGAGATGAGAAAAAGGCATTCTTTTTGAGGAATAGTTCATTTTGGGACTGGTTTAGTGAGCCAGTGATGGGATAGGTAGTAACTGCTTTTTGAAGAATAAAAAAAAACCTGTTACGGTTATTAAAAGTGGGTTTTACTTTTAATACATAATAGAATAAGAAAAAAAAAAACTTTCCGATATAGTTCTTTTTCAGGAAAGGCTCGTTTAACTAGCCCGTTCTTGAACTAACCATCTCTCTTCTTGCTTGTCAGTTCGTAAACCTGTGACGATTTTTAAGAATGGTTTTTAATTTAATACAGGATTGTAAAAGGACTATAGTTCACTCATAAGTAAGGAAGTTGAAATAGTTCGTTTTTTGGAATAGCTTTTTTTTAACTATTTCTTTTATGAACTACTACCCGACTCCCTTCTGTCAACCCATGCTGATCAGTTCAGTACACTGAACTAGTTCAGACGAGCGGGTTTTAACTTAATATAGGATTGGAAAAAGAACTATAGTTCACTCACAGGTAAGTTGGTTTTTTTTTTTTTCAACTATTTATTTTATGATCCACTACCCATCTCTCTTCTGTCGACCATTGCTGATCAGTTTGTTCTATTGAACTAGTTCGGATGAGCTAGACTTTCGAGAAGAAAAAAAAACCTGTTGATTATTAAGAGTGGGTTTTAATTAATACAGGATAGGGAAAAAAAAATATATATATATATATATATATCATTCATAGATAAGGAAGTTGTGTAGTTCTTTTTTTTTCTTTCTTTGAAATAGGTTTTTTTTAAACTTTCCGTTATCAACCTCTCTCTTATCTGTTGTGCTTTTTGGGGAATAGTTCATTTTATTGAACTAGTTCGGATGAGCTAGACTTTTCGAGAAGAAAAAAAAAAACTTATGATTATTAAGAATGGGTTTTAATTTAACACAGGATTTGAAAAAGAATATAGTTCACTCATAGGAAAGGAAGTTGAAATAGTTCGTTTTTTGGAATAGCTTGCTTTTTTGAACTATTTATTTTATGAACTACTACCCGTCTCTCTTCTGTTGACCATTGCTGATCAGTTTGTTCTATTGAACTAGATCGGATGAGCTAGACTTTCGAGAAGAATTATTTTATTGAATTAGTTCGGACGAACTAGGTTATTCAGGATTTTTGGAGAAACAAAAAAGTTACTTTAATATAGTACATTACTTATAGAAGAGTTGACCAATATTGGTCAGGGTGCATAAGGTCGTAAGAGGCCGACTCGTTAGGACCTTAACGCGTTAACCCTAGCCTTAACCCCGTTACACCAAACGGCAAAGATCTACGAGATTTTTTATTATTTTAGTCATTTGTTGAAAAAATTTTCCTCGCCCATGTCAACCTGATTTTTCCTTTTCTTGCTTTTTTTTTATCAATCAGGTGATCGGTTTATACGTGCGATCCGTAATTATATTTTGAGGTTTTCTTCTTTTTTTCGTTCGCCCCGATTTTTTTTTCTCCTCCGCCCTTTTCGCGACCCCACAAAGGGGGTTTGTTATTTATCGTTTGTGTATTTGGTTTTCTATTTTTCCTCCCCGTTTTGTTTTTGCTCGCCTCGACGTGATGGATGCTGTTGTCAAGACGGAGCCGGACGACGCCACCCAGGCCGTCAAGATGAGGAGGAAGAGGATCAAAACCGGTGAGAAAAACGAATAAAAAAATACCTACGGTTCGAGATTTCATCCAGGGCCGGAAAACTATTGTCTAAAAAATAAAATAATTTTAAAAAAAACCTCGTACTTGCAGGTAAGCCTGATCACGCTGTTTACATTCCTAATCATATTTTCACAATAACAATTTATTTTAATAATTATTTTTCAATAAACAAGTTTGAAATATTCATGATCAGCACGAATTATGATCACGTTGAGCGACAAATAAAGATACGTTGAATCCAGGCAGCAACTTTAGAGTTTGGACGCCATTTTCCTCTTTCCTGGACTTGTTCAATTTTGAGGATTTCTGTTTATTACATGGTTAAACATGATCGATCTAGGTCATGATAAGCCCAGATCATAATGAAACATCATGTCGCTGAGAGATTACGATCAGCTGAAGCCAGGTGGCAACTTTGGGCGGCACTTTTCTTTTCCTCAATCTTGTGTCGTTCTATTTCTAAGATTTCTGGGAATTCGTGTGTATTGGATTGGAAAAATATGATCAATATTGATGAGCTATTAAGAACCACTGAATCCAGATGGCAACTTTGGACGCCATCTTTCTTTTCCCGAACTTGCTGCGTTATAAAATTTCTAAAATTCTGGATTACGTGTAGTGGATTGAAAAAATATGATCAATCCAGATCATGATCATATGGAAATATGATCAGGTTAAGCGATAAAAAACAACTGAATCCAGATGGCGACTTTGAACGCCATCTTTCTTTTTCCCGATCTTGCTGCGTTGTTCAATTTCTAAAATTTATAGGTATTCGTGCGTATTGGATTGGAAAAATATGATCAATGTTGATCATGGTCATATTGAAATATGATCAAGTTGTGCGATAAAGGTCAATTGAATCCAGATGGCAACTTTGGATACCATCTTTATTTTCCTGAAGGAGCAGTGTTGTCCAATTTACTAGGATTTCAAAATATAATAATGTAAAATATAATTAATCACGATCATAATGATAATAAATTTTGATCATGATCCGTCTATGATCAGGTTGAGCGATAAAGATAGGTTAAATTAAGAAAGCAACATTGGACGCTATTTTTGTATTTATACAATACATCATCATCATGAGCGATAAAGTTAACAGTATTTACGTTATGATCGACTGATGATAATCATGAAACATGATTCGTATATTGGAAATGGCGTAAATCGTAAGGGCGCCCTATCCCTGCACTTACGTACAAAATCGTCAATCATAACCCTTTCTCAATCATAATCCACTCATGACGATCATGATTTATGATCAGACCAAGCCAGAAAACAGGGTCCGCGTTTGCGACGAAAATTTTTTAAAAATGAACACTATTGAATTCCTAATTTTTTTTTTTTTTTTTTGTCGGCCATCTTCAATCATGATCCGCTCATCAACTGTCATCAGAATATTAGTAAAAATCAACCTTAAAATCAAAAGAAATCGTTTTTTCCTAAACTGTACAACTATCATTAATCAATCATAATCCACTCTTTTCGATCTTGAATTATGGTCCGAGGCAGAGTGAAAATAAGGATTTAAGATAGAAAGTACTAAACCGAACACTATAGAATTTCCACAGTTTTCCCCTTGTCGGCCAGCTACAAACATGACGATCATGAGCTATGATCAGAACCTAGTGAAAATTAGGCATAAAATCGAAAGGGTGTCGTGTTCCCCTAAATCTTAGAACACTTTCCGGAAAATTGCACGGATTTTGTTGGCCGCTCATCGTCCATCATAATCCACCCCATGATGATCATGATTTATGATCAGACCAAGCTTGAGAACAGGGTCAGTGTTTGCGACGAAAATTCCTCTAAACCGAATACCTACTCCATCGAATTTCCTTTGTGGGCCATCTTCAATCATGAACTATGATCAGAATATTAGTAAAAATCGGGCTTAAAATCGAAAGAAATTAGTTTTTCCAAAGCCTTAGTACAATCCAGAAAATTACACGGATTTTGTTGGCCGACCATCATCAATCATAATCCACTCATGTCTATCATGATTTATGATCAGGCCAAGCCTGAAAACAGGGTCCGCATTTGTGAAAATTCCTCTAAACTGAGCACTCTACTCTATCGACTTTCCACCGTTTTCCTTTATCGGCCACCATTCAATCATGATCCCCTCATGAAATTAAGAGTTGAATTATGGGGAGAATGTTTTTTTTTTTTGTAAAATATAATTTTTTTGTTTTGTCTGTAATTTTGTCAGTTTCTTTTTATGGTTGGGTGTGTAGGTGGATGGATTATAAATAATTTTAATTCGGTAACAATTATTGATTTTCTTGTTTGCCCGGGCGCCGCCGATCTCTCGTCTCCTCATGCCTAGGGTGGCGGCACCTGGCGGCGGAACTCCTCAAACGCCCCGTCGCCCACCCCCACTCCGCCTTCTTCCGTAAATCTCTACGGAAAAAGTAATCCCACCGGTTCGGGTCTCGTCCCGTCTCTGTGTTGACCCCCTCCGACCTCCGAAGTGAGCCGGGACCGATTAGATCCGGAGACGGATCGTCGCCGCTTCACGCGCCCCCAAGACGACCGAACGGTCAGGGAAAAGGAGCCTGGACCCGCCTCCGGCCCCGCGACACCGCCCCCGAGGGCCTCAGTGTATTTATCCGCCGCGGCCCTGTTTTGCGGGGAGAGGACTGGACGGAGTGGGAGAAGAGCCTAGCAACGATAGATGCTGTTTCCATAGGTAACCGGGCCACCTCTCCAGACAACAAAACCAGGTAGATTTCAGCTGACTTTTATACTAGAACACTATTCATCTTTATTTTTGTTTCTATATGTCAATTAATTTCTCAACGGCATGTATTTATTATCACAAAATTATTTTAAGAAAAATGTATATAATGAAGAAGAGGTGAAAAACCTAACGCCGCCTCCCCCGCCCCTGGGGGAAGCGTCGCCCTCCGGCCTCACCTGACAGACCCCTCCTCCCAGAATCAACAACCCCCATCTCAAAAAAACCCAAAACAAAAATATATATATATATTAAAAAAAGTACAAGTAACAAACACCCCTGTCATGCTCCAGTCGGCACAGGTGCACCCTGTGCATATGGTCGTTCAGTCGCCCGTTACGTTAAAGACTGTTTGCGACAGTCACCAGGGATACGGCTGCTATTGATTCACCCAACGCCAGGGTCAGATCCTGTAAGGCTATTTTTTTTTCTACTTTAATTGTTAATAACAATTCCATATTGGCCCAAGGTGTGTCGTTAAGAAGTGACACATAAACAGAAAAAATAATAACGACACACGTACAAGGTCTGTCTATGGAGACAAAACCGACACTTTCCCCTGCATGAAACACAAGGCAAAATCATCGACCTGACAGGTTCTTCAAACGGTATCTCATCCTATTTTTTTTAATAATTACAAAATCTCACAGTAAACAATAATAAGAAAAAAATTATCTTTTATTAAGTGCATGCGTAAACAAGGCAAGTCATGGTTAAACAGACAAAAAACTAATTTGCTAATTTATCTTCAAAGCTTAGGTTTTGTATTTGTAACCATTCTGTAACCTTTGTATAATTGATAAGGGTTGGTCGTTGATTGTAAAAAAACCTTGCAATACTCTGTATATGTTGAGGTAAACCTCTACTTACTTTGAGGAAAAAATCAATATATTTCAATGTCCATTGGATTTATTTTCAGACTGATTATTTTATATTTGTAGCCAGTCTATAACCTCAGATGTATTGCTGTCTGGGTTCGATCGTAACTTCTGATGTCGCTGACTTTTATCATGTGGAGTCCTTGGTCAAAAATATGTACTCAGTCCTGATGCCTTCACTTTTTGCATATAGGTCAGTCTGTACGGTGCGATCAGATCTGATGCTGCCATTTTATCTAATTAGACCTGATTCTGACCCTTTTATCCTATAGTTACATCCGTCGGTCCTGTGTGATAGGACCTGATGCCGTCGCTCTAGAGGCTTAACTCTATAAGGTGTGATCAGACCTGCCACTTTCAATTCTTGCCTATAGTTCTGTCTACAGTATGATCAAGTCTGATTCCATCACCTTTAACCAATTTGGATCAGTCTTTGTGGTATGATCAGATCTGATGCCAACACTTTACATTATTTGGATCTGTCTATACAGCATGATCAGACCTGATGCTGATGCTGTCGCCTTTACCTAATTAGCATCAGTCTACACCTTTTGCCCTTTCTTTTTGTGTATAGGTCTGTCTATAACTTTTATTCCTTGGTCTATACAGTATGATGGCGTCACCTTTACCTAATTAGGATCAATCTATATGGAGTTATCTGACACCACCACTTTTACCTTACGGCAACATCAGTCAACTATGATCAGTCCTGACACCGTTAATTTTATTCACCAGAGGCCTCAATCTATATGGAATGATTAAATTTGATGACATAACTTATACTTAATTAGGATCAGTCTATACAGCGTGATCAGACTTGTCTCCATAATTTTCAATCTTGTCAAAATGTGTATTTAAAAAAAAAAGAGAGAGAGAAAAAAAAGCGCCCTGTAAAACTTGAGTCGGATCTTGTATTATGTAATTTAAGAACCAAAAACGAAACATACGTCGTTGTGAACGCAGGAGTCTACGAGGAAGAGGCCTGGAGGAGCATGGAACCTGAAGCGGGGACGATCCGCGTTGTGCCTCACTCGCGACTCCTCGGCATTGGTCAGGTAATTAGCAGCGCCGGTCAGCAAGTCGGAGCGAATACAACAAAATTGGCCAATGTTTGAATTCGTATTCAAGAAGGTTTACGACTTTTTTCCTTGTCTCTGCCTGCAGGTGAGCATGCAGCTGAGCCCGGAGAACTCGGTCGATTCAACGCAGTCGATTTCAGTCTCGCATCCTCCGACTATTCAGGTCAAGTCTATGGTGAGGACAAAATGTTAAAAATAATTAATAATATTGATTAATTTTCTTTTTCTTTCGTAAAGGATGAAGGAGCGGTGCTGAACAGCCCAACCAACTCATGCGACGAGGCCAATTCAGCCGCTGCAAACCTCCAGGCCGACCCGGCCAGCCCTGAGCCAGGCCACTACATCACCGTAGCAGGTGAGCGCCTTATTTCAACTGGTATAAAAAAACCATTTATTTTATTTATTTATTGCAAAAAAACCTTTAAAAACAAAAAAAGTGCACAAACTCAGAGTAGTTTTTTCTTTTTTTCTCTCGTTCCCTACATGTCTGAAAAACAATATTCCACCATTTATCTAAAACCGCAAAAAACAAAAATGAACAAACCAAAATACAATTGATCGGGCGGGATAATTGCATGACGTAAGGAGCCGGTCCGAGGTCCTATACGTCTCTGACTACAGTCAGCACTGGTAAGGGTTTGGCAAATGAAATTTTGTGTTATTTATTTATTTTGACCTGATTTGATTTATTTTGGAATGTTTTTATTTTATTTTTTTTTAATTTACATTACATTATAAATTTTTCCTTGTTTTATTATCAGTTGACACAGTATGATTTATTTATTTCGACTTTTGTATTTTTTCAAATTTTATTATTTTTTACTATTCCTATCACATCATCAGGCTTTAAAAGAAATTGCTTGAATTGCCCTGCATGGTTAAATGGTTAACTAGTACAGGCTGTAATGCCATGAATGTCCCAGTAAACAATCAAGTAAAGCGAAACCTGCTTTACCATGACTAACCTATTTTTAAAATCACTGAAAACTCCTTTAAAACAAAATTTTGAGACTGTAACTTATGTATAAACCACTTTATGAGACTGAAAACATTTGTATTATCTACTTTATAAGACTGAAGAGCTTTTGTATAAACTACTTTATGAGACAGTATATAATACTTTACATGGGGCCCAAAAACTGTTTAATAACTGTGTGACCGAAGAAGTCTGTGTTGTACAGCCTCCATTTACACACATACTGTTCTTTTGGTTATGATTTTACTTCATACTGATCACTTTGAAAGATATTCTTGCAATTCAAAAGAAAATAAATCCCATTCCTACTTTACTTTTATTATTTCTTTTATTTTATTTGTCTTTATTTGATGGTTTTACTTTGTTGGTTTTCTTATGTTTGATTAAATGTAGATGTATTATCATTTACATAATTTTTCTGTTGTCGATGTGTTGTTTCAATTGTATTTCTTTATGTTAGTATGTGATGATTTTGTTTTATTTTTTATTGTATTGTGTAATATGGATCAATTTATTTTTGCCGTGGAAATCCTGGGTAGTGAGTGGCACAGGTCTGTATTTAATCCCTGGCCTCTGCCACTCCTTCCAGAACGGAATGCTTTGTGTTTAGCTTAGATAGTGCGATGGCATGTTTTTTGTATTGTTTTGTTAAGATGAAGTTTTTTTTTTTAAATTATATTTGCAAAAATATTACTTTTAAAGCATCAGAATCAGCTAGCGATGATGTGGCCCACTCATACGTCCAGTACATTGAGAGTACAGGGGAGCAGACAATCTACACGGCCTCCAATGGACAAATGTCTGTTTAAAATACCAAAATTTCTCTTTTGGTGTATATTATAGCCTTGATTTTTGTGCAGGTATCCTGTTTATACAGTGGGTGACTCTGGGACAATGTACACGCCAACGACTGGCCAGTACTATAGCCCTGGCAACACGACTCCGGTCACTTACACACAGGTAAACAGACGAGGTTGCATTAATGCCATCGTCTGATATTGAGTTTGCCTAGGTCGCCAATACGTCCGCCTCGACGCAGCTGATCGGCAATGCAGCCTACCTTATTCAGCAGGGCGTTGAGACGGAGCACGGCATCATTGCCGGTGCAAGGGCTTCACCACAGACTGTTAGCGCTGTGAGATTTCAAAATTCCTTTATTCCAAATTCAATATTTTTTCCTTTTTTTAAATTTGTATCAGTTTGCATGAGAAGCTCTGTCCGGTCCTGCGATGATTATTTCTAATCTTAAAAAAATTAATTTGGCTAATGTAGATTTTTGTGAAAATAGGATGTAACTTATCTTGTCCCCGGTGGGACAAACGGTGCAACTTCGACAGTGACCGGAGCCACTTCGGTTGTTACTGGTACTACATCAGCGTTGGACGACCCGGGCCAGCCAAACATAGCACACGCCACCCGAGTTTCGCCAACAACAGTAAGTCATTCAGTTTGCCCGGATTGTAACCGATGACCTTTAATTGTATGTAACATATAGGTGCAATGGCTCTTGGAGAATTATGAGACAGCAGAAGGCGTCTCCCTCCCACGTTCAACTCTCTACAACCACTATTTGCGCCACTGCTATGACAACAAACTCGACCCAGTCAATGCGGCCAGTTTTGGAAAATTGATACGGTCAGTGTTTCTTGGCTTGAGAACGAGACGCCTTGGGACAAGGTGAGATTTTTGTACATTATAATTTTAAGATTGAACAATGAATAATTAATTTTTACATTACAAAAATGAGGTTATGCTAATTTATGGTCTGCCAACTTATTGTGAAGAAATAAAAAAAAAGTTCAATCATGCAAAATACCAAAATTTAATAAATAATGTTTTAATTAATTGTAAATTAAAAACATAAAGCAGGTTACAACATAAAAAAGGTTATGCCGCAATACTTGACCGCAAAAACTAATAAGACTTTTTAAATTATTATTATTATTAACTGTAAGAAAATGCAAATAGTAAAGTGTTGTTATTAAAAACATATTTAGATAATTTATAAAGCATTAATAAATTCTAACTAACCTGAGAAAGAAGTGCAATGCTGTATAACCTGTTTCATGCTGGGAGAGTTTGTACTCACTGTTACCTAACCATCCCTAAATTGAACTCTATTCTTGGCCTACATTGATCACTAATCAGACAAATGATATAAATAAAGTATGAATTGGAAAAGAAAAAAAAATATTTGTAATGTGAAAGTTATAAAGCGTTGGTAATATATTTTTAATAAATTTAAGAACGGAAGAGGAAGAATACACTTAAAGGCAAGGCAATAATGTATTATACTAATTTTTATAAACGTTGACCGTAATGACTAACATTATTAAAATTTATAGGTTTTAAACAAATTCAACTCACCGTGCTTTCCCAACGATGTCTAATGCAATACTAACCATCACCACCCTCATTGTAGGCTATAACCACTTCCATCTCAATTATACAGTGCTGCCAACATAAAAACTGGATTTTAATAAGAAAATATTGTAGAAAGCCATTTAATATATTTGGACATGCATTAAAGATGGAAGTGTGAGACAAAACTATAGTGATGAAAATTGATAATTTGATGAAAATTTTAATGCATGAATCAATTTATTTTCTGGGTTCTGGGGGTGATTGACAATGATTTGAACCATCTTAGTCCGACTATCCTTGTATGTTTGGTTCCCAGGCGTGTTTTGGCATTTCACTATTTGTAAACTATCATATTGATAGAAAATATTGATAGTCTAATAAATATAAACATTTCATATTCTAAATTTACTTACCACATTAAGGAGTGTTGTCATAAGCTTCCATGTAGGAGGTTATACACACTGTTATCTTATGCAGACAGGGCTACCAAAAAGAAAATTTTTGAGAAGAAATATAATTCATTTATTTAAAGTAATAATAGTAATAATAAATTTAATTACTTTTGATTGTGAGTTGGCTGCCTCAATTTATCAAATTTTCTCCACTTCATATTTATTTTACAGAGGAAATTCCAAATATCATTATTATGGTATAAGAGTCAAGGCCGGTTCACTGCTCACTCAGATTTCATCGAATGAAGAAGAATCGTCGCCACGGGGTGTTGGTAATGCTAAACGTTTCCGTCTTAGCAGTGGCCCGTCCAGCGTATCGAGCGGTGCTTGCAAGGAGGAGGGTCAGAGCGGTGGCTCCGCCCCACTTCAGGAGTACTTGGGCGATGGCAGCGGTGCTATACCCGATTTCCCGGAGGTTGAGGTGCCCACCTCACCTAACTGCCTTCCCCATATGTGCACGCTCGATGATCTCGACACATTCCGCTCTATCTACCGCGAGCACTGCGAAGCATTCCTCGATGCAATCGTCAACCTCGAATTTGCGACGATTGAAACCCTCTGGCGCGAGTTCTGGCGATCCCAGGAGCACAGCAACGGCGACGAATGCGAAGAGGAGAAATATTTATCAAAGTATACATTTTCAACATTTTACAAAAAAAATAAATAAAATAAATTATTATTACTTGATTCAGAACAAAATTATATGTGCTGTCGAAATTCAAGCCAATCCAGGAATTCGTAAAGCGAGTCGACTTTCTATTTTACCAAAATCTCGTTCAAGTCCTCATTCCGGACGTTTTGAGGCCAATACCGAGTGAGTTGTCTTTGACATTCAGACCAGTTTACCCAAATCGCAACATACTCATATCACCTGCATCTTTTTCACAGGTTCTTTGACCCAGGCTATTAGAAATTTTGCAAAAGGGCTTGAATCATGGCTGTCAGCGGCCATGCAGGGCTGCCCAACTGACATGGTCGATATCAAGGTAAGTGTAATTTAAACAAAAACAATAATGAAAATAGTAATTGTTATCTGGGTATCTGGTGATGTCATGGAGACGGCAAAAGCTGGGATACATACAATCCAGCCCGCTGATGCTGTGCAAGACGTAAAGAATGCTATCAGCATTGGTAGCGTCTGTGGGCCAGGTTGTCCAATAAACTTTTGCTAGTCACGAACATGACTGAACAAACCCTCTGAGTCTGAAACGAAAGAAAATCGTACAAACCAGATGAGAATTGGCCATACCTGTCTTACACTAGGAAACTTACTTCTAGGCAAAAATATTTGGTCGAAGAGTGTCCATGCTTTGGCTAAAATATATTACAGGGAGCTAGTAGGCATGAACCTGATATAGACAATATTCAGGTGGGTGATCTTTTTGGGTTCCCTGTTAAATTTCTTAAAGTAAGAAAATATATATGTGTTTTTGTAAGTATGCTAATATATGGAAGAATATCAGATATGCCATAGGCCTTCAGAGTGCAAGGAGGGCTGAAATGACTTCACTTTTGGTAGGGGAAACCTATTAAAATAATTTTAACTTATATAATAACAATATATAAATTTTTGTTTCTTACTTGGTAATTTGGATATTTTTATATTCTAGGTTAGCGCAGTTTGTGCCTTTGCTCAGACACTCCGGCGGTACACATCGTTGAACCACTTAGCTCAGGCGGCGCGCGCTGTACTTCAGAATTCAGTCCAGATCAACCAGATGCTGACCGACCTGAACAGGGTCGACTTCCACAACGTACAGGAGCAGGCGTCTTGGGTGTGCCAGTGCGATGCGTCCCTTGTCGCCCGGCTTGAGGCTGATTTTAAAGCGACGTTACAGCAGCAGAACAGTCTTGAGCAGTGGGCCGCCTGGCTCAAGGCGGTCGTCGCCACCGTCCTCAAGCCGTACCAGGGTCGGCCCAACTTCACGACAGCCGCGCGCCAACTTCTCCTGAAATGGTCATTCTACAGGTTTAAAAACTATCTAATTTTAAAAAAATGTATAAATGTAAAACTGTAAAGTACAACTCAGAATTTTTTTCCAGCTCGATGGTTATCAGGGATTTGACTCTACGATCAGCAGCATCTTTTGGTTCTTTCCATTTAATACGCCTGCTGTACGATGAGTACATGTTCTACCTTATTGAGCATCAAGTGGCACTGGCCACAGGTGAAACTCCAATAGCTGTCATGGGAGAGGTAAAACACAAATAAATCAATAAAATAATATTTATTAGCAGTTTTAATTCCCAGGCTGGCTCATCTGCCTCATCCCAGACTCAGGAGTACGAAGTAGGCAATGGCACAAACGGTTCCAACAACAACGTCGTTGATGGCCAAGAGATCCTCATCGACATGCACCAAGTCAAGCGCCTCAAAATGAGTTAAATTTTTAGCAGAAGGACGCAGTTTTTATTATTAATTTTAGAAAAATAATTTGAAGGAAAAAAAATCATTAAAAAAACACAGACTTTTATCATTTAATAATCGTAGATTTTCACAATGAAATTGAAATTATTATGTCATAAAAAATATTAATTAAGAACGAAAACGGGAATTGACTTTTTTTTTAAGAGAGACAATTTCTAATTTGATATATATAAACAGATCTCACCCCCTATTTTTTTTTTTGTTACTATCTTAATTATTTTATTTTAATTAATTATTTATTTTAGTGCAATCACCCTATACTTTGTATATACACATAGAGAGATAAACTTAGTCCTGCGTTGTTTGATTCGTTAATTGCTTGTCTATATATTTTTCCTTTTACCAATCCAATTTGTTCTTATGTGTGCCTGCACTGCGTAACGACACGCACTGGACTTTTTTTAAAAATTTACTGTACTTTTTTCATCTCTTCTTCGTCTTTATCCTCCTCCCTTTCCTGTAGGCGATGTTTTAATTTTTTTTTTTTTTTTTAATAATAATTAGTTCAGATTTTAAATGTCATGCACAACACGAAGATTAAAAGAAAAAAAGTAATTGCATAATGTATAAGACATTTCTTGTCACAGGGAATATATTTTTTTTTCAGGAGAGAGCGAGAGAGTGATGGAGGGTGGGAGAGTGTGAATGAGTGAGACAGAACTAGAAGGGAGAGAGATAAGATTAAAAAAAAATAACGGATGTCTATGTGAGTGATATTTATTATAAACTATATATAAAAATTTAAAAAAAATTCTTCCTTTTGTGTATTGGAAATGTTAATGAAATAAATGTCTTTTTCTCTTAAAAAAAAAAGGAAAATTACCTGTTGCATTTAATTAATCCTTGATTGTACCCATATCAGTTTAAAAAGTACTAAGTTACAGGTGAACAGACAATCATTAAGAATTAAGTAAAATAATTCCTGTCATAAAGGAGGGCTTAACATTCAACTACCTTTTGAGTATCTCAGGCAAGGGGTCAAACCTCTTTGTAATAAGGTGTCGGCAACAGGAGGCAGTGACGCCTAAGTAGGCACATACACGGCTGAGAACAGACACTGACAATATTACCAAGAAGAAGAAACCTCAAAACACGTTTTGTGTGTACGTAGATGCAGATTCTTGCAAGTAGGAGAGGATAAGATAAAAGGTATATATAGCAAGTAAGATACAGGTTGTTTAACAGTTGGCCAGTGTGTAATAAAACATAGAAGAGTACAATAGATACAAATATTCTCAGAAGATTTTCTCAGAGTTGGGGTGCCGATCCTGACACAGCTCTTCTGTTACACAGGTTATGCGTATAAAGTGTAACAGATTTTGGATCAACTTTTTCGGTAATGACAGCAAAGTACGCTTAAATTGCCTAAGTGTTCAGAAATAAATGTATTAGATGCTTAGGATGTTTATCAGATACTCCAATAAAACTAATGGATTTTGAAAGTTGTGAACCCCCACAGCTTTTACTTATAGAATGATTAGCTTCCAATTTTGTCCTAATTAATTATTCCTTGAGCAGTGATAACTAATACTAAGAAAATAAATTAAAATAAAAGCCTGCACACAGAAGCATTTTTTTACATCTATAAACCCCAGCATAAATTGGAATCCTTGGTCTTATAAGCAGAATGGCCAAAAAACTACAATAATTATCAAAATTAGGGTGTACCTACATAAAAGAATGGAATAGCAAAAAGGTGATATTGACCACGCAATAATGGTTTGCAAATAGTATGCGCTACAAAAAGAATGGTGGTTGGTAAAATCGTAAAATTTAAAAAAAAATCGTAAATCATGGTAAAAAATTGTTTTTACAAGAGTTCGCAACAACAGAGGTATCAACCCTCAGGGTGCCAGTGTTTTTGAAAAAAAAAAAATTTGTAAGTATGTCGGGTTCAAATGCAGGGCTGCTGGATTCAAGCCCGGGACCTTTACCTTACAGTGATGGGCACCGTGTCAACGCCTAAACCGTTGCGGCCACTGATGCCCCCATATACTAACTTATTATGTTGTTATTAATTTATTTGGGTATTTATTTATTTATTCAGGTTTTCTCTAGTTGACTTTGTGTCTGTGTAGATGGGGAGTTTCTGAGTGTTCCTCCAGAGCGAAATATGCTGCGGGTGTGTGGGAGATGTGGATTTTTCCACATTATTTTGATGTTAATGGTTTTTAAAGTCATTGTCTCTTGTTATCGAGAAAGATTATTCCTGAAGTAGAGTAACCAAATGGCAAGCCAGCTGATTCGCCTGGCTAGTTATCCGAATCCCCGTACTGCCCTTTTGGTACTGGGCGGGAGGCATTCCCTCCACATGTTTTATTCAAGCTTTAAAGCCCAGTGGCTGATGCAGAAACCTAAAGCCAGTAAAAAAAAGGTTGTGCGTTGTTTTGAGTGTTAGTAAGATATTGTTTTTTGTATGGTCTCGTGTGATGGACGTTTAGAAAAACATTTTCTTTATCATGCCAACATTTTTTTTACTGAGATCACCTGGGATTTATAACATAGTTTAAATTATACAAATACATATAAGATATACTTATACAATGATTTTCACAATATAAAAATGTTAGGTTTAATCAAAGTATTTGTACTCACTCAAAGTGTGTTTTCTGTGTAGATGTATCACTGTTGTGTGTTGTGTTAGATATTAATGGTTTTTGTTTGGTCCAGTGTGATATACTTTTAGAAAAGCATTTTCTTTATCGTGCCAATGTTTCCATCTTTACAGATATCATCTTCAGGGCCTGGGATTTATAAATTTTGTTTAAATTATACAAATACATACAAGATTTGACTATGAATTTAAGTAATGATTTACACACTATAGACACACTATTGTACTGTGTGTGTTTTCAACTGTTGTCATGTTAGTGAGATATTATTTTTTGTTTATGTTTGATTTTAAGAGAGTAGGAAAGGACGTAAGGATAGAACTTCATTTTTCTGTGAAGAGTCGGGTTCTTCGAGGAGAAAGGGACCAACAATGGAAAAAAGGAGGAATGGCTTATCGTTTGGACCTGGTTAGTCTTTCAGGATTATTATAGGCGGGATTATTAGGGAAAGGAGGGATAAATTCTTTACTTTTAACAATTAGAAAAATATTTCTAATAATAATAAATAATTACTATTCTAATAAATTAGAAAAATTAACATAAAAGTCGTAGCGCCAGGTAGACAATTGGAAGAAACAAAATGGCTACCTGAAAGTAAACATTTAGGTTATATTATAAAAAAATTGAAAGGTCATCAAAGATTATAAATACATTTATATAATAACAATAAAAAACTGATTGTTGTTTAAAGTACTGAAATTAAATGACACATTTAACGGCAATCCTTGTTAGTATAGAATCGAGCAGAGATGTTGACAATGCTTCAGTTTCTTTGATTCCGTATACTTCCTTGATCTTTGACACAGATGCCTGGGGGAGGAACGGTCTCGATGCAACTGGCCATGCCAGGGCAGAACGCATGAGGTCCGCCTTCGGACCGAACCTGACCAACACCATCTCCCTGTCCGACGGTTCGGCCCCGAAAGTCCTCAGGCTTTGCGTGATGTTCTTCGACGGTGATAGGTTGTACAGCAATTCCGAGTAGACGTTCCTCGTTATGAGAGTGCCGGAGTTCTTGGCGGCGAGGGCCCGGTGGGCGGCGGTCAGGAGCTGCTTCGCGTCGACGACGAGGATCCTCTTCACCAGGCAGCAATCGAGCTCACCTTTAGACAGGAGGGCTTGGAGTGTGTCGTCCTCGACCGCGATACAAGCTATATTCGTCTCCACACCGAGTACAGTGAAACTCACGACGTGTTCCTCGTTCATCTTCTTAACCCAAACGTTGTTATTACCTCTCTTACCTCGAGAACCGTTTCAATTATAATTTTTTTTTATTTAAAAATACAACGAACAACCTAAAATACAGTTTAAGTAAAAAACAACGATTTGTAAACAGCTTTATCAAGTCATGTAATGTTAATGAAGGTTTTATCTACTGTTATCTTGATAATAACAGGTGTACCAACATTACCAAGTCGAAAGACTAAAAGCAATTTTAAAAAATTACAAATATACAACATATATGAGAATAATTACAAACCACACTTGCCATTTTACACATTTCAGTATAAAAAGACATTGATGGGTGAATTAAAGACATTTAAATACCATCTAGCCCTAGAATTATAACAAAAACTATAAAACAATTCACACCCTTTTTTCCAAAATTAAGCATCCCAAACTTATAACAAATAAGTCTGATGTAATTTACAATTTTATCTCAACTAAAAACCTCAATTAATTGTAATATATTAATTGGTCAACCGGACCACGAAATTAGTGAATTTAAGTAATTTACAATATCAATTGTAAAAATTGTCGGGCAATTTACATCGGAATTATATTTCAATACCTGGAAAAGAGGGTAAAACAACATATCTATGATTGCAAAAAATATTAACTTAACATAACTATAATATAAACATAACTTTTTAGAAATGGTTTACATCAACAGAGATAAACACAGCATCAATTACCGAACAGGCATACTTAAATCAGCCGCAGCTAAGCTAATATCATAAACCAAATTTGATATCAATAACATATGATACAACGTATAAAACAATTATTCAGAAATCGTGAGATGCGGTCTGGTGTGATGTAGGTTTCAGAAAACCATTTTCTTTATCGTGCCAACATTTAGATCTTTATTGAGATCATCTTCAGGGCCTGGGATTTACAAACATTGTTTACATTTAACAAATACATGTAGGATGTGGAAAAAGTTAATTTATACAATGCAAAATATATTGGTTTATATTCAATCAAAGTATTTCTACTCAGTCAAAGTGTTTGTCTTTTGTGTAATTGTGCCATTCTTGCGTATCGGTTAAGAGTGCCAGTGCAATATTGCTGTTTTATTTCCTTATGTCCTTTCAGGATTATATAGAAAGGGATAAATAGGAAAAGAAAAGTTAAATTGTTGGAAAATTAGACTATGTGAAAAATATTTGATGTGTGGAATGTGATGTGATGATATATGTACATTATCTATATTGAATTTGATTAATGATATTGGTGTATAAGAATTCACTATAGTTATAAGATTAACTATCAAAACAAATCTCATCTGACGCGTGGATGGCTGCCAACATTAAACCCATGCAATCAAGGTAGCCAACATGGAAAACAATATTTATTAAACTTTACGTTTAACTGTTAGCTTAAATATACAATGTTTACGTAACAAAGCGATTAACTATCAATAATTAACAATAATATATTTTCCTTAATTGTTTACATGTGAAGATTTTAATTTTAAATAACCGGACTTGTCAAGGACGATTGAAATTAATTGTACAGAAAAGAGTATTCAATGAATCACAAACTTATCGAAAGTAGAGAACAATTTTAAACATTCATTTAAAAAAATTAAGAAAATTATAAAATAGAAGGTTTGATGACTTACCTTGGACCTCATTTTCCTTCTTCGAGGTCTTAACGCCTTCTGAACAACTAACATCTGGCTTATTAAAAACAAAAGCAGGTCTGCCAATATTAAACCCAGAAAATACAGGAGTACCAACAGATTGTTTTCCTCAATTTCATTATTAAAATGTGCAATATTTACACAATAAAACAGTTAAGTAAGGTGAATTTAGAATTTGGTGAATACTTCCAGTAAAACCATTTTTTTTTTTTTTTTTTTTTTTTAACTAGCATTAATAAGTTAGCCCCCGAAGAAGAACAAGCTCCAAGGTAAGACATACATTCTAAAATCTTAATTAATGATAGTTAATTTTTTTATTTAAATACTGTACCTAATAATTTAAAAAGGATTGTTTTCTGTGTAGGCACCCATGTATATTATGGGTTTTAATGTTGGCAAACCTGCTTTTTTTATTTAAATAAGCCAGATCAGATGTCGGTTGTTCAGTATGCTGCAAGACCCCGAAGAAGAAGACGGTCCAAGGTAAGTCATCAAACTTTTATATTAATTATTTTAAGTGAAAAATTCAACGTTTAAAAATGTTCTCTGTTTTTGACAAGTTTGTGATTTATTGAATGCTCTTTTCTGTAAAATTTAATTTCAATCATTTTTCACGAGTCTGGTTATTGAAAATTCACAAATAAACAATTAAGAAAATAATACGTTCTAAAATTTTAATTAATGTTAAGTGTTTAATTAAGGAGGGAAAATTCAAAAGGTGAGGTTGAGATGGGAAGTTAGTGTTTGAGTGGATCGAGGTCATGACAGCTCAAGTGGTAGAGCAGCGGTATATCTAGCCAAAGATCGTGAGTTCGAATCCCGCTTGTGACACTGACTTTTTTTATCTCAACTAAAAACCTTAATTAATTGAAATTTTAATTTTTTATTTTAAATATTGTACCTAATAGTTTAAAAATGTATTGCTTTGTATGTTGGCAGACCTGATTTTGTATTTAAATAAGCCAGACCAGATGTTGATTCAGAAGGCTGCAAGACCCCAAAGAAGGAAATCCAAGGTGAGTCACGTTCTATATAATTATTATAAATGAAAAATTCATTGTTAAAAAATGTTCACTGCTTTCGATAAGTTTGTGATTCTTTGAATTTTTTTTTTACTATTTGATTTTTTTGACATGGCTGGTTGGTAAAGTAAAACAATCCCTGTTGTACATGATGGTTTAGGCTCAACTACTTTGAGCATCGTGGACGAAAGATCAAACCACTTTACAATCCTTTTTTTTCATATCATTCAAAATTAAAAGGCTATGCTGAGATTCAAACCGAAGACTACTATGGTACTGGGGCAATATGTCTGACCCACTCAGACATTGCTGTACCCAACTTTGGTACCCACTTCAGTTGTTTAATATTACAATCCTCACAAATAAACACCCGATAAATAATACATAATTTTATTTTAATTAATGCTAGCCAATTGTTTTATTATTTAAATATTGTGCCTTTAAACTAATAGATTAAGTGGACAATTTCAAAAGTACTGTTTTCTGTATGAGTTTTGGTTGTTGAGTTTGGGTATTGTAGGTTAGCAGCCCTGATTTCAATGTGTTCACAAACTCATACGCCAAAGCCCACCATCAAACAACTTTTTGTTTTAAAATATTTACTATTTCAGATTTGACCACTTATTTCGAACCTCCTTATTTTTCAGCTTCTATTGGGCTGGTGCAAAAATAATGCAGATTTTGAAAAGGCAGTTGAAACTATTTTTCATTTTTATAAGATAAAGAAAATTTATTCAAAATATTTTCTGTCACAATCTATACATCTTTGTCAACATGCAATAAGCACTTTTATTCAGCTGACATAAAAACCTTTATTTTGACTTACAAGAGTCTTGGAAGGGGTATTCACTGCGTTTTCTAAAAATTTTATCTTTCAAGATTTTATCAAATGCTTAAAAAAGTGGAAGTCTGTCGGTGAGAGTTTCATATCCTAAGTCCTTACGTTCTGTGCATTACAACATGTGGCCTGGCATTGTCGTGAAGCAAAATCGGCCCCTTACAGTTTACTGATACTGGACAAAGACATTGCAGTTTTCTGTGCATTTTGTCAATTTATTGGCAATATTTCTCTGCTGTGATAGTTTTGGCATAATTCAGGAAATTATAGGGAACCAGCAGTATACCACCAAATAGTCACCATAAACATTTTTGTGTGCAGGTTCGGTTTCGGGAAGTATTATGGTGCTTCATCGTTGTCCAACCACTAACCTGTACACTTCCTGTTGTACTGAATCCATCTCTCATTGCACGTGATGATTCGATCGAGAAAAGGATCATTTTGGCAACAGAAGATACGAGCAAATTTCGAAGTGTCAATTTATTTGGGCTTCCGTTATTGATTTTCTTTACCAATTTGCTCCAGATGGCAAACAAAAGTTGAGTGGTCTACATTAGGCCTTTTGCAATTTTCCATGTTGTCTTACGTAAATTTTGTTCAGACAATGTTTTGAGTTGGTCGTTGTCCACAACAGGCCTACCGAGACCTTCCCTGTCTTCGAGATTGAAATCACTGAAAAAAAAATTCCCTGAAACATTCCACATTCACTTAATCTGATTTTTTCCTTGAGAAAATTGGGCAAATAAGAAAACAGCAACATTAAACCAATTTTTATTATTTTTGTTAAATTTTTATCAGTTGAAATAACAATCCTCATCTAAGTAAACAGTCTAAAGTGGAGGTAAGACGAGATAGTTTTTCTTTCCACTTTTATTTTATTTTATAATATTTACACAAAAAGGTCTTGTTTTTTTTGGTGGTTTTATTTTATTTATTTATTTTTTTGAAAAAATATAACCTATCTTATAATACAAACTATATCGGGCCAAAGAACTTTATAAAACCTGCGAGAATATTTTTTCTCCTTTTTCTTTTATAAATAAAAAAATAAATTAATTTCTTCAAAGCTGCAGAAGAAATAAATCTTATCTTTTTCGCCTTTTCGTCTTGGCGTTCATTTGTACTTTGCCATTCTGCCACCAAAGGGTAGGTTCGCTGAAAGAAAAAAGTAATTTTAATCTGATCATATTTAATAAAATGAATGAAACTCACCACTCAGTGGAATACGGTATCGGTATGCCGAATACGGCAACAGGGATCTTTTCCATGACTATGAGTGAAAGGCGGTCGTTTATCTCCTCAGGGTTGGGCCAGAATGACTGTATCGGTGTCGGGTTATTGAGCGCTTCCTGTTTCGCGTTTTTCTTCAGCTCTCGCTCTTTCAGTTTCTCTATCCTCCTTTCCTCTCTTATCCTCTGGACATCCCACCTTTGAATAATAATAATAATATAGTTACTATTATTAGTATTACAAGTATATGTACAGGCTTATATTAACAATTAAAAAAAAAAAAAAATATAAATATATATAAAAAAATAAAATAAATCTACCGTTTCCTCCTTTTTTCATCAATTGCGAGCCTGAAATGACGCCTTGCGAACACATCATCGCTCAGGTTTTCAGTCCCATCAATTGTGAAACAGCTTGTGTATGCTTTTATCGTCCACTTTGGCACCTCGAGTGTTGTAACTTTGAACGGCTCTGACGATGGGATCATCGGTGTCAATTTCTCTCCAACAGACGTATAATAGGCACTCGATGTCACGGTCAGTTTGCTGAATCGTTGGAGGAGCGGCCCAATCGACGCTTCACTTTGCATCTTCAAGGAGTGCGCGAGGTTGTGCACTTGTAACTCCTTACCGTCATCTAGAACTAATTTTCATCAAAATATGTTAACATATTGGGGAAAAAAAAGTTTAAAATGCCTTACATTTATTACGTTTTTTTTTCTTTTCCTTGTCCGAATGGTCTTTCTTCTCGTCTTTAGGCTTTTTTTTCTTCCGGGCCGGGTCATTCGCCTCGCCCTCTAGCCTCTGCCGCTTCCCCATCCTTTCAATGCTTTTGTCATGGATCATGAACTCTTTCTTCACGCCGCCGGCGCTCCCGAGTCTTGACCTCTTCTGGTGGACGTTGCGCATCTTCGTGAGCGAAACACGCCTCCCCATCCTGTGAATCCTCTTCTTGAGCTGGAATATGTATTTGCATATTAGTATTATTGAAATTATTAAACCATTACAAGACTGACGGGGTATGACCTTCCTATCAATATTGATCGTTTTTAATTGTTTGTGTATTTTATTTATTCCTGGGATAGACAGAGGCTTTTCTCCTAAGTCTGAGACCGCAATGAACAAAACCAAGCATATTATGAAGGGTTTTCCCACAGTTTGATGGATGACCATGTGGCATTCAGCTGCGTCCATCATGGTGTGGAATTTGCTTTTGTAAATATATGGGGTATGTCACTCATAGCCATATTCTACCGTACAATGAAAGACGTGTGCAGTCTCCAGCATCATTACCGGATGCACCAGGCACAATACGATAGGGATAGGGATAAAAGAGGCGGCCACAAGGCCCACTGCACCTCGACCTGCAAAGATCTATTGTGCTCCCCTGTTTTTTTTAACTCACTGGCCAGATTCAGGTTGTTAATCAGCCTCCATAGCTGTGCCAGTGGCTCCTTAGTGTAGGAGTTTGCTTGCGGTTTTTCTTGTCTTAGTTACACGATCTGATTATAGACCTTCACAGTGTTTCTTCTGTCTGTACTCCCATCCAGTGCACGTGCTTTCTTAAGTGGCCATGTCCTGTCAAGAGTCCGACCAGAATCCTGGGTCAGTTGCGGTTGCCTTCCAGTTATTCTTTTGTAAGTTTTGCGGATGGTCCTTTTATGCATCTCTTTGCCTCATACCTGTGGTATTGTTCCACCAGGATCCATTTTAAGATGTATCTCTTTTGTGGCAGGCTAAGCCATAGTAGGATTCAGGACCCAGAGAGTCTATGTTGGCTCCCTCTTTGGCCCCAGGGACCGACCCATGCCAAGGTCGGGTCATTTGTGTCACTGACTTCCGTCAGAGCCTCCGTGCAGTTTCAAACACTTTGCCTTCATTTCGTATGAGGCTAGACATCCTTGATCAAGTGATCAGGACGGATCCTGGAAGGGGATTTGTGCCTGCCAAGATGGGGACGGTTTTCCCACCGTCGTAGAGATAAAATGTATTAAACCGAAATTTTACTAAAACTTGTGTTAATGTTTAAAAAAATCATATTTTTTTAAATTTGTTTTGTTTATTTTATAACCTTCCCCACCGGTTACCACAATAATGCAATCACAGTGAAAACTTGTATTAAAAATAAACAATGGTAGTTTGTTCATTATTTATTATTCTATAATGTAATAGTTATAGATTCAAGAAATTAAAACTTGTTATTATTGATCAAGATGGGTTGATTGTTTGTCTCTTTTCCACAAATACGGGAAAAAACATGGCAGCTTGAGGGAAACAACGCCACTGGGTCAAATGTTATATGTTTTAAATTGTTATTAACATTATTTATTTGATTTGTCCTTGTTTGTTTTGTTTATAAGATTGTTATTGTTTTGTATAAACGGGCTAAACTTACCATTTCGTTTTCGTGTCTTAAATCGCTGATCGTCTTGTCTTTCGAGTTCAAGTGAACGTACATCTGTTGGATGTAGTCGAGGTCGGCGAGTAGTAGGTCTTTCATCCTGTCCCTCTCGTCGGCCGGGGTCGGTTCGGGCTCGCCGGCCGGCGGTTCGTCCTCCTGGGTTTCGCCCTCCGGGCCGTCCCTCTGGTCGTCTGCCGTCAACGCCATATCGTCCCGTTTGCGAGATGAGGCTGTGGCGGTTTTCTTCTATTTTCCGTCCAGGGGAAAAAAGAAAAAGAACGAGAAAGAAATAGATTTCGAATTTTTCAGCAAAGATCAAAATCAACCGGCATGCCGAAAGCCGTCTTGGAAATAAAAATAGAGAAAAGAATGTCAATATCCAGGAGGAAATACTGCTCCGGAGACGGTTTCGTCGATTCTACCTTCCGTCAACCCACTAGGATTGTATATTTCAAAATCGTACTTTTCTTTTTACGCCTATTCGAGGGAAAAAGGTTCGGAAAACTCCGGAAAAACTCAAAATTGGGAGAAAAAACACGCCTTTTATCGTAAACAAACACCCGAACAAGCCACACTTTTATTTTTAACCGAAACCGAGAGATGCGCCCCGAATACGTTCAGGTTATGTTGTCCCCTACGACTACGGGCGCTACACAACTTTCGACACATTTCAACCCACTTAAACACCGACAAAAACCCCAAACTGAAAAATAAAATTATAAAACCCCATTAAAGTATAATTACAATATGAAGAAAAAAAGGAAGAAAATCAATCGGCCTCCGTAACTGTAACGGCCATGCCGACCAAGCGCGGGAAATTCGAATCTCCGTTGAAAAACTAAACTCTTCCATTATTGATTTTATTTTAATATTAATCACCACAATATTAACATAAAAACAATAATAATTGAGGAAATGCGGCCTAAATTTTTATTCCAAACGAAAATTTCTTAATAACTCAATTTTGTATTAGCTTATGGATGGTTAGGAAACTTCCTATCAAACGAATAGGAGGGAAGAGGTTATCATCTGTCGACTCAGAATTGGACACACAAGAATAACACACGGGTTCTTGATGGAAGGTACTGACCCTCCTGTCTGCCTATGTGGTGAACGCCTAACCATCGAACACATCTTGTGCCCCCCCAAGGAACTGCCAATGGTTTTACACATCTTCCTTACACCTCCCACTTAAACAACTCCTACAGGATAAGCAGCAAATGGTTGACAAAATCATCGGGTATCTAAAAAAAATAAATAAAACTATACAACTATATATAACAAGAACATTACATTAACACACAAATAACATAAGCAACAAAATTAGGCTGGCTGTACGCGCTCCCCAGAACTGACACACATACGAATCCACATACACACACTCACACACCACTGTACATACGCACACATAGCTACATAAAGGCAATGATAGCACTTGCTGGTTTTTTGCCTATTTAAAAAAAATTGTATTAGTTTGATCCAACAGGTTTAATTAAAAGGTCGTTTGAAAAGTCGGTACTCTTACGATGAAAAGAGATTTCAATTAATTATGATATAATTATTTATCTAAATGGTAGATTGTACTAACGTTTTCATTTAAAGAAGTGGTTAAATATAACAAAAGTTGGTTGGACAAAGCAGATTATATGCAGGTTTCAATAATGCTAATTAGTTTTAATGGGGCAAAGTAGGTTATTCAGGGGTTTCAACGTAACAAAATAAAATAAGTGATTCACCTGAGTTAATTAAGACAAATTCCTTATAATTAGGTAATACTCAAGTTTCAGTTGACAAAGCAGATTATACACAGGTTTCAACAGAACAAGATGTATTAAACATCCTAGCGCGGGAAATTCAAATCTCCGTTGAAAAACTAAACTTCTCCATTATTGATTATATTTTGGTGGTTTCAATAGAAGAAGGTCGATTATACACAGGATTCAACAGAAGGAGGTAGATTATATACAGTTTTCAAAAGAAGGAGGTAGATTATACACAGTTTTCAAAAGAACGAGGAAGATTATACACAGGATTCAACAGAACGAGGTCGATTAAACACAGTATTCAACAGAACGAGATAGATTATTCACAGGATTCAATAAAACAAGGTAGATTATCCACAGGTTTCAACAGACCAAGGTAGATTATACACTAGTTTCAATAGAAGATTATACTCTGATTTCAATGGGTCAAAATAAGTTATTCAAGGGCTTACAGGTGACAAAGGTAACACATGTCACTTAGTCTAAAATCTCCGTAGAATCCACTTCATCCACTACAACCTGCATGTTGTCATACTTTTTAATAAATTTGAAAGTTCGTTATAATCTTCTCATACATTACCTACTTTATCAACCTGAAACCGGTATGTAATCTATTTTACAGACTAAAAACTGCCGTTGCCTTACTTTTTAATAAATTCGACAGCTCGTTATCTACTTATTAACCTGAAAACTATTTGTAATCTACTTCATCGACTAAAACCTGCATGTTGTTTTACATCGTTATAAATTTAAAAGCTCGTTACAACCTATTTTATTAACTGACTGAAATTTGCATGTGGTTTTAGGTTTTAATAAAACTGAAAGGTCATTATCGCGACATGCAGTTAATAAAGTCGCGCATAACCTACTTTATTAACCTGAAACCTGTTTGTAATCTACTTCATCGAATAAAGCCTGCATATGGTTTTACGATGTTATAAATAGAAAAGCTTATTATAACCTGCTTGTGCATAACCTTCTTTACTAACCTGAAGCATGTTTGTCACCTACTTCATCGACTAAAACGTACATACTGTCCTAATTTTTAATAAATTTGAAAGGTCATTATAACCTACTGGTGTATAACCTACTTCATTAACCTGTCTGTAACCTACTTCATTGACTAAAAGTTGCATGTTATCTTACATTTTAATAAATTTTAAAGGTAATTATAACCTACTCATGCATTATTAACCTGAAACCTGTACGTCACCTACTTCAACGACTAAAACGTTCATATTGTCTTGCTTTTTAACTTTTTTTTTACGGGTTTGGAACAGCAGAGGTTATATCAACCCTCGGGGTGTAGGTGTTTTTGAAAAAAAAAAAAAAAAAAAAACATTTGTAAGTAAGTATGTCCGGGTTCGAATGCAGGGCCGCTGGATTCGAACCCGGGACCTAAGACCTTACAGTGATGAGCGCCGTGTAAACGCCCAAACCGTTGCGGCCACCGACTCCCCCATTAACAAATTTAAACGCTCATTGTAATCTACTGATACATAACCTACTTTACCAATCTGAAACCGGAATGTAACCTAACTTTTACTGATGTCATCTTTATAACTTAAGCTGATGCAATAAAACTCTGGTATAACATACTTTGTATAACATGCCGAAAGCCGTAACTAACTTACTTTTTAAGTGCTGAAACTATCTGTATACAATCGCACCTGTATACAATCTTTTTTTCAAGATTGGAAATCAATGTAAAATCAACTTTGTCGTGGTAAAACCTATGCTTCACATCTTCAATAGTGCAAAATTCATTAAAAGTGTAAAATAATTAAATTTCACTAGATTAAAAAAAATAAAATAAAATAAAGGAAAGATCTACACAATGATGAGGTTCAAATATTGACCCTTGAATTTGTGGGTCGTCCGAACGACAGAAGATAATAGATCCCTTGTCGTTAGCCATTGAATAACAGATTATAATCGGGATCGGTCTTGACCCTAGATGACGTTAATTTGCCCCGGTGGAGATAAATCCGAAACGTTGTTCGGGGCGGGGGGGAGAGGACGTGAAAGAAAGTGGAAGAAGAAGAAGAAGAAAAAAAAATCGGATAGTTCAGAAAATTTAAAACCGCCGACGTTCGCGCAACACACGAATCGTTCGGGACAGAAAAAGAAAATATATAAAATGTTGAGTTCCGTCTTCCTCAGGAGGATCGGGCAGATGAGGATAGCCGCGAGGCGTTCCTCCGTCCTGTCCACCGGTAACTCGAACGACTTCTTCAGGAGGCACATAGCTCCGAGTGACGACGAGCAGAGAGCCATGCTCGACCTGATCGGCTGCGAGGTAAAGAACCCAAAATGTCATACATCTAAAATGAGCACAAAAAAATCAAATCAGTGTAGCTTATTGTTGTGATTTGGATTTGCCCCCATATAAGGCTTAGCATTAAAAAAAAAGTTCAAATTTGATTTGCAGTCTAAATGCAAGTATTTTAGCATAAAAAGCATATATAAATAAAACAACACATAATACAAAAATGATAAATTAATGATACAGATCATGCCCCACAAACCGAAAAAGGAACATATCATATTTTTAAACTATATTTTAAAAAAAGTAGGTTATATACTGGTTTCAATCGATAACGTAAGTTATAAACAGGTTTCAATTTGGTAATTTAGGTTACACTACATCATACGACAAATTGTGTAGGTTATAAACGGTTTCGTATGAATTATACAAATAATGAAACATCATTTCCTACAGTCTTAAAAAGAAAATATTATCCGTTTTATAAGATTTAAATGCTAAAAAGAAGGTTATACGCGGGTTTCATGAAGATACGAATGTTATTAACACGTTTATAATTGATAGAGTAGGCTATACATAGGCTCCAACAAACATCGTAGGTCATAAAATGGTTCAAATATAATAATGTAGAGGTTATGAACCGGTTTCAACCAAACCAAGTAGGGTATACATGGGTTTCAACAGTTAGTTTTGAATGGTTAAATCTGATACTGGTTAAGGCAGATTATACTCGGGTTTCAGACTGATGTACGTTACTCTAAGGTTTTAAGCATTTAAAAAAGTATGGATCATCCAGGTTTCACACTCATAAAGTAGGTTGTACTGAAGTCCGGTCGTGTAAGTTATGCTCATGTTTCATGCATTTTTAAAAAGTATATTATAGATAGGTTTCATTCTGATGCAATAGGTTATATGCCGTTTTAAGCATAAAAGTACCTATTAATCACCCAGGTTTCAGACGGATTAAGTACTTTTTACTGAGGTTATTCGTCCAATCCTGTTGGTTATACTCATATATAAGGTTTCAAGGTGTTGTTAAAGTATATTAGGCTATAGGTTCATTTTGATAAAGTAGGTTATACGGTGGTTTAAAATATTTTTAAACGATATTTTACATCCTGGTTTCAGATTGACAAAGTAGTCTGTACGAGTGGTTTAACCCGATCTACTAGGTTATACTGCGATTTTAAGCATTTTTCAAAAGTGTTAATCATTCGGGTTTCAAACAGATAAAGTAAATTGTGCTGAGTTTTGTCGTCCGATCGTGTAGGTTATAATCAGGTTTGATGCATTTTTTAAGTGTATTACAGACAGGTATCATTAAGATGGTTATTCGGTGTTTCACGTATTTTTAACGTATTTAACACCCAGTTTTCGACAGAAAAGTAGGTTATACTTCGGCTTCAGCAAAAACACGTTATAAACCGATTCAAATATAAAAAAGTAGAGATTATAAATCACGATTTCAATAAGACAAAGCAGGTTATAAATGCGTTTCAACACTACAAAATTAGTTATAAACTAGTTAAATCTAATATAGTAGGTTATACACGGGTTTCAGAATGATAAAGTTGGTTACACAAGAGTGGGGTTATATTGCAGTTTCCAGCATTTTTAAAAGTATTTTATAACCAGGTTTCAGAGGTTGTTCCCGGATCTTGTAGGCCTATACTCAGGTTTAAAGCTTTTTTAAAAGTATGTTACAGACACGTTTACTTCTGATGAAGTAGGTTAAGCAGTGGTTTCAAGTATTTTAAAAGGTTTTTTACATCCAGGTTTCAGATTAACGAAAATGAACCGATTCGTTCGTAAATGACGACTGATCCATTCATAAGAGTGAAATAGAGGGAAAGGATCTGTTCATAAGAGCGCGTAGATCCGTTCATCGGAGTGAACGAGAGTAAAATGATCCATTCATGAGAGTGAAAAAAGTGAACTGATCCGTTCATGAAAGTGAACATATTCTTTGTTAAGAGTAAACATATGTGAACTGATCCATTCATAAGCGTGAACGAGTCCTTTGTTTAGAGTGAACGAGAGTGAAATAATCCGTTCATAAGAGTGAACAAAAGTGAGCTGATCCTTCATAATTTTTTTTTTTTTAACAAGTAGTAAATCTGCTGAGAAGATTATATACGCGTTTCAATCAGACAAAAAAGGGTTTACAATTGTTTTAACATGAAACGACCAGTTTATATAAAAGTACCATTAAAACAAAATAGGTTTTTAGAGCATATTTCCTGTTTCAGTCACTGGATTCATTGAGCGACTTGGCAGTTCCTGAGAAAATAAGGCTAAAGAAGGAATTACAGCTCGGCGAGCCAGTCAGTAAGACGTTTTCTATTTTACTGCATATATATTTTTTTAAAAATCGTTTAATTACAGGAATCGATGTATTATTTATATTTAATTCATTCATTCATTCCGCCAGGTGAGTTCCAACTGCTTAATAGGATAAGGGAGATCGCGTCACAGAACAAGCTTTACAGGTCGTACATTGGCATGGGCTACTACAACACCTGCGTACCGCACACGATCATGAGGAACATATTTGAAAACCCTGGATGGTATTTATCGAATTGTGCTAATTCTTAAGTATATGAAACGCGGGGGAAACGAAAGCGGCCTAATATTTCCTAGAGATTGAAAGAGATGATCCGTTCATAAGATTGAACTGATTCTTTAATTAGAGCAAGGAGGGAGAGTGATTCGGAAGAGTAATTGATCGGTTCATACGAGCGCACAGATCCATTAACAAGTGTGAACGAGAGTGAAATGATCCGTTCATAAGAGTGAACGAATCTCTTCTTGAAAGGAAACAAGAGTAAACTGATCTGTTCATAAGAGTGAATGGGAGTGAAAGGATCCGTTCATAAGAGTGAACGAAACTGTTCTTATTTTTTTTATTTATTTTTTTTAATATAAATTATAAAAGGCGATCAACCGCTTTAGTTTGTTACTAGTTTGTTTATTTGGTCGAGGTCATCACCAAGCGAGTCTTTGAGATTGGTTGGAATTTCCAACCGATGTCTTTCTGCTACATATTTTTTGCAATTTGTCAAAATGTGTTTCACTGTTATTCTTTCTGCACAAACATCACAAAGTGGAGTCTCTTTTTTTGCCATAAGATAAGAATGAGTAAGCCTACAATGACCAATTCTAAGCCTAGCAAGGACAACTTCTTCATGCCTGGAACTTCTATGAGATGAGGCCCAAGGTTTTACACTATTTTTTATCTCCCTGAAGAAGCTGTTCTTAAAAGTGAACAAGAGTAAACTGGTCTGTCCATAAGTGTGAACGAATGTGAATTGATCCGTCAATAAGAGTGAACAAGAGAAAATTGACCCATTCAAAAGAGTGAATGAAGGCGATAAAAGAAAGCTTATCGGATATTTTATTTTCAATCGACTCAACGTTTTCCCTTCAAAACCAATCATCTCTTCTTTTTTCCCCGTGATAAAATTGATTTCTAATCGAACAGGACAACGCAGTACACGCCCTACCAGCCGGAAATAGCCCAGGGTAGGCTGGAAAGCCTTCTCAACTTTCAGACGATGATTACCGACCTGACAGGGCTCCACGTCGCAAACGCCTCTCTGCTCGACGAGAGCACCGCTGCGGCCGAAGGGCTCAGCCTCTGCCACCGGTGAGTCGGAACAAACACCAAGACGGGACGGATGGCTTATTTCTAAAGAGACACCCAATAATGAGCGCAGGTACAACAAGAGGAAGCTGTTCTACGTCTCGGACAAGATACACCCCCAGACGCTGTCTGTCGTGACGACCCGCTGCGACGCCCTCGGCCTCAAGGTAGTCGTCGGCAACGTAGAAACTATGGACATGACGAACAAAGACCTGTCCGGTATCCTCCTCCAGTACCCGGACACGGAGGGAAACGTCTACGACCACACCGATGTGATATCCAAAGCCCACGAGAACGGGGTAAGCAATTTTGTGTATTTTTCCTTTCTTACATGTTAATTTTACCTCCTGACAAACACCATATAATAACCCACAAATGTACAGGTTAGATTTGAAAATGTATGATTTAAGGGATAAACATGATATAAAATACATTTCAGTTGGCCCTAGATAACTAAAGTAATGATTTACAATGTTTATGTAAAGTGTGGTTAAGATGAAAAATTATTCTCATGAGCGGGACGCGAACCCAACACCTCCGGGTTATATCCGGCTTATATATATATTATTATCTTTATCCTTATATTTATCTCTAACCACTTAACCTATCGTGGCATCATGCCCGGGACAACCAAACTCTTATTTTTCCGGTGATTAGACTCTAATTGTTTACTCAACCACTCTTTGCATAAAAAAATGTAAATAATTTAAGTTATTTTAGACGTTTCGTGATGAAAGGGATAAACAAAATATAACTTTCAAATGTACAGGTTATGTAATAAGATTTCGATCAACATATAACCAAATATTAACCAACAAAAGTACAGGTTACGTTAGACAGATTTTTTTGTGTGTCGGGAGAAACTAAATGCAATCTTCAAATGCACAGGTTATATAATAAGCTCTCGATCAACATATAACCAAATATTAACCAACAAAAGTACAGGTTATGTTAGACAGAACTTTTTCGTTATGTCGGATGAACTAAATTTAATCTTCAAATGTTATAAAAGAAGCTTAATATCAGTTTATAGCCCACTATTAGGCTAAGAAAGTACAGGTTATAAAAGAATCTTTTCATCAACGTATAACCTAATAATAAACCTTAAAAGGTTATATGTTATGCTCGAAGATAGTTAATCAATGCATAAAGCAATTTATAACCTCGACATATTCAGGTTATACAAGAAGCTTTAAATCAGTTTAAAACCCAGTATTAACCTATAAATGTACAAGTTATGAAACAAGCTTTTCATAAACGTATAACCAAATAATAACCTGTACAGGTTGTTACAGGTTATGTTCAGAAATAGTTAATCGATGCATAAAACATTTTATTACCTCGAAATAAGCAGGGTATACAAAAGCTTTAGATCAGTTTATAACCCAATATTAATCTTCAAAGTTAGAGATTATACTAAAAAAATTGTTAATCAAAGGATAAAGAAATTATTACATCCAAATGTAGAGGTTATACAACCCAACATTAAGAAAGTACAGGTTATAATCTTACTAATATGAAAACCAAACAAGAACCTTCCATACTACAGGCTTTAACTGGTTGTATGTTGGGCGATAGAGTCTGGTCGTTGTCTGTACGGACCTGCTGTGTCTCCTCCTCCAAATGGCACCGGCCGAGATGGGCGCGGACATAGCGTGCGGTTCAACGCAGCGTTTCGGCCTTCCGCTCGGCTATGGCGGCCCTCATGCCGCCTTCTTCGCCTGCAAGGAGTCGCTCGTCCGTCTAATGCCTGGCCGGATGATCGGAGTGACGAGGGACGCCGACGGGCAAACGGCGTTCCGCCTCGCGCTGCAGACGAGGGAGCAGCACATCAGGCGTGACAAGGCGACGAGCAACATTTGCACAGCGCAGGCACTACTCGCGAACATGTCGGCGATGTACGCAGTCTACCACGGGCCCAAAGGGCTCAGGGAGATCGCGACGAGGGTGCATAAGGCTACTCTACTCATGAACGCGGGTAAAAAAAAAAAAAATTCAAAATAAATAAATTTAAACAAAAAACATTCTTGGCAGGTCTGAGGAGGTCAGGGAACACAGTGCACAACAAGCAGTTCTTCGACACTCTCAAGGTGACGACGAACCAGCCTCTGGACGTGGTCAAAAAGAGGTGCGAGGAGAAAAAAATCAACATCAGGTTTTTCCCAGATGGAGACGTAAGTAACTTCACCTGTCAAACTTCAAAAACACTTCAATACACAAACAACTACCTTAGGTCGGAGTTTCGTTGGACGAAACGGTCAGCGATTCGGACCTCAAAGACCTTCTCTGGGTGTTCGGATGCGAAACACCATTAGAAGAAGTAAGTAAAAAAAACCACACAGACACAGATACAACCTAAAATTAAATTTTTCCAGCTGGAAAAGGACACCTCCATGAACGAGTTCAACGTCGAGAACACAAAACTGAAGAGGACCTCTACGTACCTGACTCACCCGGTTTTCAACAGCCACCACGCCGAAACGAGGATGGTGCGTTACATGAAGACGTTAGAGAACAAGGACATCTCCCTCGTACATTCAATGATACCGCTCGTGAGTAAATTGCCTTAATTTTGTAAGGTTATAACGAGATTTACAGTCAAAGTGGTAGGTTATATACAGCTTATCTTCTCAGATGTTAGGTTGTACCAAAGTTATCTTTTCTGCTTAAAACTACCGTCTCAATCGATATTTTCTGCTGGATTTTCGAGACAAGAATCGTTATTTTTCGGCCATTATTCAACATGGCAATCGAAGGGGAATTGATATTTTCCGTTGGATTATCGGGACAAGAATCGATATTTTTCGGCCATCAAACACGTCAATCGATATCATGTCACAATAATCGAAAATTTTCGATCGATTTTCGAGACAAGAATCGATCTTTTCGGCAATTATTCAACATGGCTATCGATATCTGGCAGTTGAATCGATATTTTATGTTGTATTTTCGAGGCAAGAATCGATTTTGGTCAGCCGTTATCCAACATGGCAATCGATATCACCGCACAATAATCGAATATTTTGTTCGATTTCGAAACAAGGATCGGTATTTTTCGGCTGTGTCCAACATGACAATCGATTTCACGGCTCAATAGTCGAATATTTTTGTTCATTTTTCGAGACAACAATCGATTTTGTTCGGCCATTATCAAACTTGGTGATCGATATCACGCCTCAATAATTGATCTTTTTCGTTCGATTTTCGAACCAGAATCGGTATTTTTCGGCCATTATCTGACATGGCAATCGATATCACGGCAGAATAGTGGAATATTTTTGTTCGATTTTCGAGACAAGAATCAATTTTGTTCGGCCATAATTCAACATTGGAATATATATCAGTTGATTCGTGATGTTGCATGACTACTGACTTCGTCTTCATTCATTTTCCACAGGGTTCTTGCACAATGAAGCTGAACTCGACGACTGAGATGATGCCCTGTTCGTTGAGGGAGTTTAACGAGCTGCACCCCTTCGTTCCAATGGACCAGGCCAAAGGATACGAAGTCCTCTTGGAAGAGTTGCACAAGGACCTTTGCGAAATCACAGGCTACGACAAGATCTCGTTCCAGCCGAACAGGTACATTTTGAAAATAGTTTTTTTTTTCTTTTGTTCAAACTATTTTTCTCGTCTACAGCGGCGCCCAGGGCGAATACGCCGGTCTCAGGGTGATCCAGAGCTACCACGCCTACCTCGGCGAGGGACATAGGAATGTCTGTCTCATCCCAGTCTCGGCCCATGGCACCAACCCGGCATCGGCCCAGATGTGTGGACTTGAGGTCGTACCAGTCAAAGTCAACCCGGACGCGACAATAGATATGGACCTTCTCAAAGAACAGGTACGACACGCGGTTCAGGGTGATAAAAGGTGTACAGACTATGTTTATAAATTATTTTTATTAGGAGAGATAAACCGATAATAATAAGAAACAAAGGTTAATTACGAGATTTTGTCTGAACAGTTATCAAGGTGAAACCCAATAAATTTACTTCAACAATAAGGTTATAATGAACGGAATGCCTAATACCCGGATAAACAAATAGCAACCTACATGTGGTATAAGAAGCTTTCAATAAATTTATAACACAATAAATTACCTAAAAATGTAAAGTTTATATAAGCAGCTTTTAATAGAAGTATAACCAAAATAACACAGATACAGTTTACAGTAGAAAATCGTTTGTCTATAAACAAATGATCACCTCCAAACGTACAGAAGCATTAAACTATTTTCTAACCTAATGTTAACCTATGAATGTAAAGGCTAAATAAGACTCTTTTTTCAATGTACAACCAAATAATAACCTACACCGTTAAGGCTATTTTCGTAAATGGATAAACTAAATGTAACCTTCAAATGTTTTAAAAGAAGCTTTAGATCAGTTTATAACTCAGTATTAAGCCAAGAAAGTACAGGTTATAAAAGAAGCTTTTCGTCAACGTATTACCGTATTTACGTTAACGTACGTAATAATTTTCAAAAATACAGGTAATTGTTCATCAACGGATACATAAATTATAACCTACAAATCTATAGGCTATATATTATTTCTTCAACATATAACCAAATATTAACCTATCGTTTACAGGTTATACTCGAAAATTGTAGATCAATGGATAAACATTTTATCACCTCCAAATAGCTTATATAAGAAATTTTTGATTAAAGTATAACCGAATGTTAGCCTTTTATACTTGAAAATTCCAATGGATAAGCAATTTATTACCTCCAAATGTAGAGATTACACAAGAAGTTCTATCAGTTTATAACCCAATATCAACCTACAAAAGTACAGGTGATATAGTACAGATTTTTCGAAATGAAGGGATAAACATATTGCGATCTTCAAACGTACAGGTTACGCTCGAAAATTGTTAACCGATGGTTAAATAATTTATTACTTCCAAATTGTTACACGAGAAGGTTTCTATTACTTTTTAACCCAATATCAACTTACAAAAGTACAGGTTATGTTGGGCAGATTTTTCGATAAACATATCGCCACCTTCAAGCGTACAGGTTATATAAGAAATTTTCTTTCAATTTATAATAACCTGCATAATAAAAGGTTATGTTCGTAAATTGTTGATTTTATATTAATTGAAATTTCAGGTGGAGCAACATGCCCAGAACCTTTCCTGCCTGATGATCACGTATCCTTCGACTTTCGGCGTTTTCGAAGAGACGATAGCCGACATATGCGATCTGATTCACAAGCACGGGGGCCAGGTCTACCTGGACGGTGCGAACATGAACGCCCAAGTAGGGCTCTGCGCCCCAGGGCTCTACGGTTCGGACGTCTCCCATCTGAACCTGCACAAGACCTTCTGCATACCACACGGGGGCGGCGGTCCAGGGATGGGGCCGATCGGAGTGTAAGGATGGTTTGTTGTGTTTATAAGATGAAATTTGATGGATTTTTCTTTTTCTTTTTAACAGGAAAGAACACCTGGCACCTTTCCTGCCGAACCATCCGGTCATATTTACGGGGGGCTACAACGACAAGAGTTTCGGTGCGGTGAGCGCTGGACCTTTCGGTTCCACGGCCATCCTTCCCATATCCTGGGCCTACATCAAGGTAAAACAGCTTTAAAAAAACCCTTTCGAACTTATTAAACCAGTTTGTTTAGATGATGGGGGCGAAGGGTCTGAGGAAGGCGTCTCAGGTGGCGATACTCAACGCCAATTACATGTCGAAGAAGCTCGAACCTTACTACCCGACCCTGTTCAGAGGGAAGAACGGCCTCGTCGCCCACGAGTTCATCCTCGACATAAGACCTTTCAAAAAAACGGCCGGCATCGAAGCTGGAGACATTGCAAAACGTCTCATGGACTTCGGTAATAATAATAAAAAAAGACAAAAAAATGGAAAAAGTCTAACTTTTTTTTCAGGATTCCACGCGCCGACGATGTCTTGGCCCGTCGCCGGTACTCTTATGATCGAACCGACCGAATCTGAGAGCAAAGAGGAGCTTGATCGCTTCTGCGAAGCACTAATATGTAATATGAAATTAATTGAAACTTAAAACTTGAAATAACCCTCCCTACTGTTTTGCCAGGTATACGAGACGAGATTGCCGAGATCGAAAAGGGAAAAATGGACAAGAGGGTGAACCCGCTTAAATGCTCTCCACACACCCAGGAGAACGTCCTGTCGGACAATTGGGACCGCCCGTATACGAGGGAGCAGGCGGCTTTCCCGGCGGTAAATTATTTGCCAATTACATACAATATCGATTTATTTCCTACTTCAGATAAAGAATTGATCGAAAAAAAGGATAGGTTATTGTAACAAAGATCAATATATAACCGGACAAGAACCTTTAAATGTGCAGGTTATCTTTGTCAAGTTGGCCGACTGATCTGCAGGTTAGGTTCTACTTCCACACGGAGAAAAATTATACTATTTTGAGAAGATATAACCACAGAATAACTTACAAATGTAACGCTATGCAGAAAAGATCCATGGATAACCAGACAAAACCTACAGCAGTATAACTTTGCCTAAATGGCCGAAGATGAGTAGGTTATGTAACGGAAAAATTAATATCATGAAATTCCAAGGTTCAAACCGATTTATCAATATATAACCATACAATAACCTAAAAATGTACAGGTTATGTTGAAAATATCAATAGGCAACCGGACAAAAACCTACAAATGTTCAGGTTATGTAGAAAATATCAATAGAAAACTAGATCAGAACCTTCAAACGTGTGTTATGTTTGTCTAAGTGGTTCACTGATTGGTAGGGAATGTTACTAAAACAAGACGTTAACAACAAAAATTGCCAAGTGTACAGGTTAGTGGATAGCCGATTAACATTGGGCATACGCCGACATAACGCACATTTTGTCCAAAATATTGGTCTAATACACATTAGAGACATACAAACCTACCTCATAAAAATTTGTATAAAAATCTTTGATTTAATTCTCAGTAGATTATTTTTTCTCTGATTTACAGCCATTCGTGAAAGGTGACTCGAAAATATGGCCGACAGTCGGGAGGATCGACGACATCTACGGAGATAAACATCTCGTCTGCACATGTCCACCCATACTGCCAGATTTTTAATCGATTCCGCAATAAATAAGAGATAAATGAAATTTAAATAAATTTATGTACAAGGGGAGGGGGGAAAGGAAAATCCCGGTTAAACAATTCTCCCTCCTCGAAACAAAATTGTTATATATAAATTATTTCAAATGTGTCGTTTTCCTTCTAACAAATCAGATAATCAAATCGTTCCTCGACCTGTATCAATTATCACATCCTTTCTCGACCTAATCGATTCTCAAATTGTATCGAATCTCGAACTGAATAGATTATCACTTCGAGCCGAATTGAATCGATTCGAACCCGTATCGACTACCACATCCGTTTTCTACCGAATCGATTCTCAGGTGGATCTATTCCCGAACGGTATCGATATTTAATCAATTCTCAAATTGTATCAATGGTCAAACGATTGTCAATCTCTATCGACCAGCAATCAATTCTCAAACTATCGATCATTAATCAATTCTCAAATTTGAATCAATTATCGAAATGTATTTATGATCAATCGATTCTCAGGTTGTATCGATTATCAAACGGTTGTCGCTTTGGATCGACCATCAGTCCATTCTCAAATTGTATCAATGATCAATCGATTATTGAACTGTATCGATCATCAATCGATTCTCGCATTGAATTTCATACAGTACTCTTTTCTTGTGTAATTAATCTTACATAAATAGAGGACGTTTTGTAATTTTAAAAAAATCAAAACTCGCTTCTCAATAATACGTTTACTCGAACAAATATACGTATAGAAACATAAATCATTTTCACATAACATATAATTGATTCGACTAGATATTTTATAAATAATAAGTTTAGAAAAATATACAATTTTTGTTTTAAGGAGTACTTACAACTTAATTTACATAATAATAAATATATTATATACATAGTAGAAGAACCTGTTCAGTGAATCAATCGCTCTTTCAGCTTGTACATGAACCGGTATGGTGAATCAATGAATCTTTAATCTTGAGAGGCTCAGTGCATCAAAGAACCTCCTCGAAATAGGTTCAGACAGTTTTATTATGGTTTCTATAGAAAAATCACGTTAAATAAGATGATCGACACAACTTTTTTTTAAGTAACTTAGAAAAATTTAAGTTTAAGAATCACTGGTTTGCCGCCGCAGCGGCCGCCTCCTCGATCCTGGGCGACTTGACATGCAGCTTGACGACGGCCGGGGATGAGCCGGCGAACATGTTCGTGATTGCGCCTTCGAGGAGGACGCAGCAGAATCTTGTGTTGAGCCTCGCGATCTGGAGAAGGTTGAAGACGGACAGGACACCGGTGAGGGTCGTCTCGGAGCCAAGTATATGTTTGATGTCGTCTGAAGGAGTCCGATGTATTTATATTAAAAATTTTATTTTATTTTTATTTTTTAAATTAATTTATTTACCAGAAAGACTTGAGAGTAGAGCGGCCTTTGCGGCGACCCTGGTCCTCATCTTTGTGGCGGGGTCTCGGGGCATGGAAGGCTCCACCTGCATGCCGTGCGGCCAGAGGGCCTCCTTGAAGGAGGTGAGGTAGGAGGCGACCCGGTCCGGGGATGTGAGCAGTCCAACGTACTCGAGGATCCTCCTGTTCACTATGTCACCGAACATCGTACGTACGATTTGCCGGAGGAGGATGACAAGTCGGCGCCTCAGCCACTGCGAGGAGGCTTTCAGCTCAAAAACCTCGGTCATGAGGAGGAGGAGGATCCTCATCGGGATGTTGTCCGCTGTCTTCGGGAAAACGATTATATAAATGGGCCAACAATTCAATACGTGGTTCATTCAGTGTGGTTATAATTCGTTCAGTTTGTCAATGAATCGTAAGGTAAGTTAGTGAGTGTTCTTTCATTTAATGGTGGTATGGTGAATCTATGATTCCTTAAGTTTATTAGCGAATCGTTCATTGAATAAATGATCCATTCAGTTCGTTAGTGAATTGTTCAATTTGCCAATGGATCATGTTGTAAGTTGTCGAGTTGAAGTCAGTTATAGAATTGTTCAGTTCAATTAGTCAGGAATCGTTATGTAAGTGAGTTGCCTGTTCAGTGAATCTATGCCTTGTTCAGTTTGTCAATGGATCATGTTGTAAGTGACGAGTTGAAGTCAGTTATAGAATTGTTCAGTTCAATTAGTCAGGAATCGTTATGTAAGTGAGTTGCCTGTTCAGTGAATCTATGCCTCAGTTTGTCAATGAAACTTTGTTATTGAGTTGTTCGTTCATTTAATGAATCGTTAGCTGAATCCATGATTCGTTCACTTGGTAAGAGAATTGTTCAGTTAGTAACTGAATCGTTATATAAGTGAGTGAGTTGTTTGTTCATTTAGTGGATCGTTAATTAAATCTACGACTCGTTCAGTTTATTAGAGAATAGTTCAGTTTGTCAATGGATCATTAATTAAGTTAGCGAGTTGAAGTCAGTTAGTTCAGTCAGTCAGTTCTGATTGTTCTGTTCAATTAGTCAGTCAATCGTTCTGTAAGTGAGTGAACCTTTGTTCAGTGAATTGTTCGGTTTGTCAATGAAACTTTTATGTTATTGAGTTGTTCGTTCATTTAGTAAATCTTTGGCTGAATCCATGATTTGTTCAGTTGGTTAGTGAATTGTTCAGTTTGTCAATGGATCGTTTAGAAAGTTAGCGAGTTGAAGTCAGTTAGAGAATTGTTCAGTTAGTCAGTGAATCGTAATGTAATTTAGTGAGTTGTTCGTTCATTGAATCCATGATTCGTTCAGTTTATTATAGAATAATTCAGTTTGTCAATGAAACTTGGTTATTGTGTGGTTCCCTGAATTCACGATTCGTTCAGTTTGTTAATGAATCGTTCATTGAATCCAAGATTCATTCAATTTGTTAGAGAATAGTTCAGTTTGTCAATGAATAGTTATGTAAGTGAGTGAGTTGTTCGTTCATTTAGGGAATCGTTCATCATTTCTCAACTTACCTCGGTGTCGATGGAAGCGCTGACTTTGAGCGTTTCGGGCCTGGCGTCTTTGGAGGAAGCAGCCGTCCTCACTTGGAGCACCCTGGACAGGTTGTCTACCATGCCGTCGACCGAGCTGAGGACCGAGTCTGGCACCGTGCGCACAGCTTGCATCGACATCCTGAAAAGTGAATCCAACTGGAGAGCGAAATTGTAAACAAGAGGCAAATCCAGGCTACCAACCGTTCTTGAAAAGTTCTGGGTAGCGCTGTACTCAGTCCTGCTGAGGAAGCACATGAGGATGGGGAGGAGGCCCGGCTTGGACGCGAGGAGCCCCGGTTCGCAGAGGGAACGCATATAGTTGTTCAGGTGGATCATACGACGCTCCAGCGTCTTACGTTCGATGTTCCCAAATGTCTTCTTCCCGGGGAACGACAGCTTCGACAATTCTGGATACTGTGTAAAAGAAATCACAATTAACCTCAGTTCATTCACTAAGTCTTTAAACCGTTCAGAAGGTTGAAGAATTGTTCAGTACATAAGCCAATTGGATAAGAGTACGTCCACACAAGGAATCGTTCAATGGATCAATGAATCGTTCAGTATGTAAGTCAATTGGATAGGCATATGCCTATATAAAGGGTCTTAGGGAATCCTTTGGTGCACTGATGAATAGTTCAGTAGGCCATGAATCGTTCAGTAGGTTGATGAATCGTTCAGCATTAAGTCAATTGGATAAGCGAACATCCACTCAGGGAATCGTCCAGTTCGTTGATGAATCATTCAGTATGTAAGTCAATTGGATAAATGTAGATTCTTTCAAGGAATCGTTCAATAATTTGATGAAACATCCAGTACGTTGATGAATAGTTCTATGGGTTAATGAATCGTTCAGTATGTTAGTTAATTAGATAAGCGTACATCCACTCAGGGAATCGTTTAGTTGGTTGATGAATCGTTCAGTTGTAAGTAAATTGGATAAATATAGATACTTTCAAGGAATCGTTCAATAATTTGATGAAACATCCAGTAGGTTGATGAATCTTTCAGTATGTAAAAGTCAATTGGATAGGCCACTCAGGGAATCGTTCAGTAGGTGGATGAATCGTTCATTGAATTCATGACTTTCTGTTGGTAGATGAACCAGTTCATTGAATATAGGACTTGTCCAGCTTTTAGATGTAATAGTCCAGTAAACCAATGAATGTTGGAAAATGAATCGATCATTCAGTTCGTAGATGAAGCGTTCAGTCAAATTTTCGTCATTTTCATTTAGTGAATCGTACAGCGAGTCAGTCCAGCTTACACATAACTGGTTATACAATTGTGCTCACCTTGTCTTTGATTTTCTGATGCAGTTCGTAAAAGTCTGAATACCTTCTGTAGATGTGCCAGCTCTCCCTGTGTCCGGATTCGTACTTCTTCGACACGGAGACGGCATATACGCCAAAAGTCTTGCCCTTCTCGTGCATGAGACCTGGTTGATTTATGATTTATGTTTATGAGAAGCCACACGGGCAAGTAAAGCATAAATCCGTACCGGTCTCGATGATCTCCGCGTAGATAGTGAAAGGTCCGGAGGGCTTGATCTCGCTTGTGAGATTGTTTGGGCTCCCTCCACTCGCGTTGTCCACATCAACGCTATCTGGAAAAAACATTAAAAATATATAAAAGTTATTTTGTATCGAACACGACCAAAATGACTCACTGTTCGGGCATATTATGAATTCAGGCAGGCTTGCCGTGTCCGAGTTGAGGCTGATTCGATCGAGGGATGTCGCGTCCTCGACCTCGATCTCGCCAGTTAAAGATGAGAGGCTGAGGTCAAAACCGCCTCTGAGGAGGTCCAGCTCAGAGAGGAGCTTGATGTAACCTGGAGAAGAACGGAAACCCAACAGGCAAAGTTCGTCATTCTGGAAATAAAAACAACTTTTTTATAAATTCATAGCTCAGTCTAAAAGAATCCTCGTATCACTCAATGATTCATTAACTGATTGAACGATTCACAGAATAACTGAACGAATCACATACTCATGAACCGGTTCATCTACCAGCTGAAAGAGCCATTAATCACTGAACCAGTTCACATGCTTATTGAACTAAGTGAAAGAGTCATTGATTCAATGAACCGGTTCTTCAACCAGCTGAAAGAGGCATTTGTTCACTGAACCGGTTCATCTACCAGCTGAAAGAGCCATTGATTCACTGAACCAATTTCATCTACCAGCTGAAAGAGCCATTGATTCACTGAACCGGTTCTTTGATGCTGCTCTAAGTTATTTTAATTCTATCCATAGAATTGTTTCCATTGGTTCACTGAACCAAAACATCTCTCTACTGAGCAATCATTCAATTCACTAACTGAATGATTCTTTGAACAACTGAATGAATCCATAACTCACTGAGCAAGCTTTTGATTCACTAGGTCATTGAACAATTCTTTGACCCACTGAACGAATCAATAACTCACTGAGCGATCTTTTGATACACTGGTTCACTGAACGATTCTTTGAACCACTGACCTAAATAGAATAAGGGCAATTACCTGCATTTTGTCTATGATGCACGCTTGAGCTTCGTCGAACCAATTTTCGTTCGGCCTCTCCATCTTGATTTTGTTCAGGAGCCGTTTTGAGACCATCTCGTCTATCTGAATACGGCAGGATGACTACAAAAAATAAATAACAATAATAATTTGAATTTCTTATTTTTTATTTTGTGATTACCTGATCTGTGAGGTACTCCTCGAATATGCTGTAAGCCGCTTCGCGTATCCTCTCGAGGACCTGCTTCGCAGCACTGTACTGCTCGGCGAGTAGCGCCTCGCTGTTGTCGAAGCTAGAGTTCTGCGACATGTCCATCATCTGCTGCTCCGTCGATGCCTTCCAGCCTTGGAAAAAAAAAAATGATAATGATAATAACAAAAAGGAAAATTTTTAGCACTGCACATTCGCCTCACCTTCGATGTTCAAGTAGAAAAATAAATAAGCCTGCTGTCCGACCGTACGCATGTAGTCCAAGAAGTAGTTGAGGGCGATGTTGTTCTTCAGTATCACATCAAGCGGCAGCTGGAAGAGCTTTGGCGAGCCGAGGAGGAGCCTCGAATAATCAGGACCTGATTAAAAATTAATTAATTAAATAAAATTTTAAAAAATTCTTGGTTAAATTACCTGTGTCGCCGCCCGACTGAAGGCGGGCGATTTGGGTGTCGAGGAGTTTGCCGAGGTAATTGAGCGAGGAGAGCTGCTGCTTCACCATGTGCTCCGAACAGCCACCTGCATCCCTCGACCGCTGGAAAAGAAGTAAAAATAAGAAAAAATCGATTCCCAGCATGATTCTATGCCTAAATGAACGATTGGTAAATTCACTGAATGATTCACGCTGAATCGGTGAACTGTACAATGGACTATTTGTCAGTAGATTTATTAGAAACTGGTCATTTCGTCAATCACCGACCGAGAATGCAGGAAGGATGAACGAATCGTTCAGTTGGCAGTATGGAAATCTATCAATGAGTTTGCAATTTGTTCCTTAAGTAAATGAATGAATCTTTCATTAAGTGAACAAGTCGTGCTGTAAATGAGGTGAATCTTTCAGTAGTAAGGGTCTCGTTCAGTAGGTGAGTGAATAATACAACAAATGAATGAAACATTCAGGAAATGAGAATATCGTTCAAGAAACGAGCTAATAGGTCGGTGAGTGAACGATTTATTCCTCAAATGAGTGAATCGTTCAGCAAGTGAGTGAAACTTTCAGTAACTGAACGAGTCGTTCTGTGAGTGAATCTTTTAGTAAGTGAATGAGCAGATCAATTAGTGATCGATGCATTCAGTAACTTACTTACCGTTCACTAAATGAGCTAACTGATCAGTAAGTGAATGAATTGTTCAGTAAGTGACTAAATTGATTGGTGAGTGAGCAATTCATTCCTTATTCAGTATTTACTCACTTAAGAGAATCAATCAGTTAGGGAGTTAATGATATGTATATATA